TGTAATTGACCCCCGAACCGAAAATAATTTTTCTAGAACGATTTGAAATTTTTTTTTTCGTCCAAAAATTTAGACACCTAGCTGATTTTTTTTCTCGAAAGTGGATAGGATTTCGGAGGTATGTGTATTCATAAAAAATGATTGTAATTGACCCCCGCAACCAAAAATAATTTTTCCAGAACGATTTGAAATTGTTGAATTTAATTGTTAATAACTTTTTAACGAAGCCTCCATCGACAAATTGGTATTCTTGATTTTCGTCTTATTTTGGCCTGTAGAATCCCCCATTAAAATGTTTCTCAGGGGTGGCCGAACACCCTGTATTATATACTCCAGAATGTTTAGCCTAACTCAATTTTCTTTGCAGCTTTATGGTTCCGTGTAGATGTTACGTTCTCTGTATCTTGTTAATTTGTAAAAATACACATCGCGTCAATGCAACGCAATGCTTAATCATTTTAAACACGTCTGTTTGCAAAAACGAGGTGACTTGTGTTATTCATTTGTTTTTCTATTTACTTTATCAATTTATTTTTCAATTCCAATGGAATTATTATCTCCGAGCGAAAACAAATTGGAGTACAGTACATAAAGCATATACAGAAAACACGGTGATCTGTGTCTTATCACTAACTATCAGTCTCCCAAGTATTTTTCTAAAGAAATGATTTAAATAAATCTTTTATTTCTAAAGTGGATCCAAAAAGAGGGTCGGGACCGTTAAAATATAAGACTGGTTTGTTAATTGTCTACGAAACAAGCATGAAATCTTATTAAATCGTTCAAAATTTATTTTGTCTACAAACAAAGAAGTTTGATAGAAAATATAATCCGCGTAAATCTACTCGACCGATTTGAAATTAAAATTATGACTAACGACAATCGTCTCAGGCGATCGGAGGTTTTTTCGGAGGCACACAAATAATCGGCTATTTTAATGTTAAGGTCGGTTATCGGTCGGTTACATGAAACATAAGAAGCAGCAAAATATTTTGGCGGCATGACGTTCAACTACATGACTAAACCGTTAACAACGCGCAGTAAATACGTCAATAATTGTACAGACGTGATACCACGAATGATTTGAAAGATAAAACTATCGCGAAAGTTTTGTCGCTGAAGTTTGTTTATCCGATAACGAGAGAACATATGAAACTATTGAAAACGATTCTGTGTTATTAACGAAACAAACTCTCGGTCCAAAAATATATTGCTGATCAAAATCACATGTTCGATTCATTTGTTTATGTCCTAATTAAAATTTTGTTCTCTTGTGTTTCGATCAAAGTGCAATAATCGTTGATGTTTTTTTCTTTAATGCTGCTGTATATTCTGTTTAACGATGCTGCACGAGTTATGAATTGGATCTAGATTCTGTAATTGCAATTAACCATGGTGAAACGGTAATATTTTTTTTAGAGTCTTAGATGTTTGTTTCGTGTCGTTATTTTATTAGAAGACATAATTGTCCAAATATTCGCGGATATAATACATCATGATTTCTTTCGTAATATCTGGAAATTGAAATCTGTCCACGGTAGTATCGAGTTGGACCTGGATCATTTCGTGGAGACGCTTCAGTGTCTTTACAGTGTATCTTGGATCAAGATTTTCACCTTTGCGAAATCAGACACTAAATTAAATTTTAATACATCCAACTACGAATTATTCTCTAATTAGTATCTGTAAAAAACTCTTTGTCCGCCGCTGTAACTTGAATCCTTCGCCAACTAAAATATTTATCTCGGTCTCTCGATTTCGATCAAGAAAATAAAATAATTCGATAATGGCGTGAATCGAGAACGCTCTGTCTCTAATCTCGCGACCGAACAACGAATACTCAGTGTTACCAGGTAACAACCTTAATTACAGCGGGACCCATGTACGCCCGCCAAAAGGTCTAAAGAAACCCCCCTGACCCGTAGCAAGAATAAGTTTATGAAGCCATCGACCATCGGTTGCCTTCCACGCCGTTTTATAATCCGCAATTTGGTTCTCTATTTTAGGCTTAAACATTGTTCAGTTTTATTTCGTCTTGCATGGATTAGTAAGGTCAAGGCGCTTCATAAAATTTATTACCTGCTACGGTCGAGGCACGCTGAATTTCCCGGACGTCATACGATGGTGCCCTCGGTACCTAAGGGTAACCGATGGCTTGGAGGCGATCACCTGTAATATTTTCGACAAATACTTCTCCAATCAGGGAAAACCGCACCCTTCCCTGACAAAATTCAAAATACCACAGCAGCCAATCCGCGTGCCTTATCTCCGTCAGAACCCAAGGCCGATTTGTATTTAAGGGTAGCTTTTCTGACGGGGAGAGGGATAACAACAAAAAATTAGAATCGGTTACCATCAAATACACATTTTTTAAAACCAGCTAGCAAAGTTAAACAAGAAAAGTGAAGACCGCACTGTAGTGGACTAACAAGGGGAGGTCATACCCTGTCAACCTGGGATTTCAACCAAATTTGGCAGAGTTGTTGGGGCTGATGTCCAAACGCATTCTGTAAAATACTAGACGTTTATGGCCAGCCATTTTGTTAAAAAATGGCCTTAAAGTTTAAAATGTCGAAGTTGTCGGATCGACGTTTTTTTTTTTTAAATTGTAGGTCTCGAAGAGGGGAACACAAAAGTCCAATACATTTTTGCCGTAACATCAATAGTTTAAACAAAAATTTGAGTTTTTGTGACGGGATAAATGCATATGTACCGTGTAGTTGGAGCGTATTTTCAGCAGTCATAGTAGCCGTAGAGTTAGTGTCGAGGAATTCGGGTCGGAAGAATGGGGTTCGTGTCCCCGGAACTAGAACATTTTGTTTTTTTTCTTTTCTTCGCTTATTTTTGAATTTTTATTTATTTTTAATTTTAATTTTTAATATCATGGAAAAAGATGGCTGTTACAAATAAATAAAATACTATTATGGTTATAAATGTTTATTTTCACACATACTTACAAACATATTCTCATATTATATATTTACATCTCACGTATAAATAAATACAAAAATTAGATATTTATTTCATACGGGTTTCGCAATGCATTGTATGATTTTTATCATAAAAACAGGAAAAACATAATGGTTTCATACACCAAGCGCATGTTATAAATGCTTGTTCTGTACAGCATTTTTTATTTCTTAGGTCGTGTGGAAAACATATTTGATTCACGTTACAAAAGATTTCTTTTTTATGATTCGGAGGGGTGAGTTTAGACGCATACCATGCATATTTAATCATGTCGGTAAAAATTGGAGCAGATAATTGATAATGGATTATGGAATGTAATTTTATTATATCCTGTCTATTGGTTAATTCTCTGTTTTCGTGGATTAATGTTAGGGCGTTTTGGAGTCTTGAAAGAAAGTTCTTAACCTGTCTAAAAAAATACACGTCACACGGTTGGCAAATGGGTGTACATTTTGGTGGTATCACTTTTAACGTGCAGGTAGCCATATTTTTATCTTCCGGATCATAAAAGATCCTGTCATATAATGCTGGATTTGTTTGTCCACCCCACGAATCGATGACTAATAAGAATTTATTTGCTTTTACGTAAGGTTTTAATATATTTTCCAAAAATAATTGATAGGTATCAGATTGCAATTTCCCTGACTTTGTGCAAGTGACATGTACATTGCCTAATTCCTCTTCTTGTTTTCGAACATCTACTGCTACCCGTGGTCCAAAAAATGCTGTACAGAACAAGCATTTATAACATGCGCTTGGTGTATGAAACCATTATGTTTTTCCTGTTTTTATGATAAAAATCATACAATGCATTGCGAAACCCGTATGAAATAAATATCTAATTTTTGTATTTATTTATACGTGAGATGTAAATATATATGAGAATATGTTTGTAAGTATGTGTGAAAATAAACATTTATAACCATAATAGTATTTTATTTATTTGTAACAGCCATCTTTTTCCATGATATTAAAAATTAAAATTAAAAATAAATAAAAATTCAAAAATAAGCGAAGAAAAGAAAAAAAACAAAATGTTCTAGTTCCGGGGACACGAACCCCATTCTTCCGACCCGAATTCCTCGACACTAACTTTACGGCTACCATGACTGCTGAAAATACGCTCCAACTACCTACACGGTACATATGCATTTATCCCGTCACAAAAACTCAAATTTTTGTTTAAACTATTGATGTTACGGCAAAAATGTATTGGACTTTTGTGTTCCCCTCTTCGAGACCTACAATTTAAAAAAAAAAAACGTCGATCCGACAACTTCGACATTTTAAACTTTAAGGCCATTTTTTAACAAAATGGCTGGCCATAAACGTCTAGTATTTTACAGAATGCGTTTGGACATCAGCCCCAACAACTCTGCCAAATTTGGTTGAAATCCCAGGTTGACAGGGTATGACCTCCCCTTGTAAGATAGATTATTAAATATTAAAATAGTTAATTGTATCTCAATCATTACACCAACCACCAAATATTTAAGCGCTATTAAGTTACCGCTTGAAGCGCATCACAGAACGAAAAAGATAAGTGTGCGCGTTGAACACTCAGAAAACGATTAAAAAAAAAAATCCACGCCTCCGCAGCATCGCGTACCACCTCCGCCTCCGGTGCGTACAATGCTTAAAAAAAGAAACGCGGACCGCCGGTTGTAATGCCTTACCTTTTTACGATTCTGCGCGCAATATTTCCACCCTTCGATCGCCGTCGACCAGATGGATCCTCGGATCGTTGGATGCCGCGATCGGTCGACGAGTCGATACCGAGAAGGAACGCAGACGTCGGAGGATACTTAAAGTTCATTATTATTAATACTGTTGTTCTTATTATTACAACTTCTGGAACCCCCTTCCCCCCGGTCATCGCGTTTCCCACGCGCTCTCTCGATCGACCTATCTCGTTCTTTCTTCAACAGGCTCCCTCCGACGTTCCCGCCCCCCTCCCCCCGCCCCACCGTCGGCTAGCTCAGCCTATATAAACTGCCGGCATCTCGGAAGTCTCCTCATTCTATACGAGGCGTCAGTCTATGTATAAAGTCGGAAGAAGCAACGCGGAATCCACGTACGTACACGTATCGATCTGAACGGCGAAGGAGCACGCGTACGCTTGTTTGAATTCACCCGCTGAGCACACTGGGCGGTATCAGTAGCAGATCGCGAGTCCTCGAGTGAGGTCCATCCTTGCAGACCGCGTTTCGCAGTCGAGCCACCGCGCGGATCCATCCCGCCTCGAGACTCGTCGGAAAATACCTCTCCACTTATACACGATCCACGAGGATCGCATGACGAAAGTTAACGCGCACGCCATCGCGTTCACGCCGATTCGAAAATAAAAACGTCCGACGAGGAGAACGGAGGAGAAAGGAGAAACCGGAGGAGTCGAGGGAACTTTCGTGGAGAGAGTTGCTAGCCCTTAGATCGTTGTATCCAGCGGCGTATCCGGCCGGCAGTTTCGAACGATACCACCACGGCAAAAATGACTTTGCCGCTGTTTAAATTAATTGTGACGTTAGGAGCGGTTCTCAGCTTGGTCGAATTTTCCTCCAGCGCGGCGGTCAGATCGGAGGTAAGTGACGATAACGACAATTGTCGCTGTTTACCGTTGGGAAAAAGCTCGTTGATCCTCGATCGTTAGGGATCGATCGCGTATAACGGTAGCCGGGCAAGGGATCCTGAAGGCTGCTTCTTTCGCCGGTTCTCGCGTGCACGCGCGATCTCTTTTTGCCCTTTCGGTTTGCGCGAACCTTCTTACTGCACTCGAGGAAATTTCGCTGCTTCTTCCTCGAGTATTCTCAAATCGCGTGTACCGCCGATGCCTCCGTCGCCGTAATTTAAACCTCGTCAAGAAGGCAAAGAAATTAATTATACGGTCCCCGAGCGTTTCCACGGACCCGAATTGTTACGTGGTTTGTAATATATTTTTAATATCGGAGAGATCCTTCCATCGACTGTCCCGACCTTCCACCATCCATTACAACTGTATATCTTATTTTCGAACCGATGGGGCTCTCGGTGAAACTCAAGCAGCGTTTCCCTTGATTCCGAGAATCACGAGCAGAACTGGGCGAATTTTATCCGCGAACAATGCGAATGCAAATTTTAGATTTATTCCGTAAACTGCTTAGATTGAAATCTATCGACAGATTTATTAGACCAACGAATGTAAAATATTTATTATTCGCGAATGTACTCGCTCGATTCTGATCCCGAGTTTGCAATCTTTTTACTCTTATTTTGTAACAACTCGATACGAAATTGCGAAAAGTCGATATCAATTGACATTGGATTAGTAATCTTGTTCGATTAAAGTAATTGGGACGCAACCTGCGCAATAATACGAATCGCTAAAAAATTACGATTTTCGAATTCGATATCGTTGATTTAACGTGTAATAAAAGAGCCGAGGAACTTCTTCTCCGAACGATTTCAAAAAAACAATTCAAATATTAATTGTGAAATAGTATATTAAATTGACAAAATTGTTCGTGCGGCTTTCAATATGCGAATAGAAAAAGAGAAACTAATCAAGAGCCTTAGAGGTTTAATGGTCTCTTAGAAATCCTCCTAGAAGCTTTGCCCATCGAGAAAATTTTGCAGTGGGCAATATTTTTATTTCAAAGATAAAGACTTTCATAAATTTTTATATATTTTCGTCCGGTTGTTTCCTTTTTTAAAACTTCGTTTGAATATCAATTTGTAAAATTATGTCAGAATTGTAAAACAATCCCAATCTCCAAACTTTTTTCGTCGCGATATAAATATTAATTATCGAATGACCATGCGTTCTTAATATTTGAACTCGCGAATTTTTTTGCCAATAAATTATGGTCGAACGATAACATATCGAGTAGTCTTAAAGGAAAGCTTGCAAAGTGACTTCGACGTCGAGAAATTAAAGGTAAAATTGCGTTCGTGCTTACGGAATGAAATTCTACCTTCGACGACGTGATCGAAGCGTTATGCTATCTGCAATAGCTGTTATTTCGGTCGAAAATAGCACAAGATATGTAAAATCAAACACCTTGTGCGTATATTCTTGCAGGAGTTCGCGGAGCAAGTGCGACAGATCGTCCACGAGTCCGATCCCGACAGAGCTTACCCCGACGAAGCCTACCCCGACAGCTTGAGGATCCTAAGGGCGACCGAAAGCGGAAGCGACAAACCTAAACGGAACTGCTATGATTCACCATGCGGATGGAACGCGTACGATCGCATCACTCGTCGATCCAAAGTTTTCATGGCAAATACGTAAGAAACACTGCATATATCCACCGATAAAACTAATTCGAGCCTAACATCGTTCGACCTCCATGAAAAATATTTTCTATTATTTAATGCTTATTAATATTGCTGAAGTGATAAAAGAAAATCTATATTCTCCGTATTGAATGTGTGTGTCTTTTGTTCACGATTGGTTTGCTGTTTTTCACGTTTTTCTGTAGCTCGACGGGCACATGTTCATTTATTGCTATTAAACCACGTTTATTGATATCACTTTAACAAATATTTTGCTGGTTCGAGTACACGCGATCTAATTCTTCCAAAATTAAATTCTGGAAGCCTCGTCTACGTATTCGAAATCGAACTTCAAACTTCGAATTTTCAAATTCTTTATTTCCAGAGAAATAACCAAACAACTCTAACGTTATCGAGAAATATGTGATTCTTGTTCTATTTTAAAGAAATCGTTCAAAATTTCAAGGATATGTCATAATTATTAGTTACTGTGCATATATGGTAATCAATTATCTTCTATTGTCTCGCTGTTTCCTACACCATTCCGTTACGCGAACAGTGAATCAATTTCAAACGATCCACACGCTGAGAATCATTGAAAATTTTTAACTATAAAGATTGTAAATAATTACGAGCATACAATTCTTGTACTATTTATGCAAATATATATATAATCCTATATACAAATCAATAAACGACCTCGGTCGTTTAAGAAAAAACGGATTACTTGAAACTACGAGCCACGTATCTATAGTTTTGATATAAATGTGTGCATAATGATCATAATATATAGATATACATTCAATTAATAATCATTAATAAGACGTGCGTCAAGCAGATTCTTAAGAAAACATGCTGCGAATGTATCAAGAATATGCGTAAGCGATTGGTACCCAATGTCCATTATATATCATGAGTAAGCAAAGAAACATCGATAAAACCCGATCTTCATGAATCGACTGTGCTATACGCAATAACCCCGCAAAGTAAAGAGTAATAAACACTTTATCGTTTACCAACAAGTTCATAATGAATCATTAATCTCTTCGTTTCGTACTAAAGAAGCTACTGTTCAGACTGATTTTTGATCGTCCGTCCGTTTCCGATTTCTAAATACGATACTCAAAATATTCACGATTCATAGGAATATTTTTAAAAGGAAAAGCACTGTTTTAAAAACTTGTCTCATTCTACATTTTCCTATTAGTTATTTATATATATATATATACGTTGTAATCAAGAGTGAAAAAATGATTCTATTCGTTGGAAAAACATTTATTTTATTATTTGAAAAAATCAGAGTAAATGAATTCAAAACGATATGAGAAGCACGAGATATAAGTTCATAAAAGTATAGACTAAAATAGTAAAATAAAATCTACTGAATTGCTCGTCGGTTAAAGTGAAGAATATTTATGAAACTTATTTGGAAGAAAGTAAAGAAATCATGTAAATATTACTTCTATCGTTGTAAATATTTGTCTTATTGGTCGTCCGTTGTAAACACGAACTGACCTATAACAGCGCATTATTTTGCTTTTTTCTCTTTTATTATTGTGTATATTAGGACGGGAATATATAGACTCGCGTAATTTATTATATAAAGAATATTTAATACCTAAAATTTGTGGGTACCTACAAATCCCTGCTGACTAAAAAAAAGGGAATCGGCAGAAGGGGTTGCAATTCGTTTTGAGAGACCAAAAATTATGATTTGTTTACCTTACATAATAGAATTAGATAATTAGATTACAGAAATACCAATTTTAAGTGTCGGAATTAACTATATCAAAAGTTATAAGTATTTAAAAATAAGTACTATACACGTGTTATACAGGGTGTTCTACCCCTGGGAAAAATTTTAATGGGGGATTCTAGAGGCCAAAATAAGACGAAAATCAAGAATACCAATTTGTTGATGGAGGCTTCGTTAAAAAGTTATTAACGTTTAAAGTTCCGCCCGTACTGAATTTTTTTCTCAAAAATGCGCAGGATTTCGGGGGTATGTCTATTCACCAAAAATGATTGTAATTGACCCCCGCAACAGAAAATAATTTTTCCAGAACGATTTGAAATTTTTTAATTTAATTGTTAATAACTTTTTAACGAAGCCTCAAACAAAAAATTAATATTCTTGATTTTCGTCTTATTTTGGCTTCTGTAATCTCCCATTAAAATTTTTCTCAGAGGTGACCGAACACCCTGTATACGTAGCTTCTTTCAACGACACGAAACTTAGTTGGTAAAGAGGTTTGTGGCTTTTTCAGCAGACAGAGACATTATCGGTCATATTTAAAATTGTCTAAGTCACGAAACCGAAGAAATTAAGATTTTCATTTAGTATTACATCGAAGGATGAATTTTCAAAAATAAATACTAAAGCAAATTTTAAATGACGTAGTTTACAATTGTCCTAAAATCAAAGTTTTTGTCTCGCAGAGAATTTTATGGTTTCCACCTGGCGGTGAACGCGCGAAGCTTGACATTAAATCTGTATTATTCTAGCGACAGAACCGCCATCATAAAAACTCGCAAATTCGAAACTATTCAAATAATTAAATAAATTTCCGCGTATAAAACTGTATCGTTGATAAGAAAAAATAGGAGCTAGAATTTTTGATGCCACAAAACGAAGTCTAAACGCAACTTTATTTTCTCTTTTAGATGCAGATGCCCCGACGAAACCTACAGGTGCGTACACACTGGTGAGAACTTGTCGATGAGCGCGTATGTATATCATTGCCGTCAAAATACGACGGTGGATTTCGATGACGGTTTGGACTCTGCAGACTACGTAAATTAGAACGTGCGTCCGTTGTCATGGTGTCAACCACTACTTCACCGTGTCGAACGAACAGATTTCCACTTACCTCCTGGTCCCGGGAACGCCGACTATTCCTTCGTTATCGGCCAGTAATATTCTTCGTCCATTTCCTCTTCCAGTAATCTCCTTGTGCCATTGGTTCACGAGAAAGGATGGCCAATAATGACACGAACGTCTTGTGTTGACTCTCATGCACGTAAACACAACTTAGGATGAAAAACAGGACGGGTCACCAGTTTTATTTTCATCGCGTGCAAAGTTTTTCTGACGGTGAACTTCGAAGTTTCGCGGTCGACTAAACCTAACCCTGCGACGAAAGCGCCACGCGAAACTCGAATTGTACGCAGAGTCCCGATTCAAATCCGACTGTTCCCGACGACCAGAATTATATTAAGTTGAATAGTATATGCTCTAAATTTTTTGCTCATCGGCATTCGTTCGATTATATTTAAGAGTTTTCACCAAATTTTTAGTATTAGGACACGGATCGAATGAAAATCGAGAGATGTTCGAACAAAAGTTATCGGAACCCGAATCACGAGCGCGAGACTTTGAGACCCAAGTATTATGCCACACAACGATTGTTTTCAACAGAATTCGATACAGTAGCTTCTCTTTAATTACTCTTCATGATTCTCATACAGTTTTAGCAAGATTTTTTAATTCAAATTATTGATTTTTACCTTGATACTCAACTGTGTGTCTTCGAACAGCATCAATCTGAACAGGAACTGACGAACTAGACGAACAGGAAGTAACTGACCGGTTGATTATTAGGCGGGAATTCTGCGTTGCCATGGAAACGAAAGTATTACGCCATACAACAATTGTTTTCGATAAAATTTAATACAGTAGCTTGTTTTTAATTATTGTTCGTGATTTTTGTATAATTTTAGCAAGATGTTTTGATTAAAATTATTAATTTTTACCTTAATACTCAACCGTGTGTCTTCGAACAGCGTCACCTCGAGTAGACGAATAGGAACTGACCAGTTGGTTATTAGGCGGGAATTCTGTGTTGCCATGAAAACAAAAGTCTCGCGCTAAATTGAGATTGTTCAATTCGTGAAAAAAACCGTTGCGAATTTCTAACGTTGCTGAAATCGATATAAAAGTGAAAAATGAGATACAAACGAATCGCAGATTGATATACTATCGTTCGACATAAACTAGACGCACGGAAGCAAAACCGTAAATTAAAAATTTTCCATCAAACTATGCACAACGTAAAATTCGCCATAAAGCGATTAAGTAGCAACTCGTATTAATCCTTTACGAATGCATACAAGAATTTTGAATTTAGTCTGTTTAAATTTTAATCATCCCAGACTCAATTCGTGTTATTAAAAGCAATTTTCAATCTCGTTCAAGTTTCTATCAAATTGTTGATAAGAATATAAACATTCGTATTTGTAACTGTAATTCCTAAAATATATTACTTCGATAAATAAACAGGAAATCGCGTTTTAAATTCCTGACGGAAATATTGCACGGCCTATTAGGATGTAAAGTTATTTGCATATTGCGTCATTTCCGTTTATCATAAATTCAGCAGGAAAAATTTTAAAAGACATTAATCATTTTATCTACGTAAAACACATTGAACGTCTAATTCAATTTTCAGACACTTGTCGAAGATCAATTTCGACATCGAAACAAATTTGAATTTTAAAGCAATTGAAATAACGATCTTATTCATCGAAGTTCATTATTAAATGGAAATAATTACTTTAAGTTAACTCTTTGCGGACGTTGTCTGCATATACTGGGCAACATACTCTTACCATTGTACATCGAGAAATTCTTTAGAAACCTATTGCATAAATCAAAAAAATTGATTTCTTTAATATATACATATATATATTAAAATAATATGTATACATTGGATAAAGTAATTTTAACATACTAAAATGTCCGTCCGTGAGGGGTTAATCGCACCTTGTATGTATTCAAGGTGATGTAAACGTAGCAAAGTTAGTTACAGTATTTTAATAAGGCGCAATCCACTATTTTGTACTTAACGGGAGAAATTCTTTCGAATTTTTTGTGTATCATAATCAACTATTTATAACGACCTAAAAACAATAGTAATGTAACTAATATCATTCATTCAGTACGTAACATCATACTCGAATTTTTATTCAAAGATCAAAGAGGTCCCTACTCCAGCTAATGTTTATTCGTATCTTTTACGTTTCATAGATATACTACATCGTCTTGCAATTGCTTTTGAATAATATAAAAAAATACTTTATGATAAGACACGGAAGTAACAACACATTATCTCGTCTTCTTCAATTGCATTACATTTGATATACATGAAACGATAAAATAGAAAAGTAATTATATAGAAACGTTTTTCTACACGTTTGCAGTTTCTATTTACTATATTACCAAAATACACATATAGCTTATATTCTTAATTCTTGTTTGAAGTATAAATTATACTTAATTTTCTTTTCATATATTTTATTAATTTGATGGATTTTTACTTTTTTTCAAAATGTATACTACTATTAAGAAAAGATTCAACTAACAACTCGAATGTTGCACGATTAATTTGTGCGATACATCACTCAGAAAATTAATAAGATTCTAAATGTTATCAGCGTTTTAAGAAAGCATGTAGAAAATACTGTAGAAAATAGTTCAGGCAATGTATTCGTATGCAGTATTTCATTTAATATTTAATACACAGGAAGGGTAAATTATCTATAGTTGTACGATTATCGATGTTATCATTTTTAATAAAAATAAGTAATGTTGTAGGAAACATTGTTGTATTGCATAGCATCAGCCCTGATTCCACCAACCACCACTTACCTCAACCCATAATAATAGTTATATACTTTTCATCCACTTTCATACACACTGTTATAAGTTCAATCATTTTCTGTGACCTGAAAATGCAAAATCAATAAAATAGAACAACCGTAATATTAATGGTTTATTAATATTAATAATGATTTGTGCAAAATATATCAACATTAAATTATTATCTCGAGTAATAAAATTGCCTGTACATTCACTTTTGATACACGGACATACGCTTTTAAAATTAGCAATTTCTTGATAAAATACACTATCTAGTAAATATAGTCACAAGTAGTCGAGCATCGGAAGACCGCGTCTCTCCTTTCTTTCTTCACCTTTTGATAAGATACACAGGTTAATTGTACAATTACAGTATATTGCATAACTGAGCGGCACAGTGTACTTATGTGCGTGTGTGAATGTGTATATGTAACAACATATTTTTTTTTTAAATTATACGCAGAAACAGAGACGCTAAGACTTCAACGAAATCCGTATAATTAGGATAAGATGTATCCAACTGATTGATGCATATACTATTATCCGTCAATATATTTTATACCTTATTTTCCCCTGAATGTCTTGAATGTCGACAGAATTGATTTTGCAACGAAACTGATTCGTGTTTCCGGGTGTAATGACGACTACATGCAGTCTGAATATTACACGGGAATTGTTATTTTTTTTTTTATTACCACGCACGAACTTCTATTTAGTTACTATATTTCTTATGATAGTTTCACGAACAGAGAATTTAACATTGAAAATATCGACAATATAAAAAATCGTATTTTTGTCAGGTTTATAGGTATATGTATATATATATATATATATATTTAAATATACATGTAATATCACTATAAAAGATATAGGTATACTGTATATCTTTTACAGCAATATACAAATAAAAGTGAATCGGTAAAAAGTATATACTTAAGATAGTAAGAATAACATAAAATTACAACTCGAGCCATGTACCTCGTGCGTGGTGAATCAATACCTTTTCCAATTAACACCGCACTTTAATGCTGTCATCACCTTTGCACTGTACAGGAACACCATTATAATATTTAACATTTTACAAGTTTTTTTTTTTTTATCAAGTAGCCTAAAGATCAGGTAAAAAATAAGGCCTAATGTTTATTCCCGTTTCATGTGTATATACATACATATGCAATCAATTATCGTACATCCATACATACATACATATACATACGTACAAGCATGTATTTATACATACAGTCTATGTATAATTAGTTTTTAAGAAGAGAGAGGTTTCGAATCATAATTGTATCGTTCGTAAGAAAATAAGAGAAGTAAATTATTAAAAACTTTGAACAGAAATATTTTACATATATATACAAAGTATTTCGTATAATAGCTTTCAAAATTATTAGAAAAAACTGGAAAACCTGTAGTACCGATGCAACCCGAAAGAACTTCTTTTTTTTTTAAATCTCTCATCAGTTGAAGAAACTATACAGTTTTAGCCAATTTATTTTGATCCATTCTTACATTCTATTAAACGTTTAATATTTTACTGTCGCAGTTTATTATCAATAAAAAGACATACCTGCATAGTAGAACAATGCCTAAGTTTGAATATTTTTAATTGGTAACGGTATTTAATATTTCGATGATACTCATATAAGTCTATAAAAATACAATACTGAATGCAATAAAATTGGCTGAATCTGCAATGTACTTACAAACGACAGTTATATTAAGATAGAATATTTTTCCTAAATTGTTTAAGATTACATAAAGTATCAAAAGTTTTATTTTAACTTTACTCTCTTATGTAAAACCCTACTTGGAGAATCTCTATCTAATGTGATGGAAAAATAATAATCGCGGAAAAAAAACATTACGTTTAAATAATCTTATATTACCTGATCACAAGCTTATCTTCGATACGTTTGAAAATATCGCGTATTTCGATCATATTTCATTCTCGCTATTTAATTTAATTCATCAATTTAATATTTTACATTCAAAAAAATCGTAATCATTTTAGATAAATAACAGTTTAACGAAACAGCGATATTTCCGTTTGTACCATTATTAATCATACCTGTACAGTAAAAGAATCAAATTTTGTATAAGTCGAATGCAATGAGTGTAGTACACAACTATAGACGATTTGTTATATTCCTCGATACTCCTTTCTTAACGACCATTTCTTTGCCGTCTTCATTTACGATGAATTTCATTGGCAAAACAAGACGTTCTTTAGTAGTTCATGTATGAAACCTAGGTCAAGAATCAGTCTTAATTTTGCCCACGATAATAATAATCCTCCTTTAACTAATTATTAAAAGAAAGTATCCACGAATATGAGATTATCGAAACGAACTCTCAGTAATAATTATATATTCTCAAAGAATAGTAAAGAAATTATAAGAGATGTAAGATTATACACATGGTTCCGTTAAAAGGTCGCTTTGCAAGCGTTCTACACGATAACGATTGTATTGCCGGTAAGGTGATCTAGTTTGGTCATTATCTGTGATCACTCGTGTTTTATGAGGGATTAAGTTTTCGTAACGTCCCATTAACCAATCCTGGCACAACCGATGCTGAATGTCCGCCACATTTTTAGACGCCCAAGATGCAAGCCACTGATGGAACTTCGAGTTCAAATGTTTCGTCACAGCTGGATGACACTATTACAAAAAAAAAAATAATAATAGTATAAATATTTAATATTGCTCGAGACGAATAAAAAGTTACATTCGTAAAACACACCTCTCTGGCACGGCTGAATGAATTTTGTTTATAAAGGAATGCTTCCTTACTAGCAATATAAAGCATTTGGTAACTGTTAGGATTAAATCTGCATTGTGTCTCATCAGAATTGATGATGTCAGATGTATCTCCAGAGTCTGCTAATCTTAAACCAGAAGGCCGTTTTAAAAGTGCATCTACAGAATCCAATGCTTTATCTTTATCGGTTGATCTGGAAAGACACAAATAATTATTAATAAAACATATTAGCGAAACAAATGAGAAAATATTATCAATAAATAGTCGGATGATATAAACAAGTATAATAAAAAATATTTACTCTGTGCCTTTCTCAGGATGATTTGTATTAGGCATGGATGCTGACATCATTCTAGCAGCTCTCTTCCTCCATTGTCTAACATTACGATACAGAAATACGGGTTTACGGCCTGCCAAGATTCTGCCTAAAGAACTCCAACCATTTCCATCCATCTACAACAACCATTTTATGTTAATTTTTTTTTAAATGTAAACTTTAATGGTGTAGATATTCGTATCTAAATCTTAATAGCATTATTCATTTCACTACTGTATGTAATTAGTACTAACAATAACTTTAACATACTTAATGTAAAAATTCTCTTATTACAGCACAATTGTAAAATGATTTATTACAATATTGTGCACGTTGCTTTTTATGCTTTTAAGCATCATTTCATGCTTTTCTTGAAGTAATAACAATTAAATAAACTTTAAAACAGAAAGCAATAGAATTTAGAAAGGAATTACAAAAATAAATAGTAGAAAAAGTCATAACATAACAATTTTTGCTTTTCTACATAAACAACTAAACTTTTATAAAGTTATAATTTTAAAGCAAAAATCACTTTAAAAAGAAAAATTAATAGTTATTCCTTTTTGGTCCTATTATCTTCGTTTTTCTTTATTCATTGATGTTTTCTTTAACTTAATAAGTTACTTGCCATTATGTGATTGTCATTACACGCTGACACATACTTAATCACATACATATCAATGAAGTTGTATTCTATAAATAAAATTTACCAGTAATTAACTCGGAGAAATATGGATAGGTCAAAGGATATGTTTTAAAGATGAATGTAAAAATGTTAATATTTATGCAAGAAATGTTATGCACAAAAAGCAATAATCGGAAATAAATCATATTCAGCAAAATGTTTGCAACAAAACAGGTTGCATATTGTTTTATTATTTTTTTGATATATTATTGATACTATATGAGTAATTATTATTAAATAGTGAATCATATTCGATAACAAAATAATTTAAACGATTAGAAAATAAATAAAAGTTGAACATGTTAGAATTCATTATTAATTGTAAATTAAATATCATATAATCGTTTTTATTAATATATAATAAAAACTGTATTAACAAGTACCACTATATTTAGTTCCAGTACCAATAATATTTCGCAAATAATAAAACATTTTGTTCGTATCATGTTATACAAATGAAATTAATGCAAAAGCATAAGATGAAGTGGAAAGAAACGTGTTTAAAATAATATTTCCAGTTCAATTTACGATATATCTACATTCATAGACAATGAACGAACTTGTGGACCAAAAGCATAATAAAAGAGAAAAGTATTAACATAATTTTAATTAAACTATTCAATAATTTTAAGCTATGAGCTTTACTATTTTAAAATACAGATGTGTTAGAAAAGAGATATATTACTCTTAAGATTTATCACCGTTCAATATTTGGCATATGTGATATAATATTGAAATAATAAGCAAAACAAATCGAAGCTAAATAAGAAAATATCTAAAATAAAAATCAGATGAGGATAAACAAAAATTTAAACATCTGAATTAAATATTTATGATTATCATGTATTTAAATACAGTGTTAAAAATATTTCTTTTTTTTTTATAAACAATACAGGCAAAGAACTTCTTATAAAAAATGAATATCATTGGAGAATCAAAGTAATAAATTTAGTGGTACAAAATGATGTTAGACAATAATGTTTAAAAGCATTGTTCATGTATTTCAATATCTCTCTTCTATACAATATTATTGTTATCTATTATTATATGTATATTCGTTTCATATACAGATTACAGTTACAAAATATATATATATATGTCTTATATATATATAGAGTTTAAAATTCACTGCGTAAAGTGAAAACGGAGATATGAGCTTATAACAATCACATAAAATCTGTCAGCAGATACGACCTCATAGTCTCAATGAAACTATATTACAAATGTTACAGTAACGTTTAAATCAGATTATTTGTGGCAACAATTACATATATGTATATCGTTAAATTAATTAAATTTGTGCCACGTTGTCTAATAAAAACGTATTGAACTGTTAAACAAATGAAAAATATATAAATACACGTACGTAATACGTGTAAACTCTCTCTCTATATATAGCGCTTAAAATTCCGTGATGCAGAGCTTTGTCAGAAAATGCATGTTTACATTTTGTACAAAATACGTAGATATATTCAATGAGGAAACAACATTGCAAACACTGCATCTGAAAATCCACTCTCGTCACAAAAGTATGTATACTGTACAAAACACTATGGCAGAGAAAACTAACAGTACCTGTTGCCCATAAAACGTATAAAACGTATATCTCAACATCAAACAATAAAACTAGTATGGAATTACTAGCGTTTTGTTAAAAAAGAAATCCTAATGCGACTTTTAAACATAATAAAGTTAAAAGCACATTAACTATGAAATTGATAAGCTTGTTGAAACCTAGAAAAAACAAAGAAAGATCATTTCATAAAAATTACTCTTCAAATGTAAAACTGAGCTCAACACGAACAATGTTTTAATCCTTGAATGATAACAATTCTTATTACTGCACTGTGAAATTATCAATACCTCCAACAGAACTGTACTATCTCCAAGGAAAGAATATAATTACACAAATGAAAATTCATTAGAGTACCGAAAGGACCTTCTTGTGCAAAAGCAATAGCAGCAACATAGAGAGCTAAACCTGTGAAACCTTTGGCAAATATTTGATCAGGGGATATCAACGCTTCATACTGTTACGTTCTTTGATCAAAGCTGCGTATTAATTAAAAGATACAAGTGACTTTCTATTTACATACTACACCATATAATCTTTGCTTCACTACTTATATATTAATATATACACAGCAAAGAATTATCATACACACGTATTTCACAATGGCGCAACAGTTAAGCCAGGAACACACTTGGTCCACGCCATGATACGCTATTTCCAGTTTAAATTTAAGCTAGAACCAATGTATACTGTATTTTATTGCATACAACAGCATGGCATACCATACTACATTCTTCAAACCAATGAATTTGATCCTAAGAATGTAATATAACATGTTGCATTGATAGCTAGTTTTATAGATCAAAGTGCTCTAAACAGGCTTCAGTCCTACTATTAAAATTCATCGTTGACCTTTTATGGAATAATCTCTAATGCCTAAAAAATACACAATTTCAATGTTTCGTTAACGTACCCTAATTTAAAGATAGGGACGAGAAATTTTCCATGCTTCTTTCATTAATTTCCACGCAGGACCTTAACGTTATATGTCGTATTCTGCGTCTTCTCTTCGCATTCGTTTTTTTAACAGTAACTCCGGCATATTAGGGGTATTGCAGTAACAAATTTTTTAGTTGGAGTAAGACGAATGACAGAATATGCCACGATACTGCACGACGTGAAGTGGCGTGGAAGTAATGTGTTCACGAGTCAATATCCATATTTCCTTTCCAAAGGCTTCACTAATCTTTGAATATGATAGCGAATGGTGGAATTTTATAAGTTAGTGATGCACACTACCAGTCGACCTAAGTTGCGTATCAAAACATATGTACAAATTTATATCAAATATTTACATTCTTTAAGTTCTATTTCATTTATAAATTCTAGGAATTACGATCTTATCTAGTATAATAATAGATGAAAATGAAATAAAGAGTAAGAATTGACCAATATCAAATGTTATGTTTTAAGCTAACATTTTACATTCGTTATGGCACTACTCGGATGACTTCATTTGTGTATGCCGTGTCCCCTTCCTGTTTTGTACATATGCAAATGTGTTACACATTTGCCACTATTTTTCATCCCACAACTACACCTTTCTTCAATTATTTAGCTTTCTGTTTTTAAAGAAACGTAAAGTGGACAATTACGAAAACAGTACGATAATAGACAATACACATCAATGTATACATTAAATTTTCCTTGTTCATTTCGTTGACCCGATTATTTTTACGTACGATAGCACGTTTACAGAAAAATCATGTTTTCAACATGAAACTAGATAAATCATTTTTAATGAAGTAAAAAGATTCCAAATTTTACAAGCTTTCACAAAGCTTGTATACTCTTATACAGTCATTTACAAAACTCACATGAAACAAAAACAACGAACAAAAACGTTATTAGATAACCATGAGACGAATAAATATAAAATTTAAATAAAATTACGAAAACAAAATATAAAATTTGTTATATGTGAATTTACATATCGTGCATTTTCCTTCATATTATGAAAAATATTAAATACCTTTCAATCCTAAACCCATAAAAAAGATTTCAATTAAAAATATCACATTAAAAAAAAACCCTGATGAATAATTACGTGGACAAGTACGTCAACCTAGAAGTTGTTCGCATCGTAAAAAAACGAGGAAGCAAAGCAATTACGAAGAACGGATGAAATAGTACTAATAATAGTAGCATGTTTATGAATGTTGTTGGCGATCTTCTGCATTTGAAATTTGAAAAAATTGCTCTTCAAGTGTCGTTGTCCTATTTTAAATTCATAGAATGTAGAAATATAATTTATAAGGTATCGTATAACGTTTAACGGTGTTGTTGCAACACACCAAAAGTACGAGCGAATATATACAGAATGAAGAACGGGGATTTGTTTTGTAGTCCACTATGCAAAATTTTACTTAATTTACAGCACCACGTTGGACGCACTGAGATGGAAATCATGTCTCTCTTATCTCTTTAAATATTATGAAAATAAATATATGACCTTCCGTTATCTTTTTTTTTTGCGTTTAAAAGAATATTAGTTCGTTCTACTTATGTATACAAAGATCTGTGACTTCTATGCAACGACAAGTATGAATCAGTGCTTTGACCCCATTCGCATAATAAAGCGTCGATGATAGCAGATCTTGTATGACCATGTAGCTTCCTCGTATTAGCAAACAACCGATATATATATATATATATGTATATATATCCATAAATACATATACATATATATAAACGTATACATATACACATATATAAAAACATATATGTACATCTATATAAAACATATACATGTACACATACATTTATATACGTGTACATATACACACATACATGCTGCAACGTTTGATCCTAAAATATTTTCTACTTTTAAGGAAGTCAACAAAGATTCTCTTGAAGACTGATTTCTGGAAAAGTGCCTGACTGCGATTAAAACGTTTTACGCATGAATACCTCAGCATTAATATAATCACACGAAGTAATAGAAGAAAGTTTTGTATAACTTCCATTCTTTGGGACACTAGTTGTACACTAAATGGCAACAGTACAACTCCAATCACAGACATCAAATACGAATGAACGTAAACTGCAACGGTGGCAATGATTATGAAAAGGGATGTGGATCCTATACCTTCTTGCTAATGTCAGTGTTCTTGCGCTTTCTGCCCCTCCCCCCCCTTGCTGCCTGGTCGTTACTCACAGGATGATTGGTTGTTGGCTCATTGTCTGTTAAGGTAGGGGTGTCTTTCGGGCTAGTCTGTCCAGCTGGAGCAGAATACCTCTCAACATACGTAGACCATTTTTCAGACACTGTAACTCCTTCCCTTTCCCTTTCCCTACAACTGTTGTCCATTGCCTCATCACCCTCTGTATCCAATAATTCCATTGTCATTTTGCAGTCCTTTTTATACTGTAACAAAGAAAAATTACGAATTCATAATTACCTTCGTGCAATCCGTTAAATATAACATTTTCTATTTTAAATTTTATCACATCAATAATATATTACGAATATAACGTAAAACCAAGGTAGAAATAATATTAAGACAAAAAATTTTGTAACATATTAAGTTCGAGATATCTCTTAAACCAGGTTAAATCAACATTTTTATTTATAGAGTAAATTCATTTTAAAAGAGAAGATTAATATTGAATACTTACTATGTATATTTTAAAACAGTTTTCGTCTGCCATGGCTTTCTCAGCTTTACGTTGATACGCCATTTCTGCACCAAGTCTCATATATGCAGTAGCACACAAACCACCGGCACCACTACTTTCTTTTGGTTGACGCTGCTCTCGTTGAAATAGTTCCATGCATTGTTGGCATATGGGATCCGAAACCAAATGCTGCAACTGAACGTATCATATTTTTGTTTATGAATTAGTTACCGTTGTAAAGACGCATTAACTGGCATTCCTAGATAAATTTTGAAATGTTAAAACACGTGTACTTACTTGTCTCACAGCATACGTTACAACCTTATCCAACGTGAAGGCAATATATGCATGAATACCGAACATTTCTCGTAACGTATCTTCATACGCGGTGCTCTCCATGTTACCGTCCAGGACATTTTTAACCATATCCAAAAATGCAGGATAATAGTCCTCAATTTCAATTTCATCTACATCAAATACACGACCGTGTTAAATTTTAATGATATTCATTTGCAATTGTTAGTTATGTACATAAAACAATAGTTTATTTACTTACTTTTGGGTTTTAATCTTAATGCGACGGCTGTACTTTCTTTGCGCTGCTGCTTGTACCGCGATTCCTCTTCCGCAAGGGCGACTGCTCTTTCATACATTTTTGTCAACCTTTCGCACAGGATGTGATGTAACCTCAAAAAGAGGTACCAATTGTTACTCCCCATGAAAAGCGTGTACGCTTCTTCGGGGTCGTTCGACAGGGCATGAATGGGTAGCTTTACATCGGGTTCGGTTTTAATCGACGTGGAAGACGGAATCGGAGATACCGGCGCTTTGTTCCTATTCGCTTGAAGACCACCACCCAACGGAGAAGCATTCATCGTTATTGATTGAGAATTGCTACACGCTGCTACATTCATATCTTCTTTTTCATCTGTTACGATAACGCGAATTAAATAAATTCAGTTTTTTTATAAACCATAGAAATTTCGTTCAATTGTTATGTTTTACTTACCATCTTCGTCCCTTTCGTCGTCGCTAAGCTCCTGGCGTGGATGAAAGAAAAGATCAGGTATAAAATGCTTCAATAAAAGCTTTATTCGTTGTTTATCTTCTTTGTGGATAGCTGTTTGACGTTTTACGTGATGAATAAGAAGATTAGCTGCATCGTCTAGAACAGATTTATCTTTATAGGGTAATACAAGGTGCGGGCCGCTATTGTTTTGGCCGTCTCCGTTGCCATCGTCCACTTGTTCGTGTCTCTGCAAGATGAACAGATATTTAATAACGAGAAAATAAAATGTACATGCGTAAAAGAAACGTTACAAACCTCATCATATAACGTTTCAATCTCATTAAATAAGCTTTTAGATCTTAGTGCTTTCACGTCATTTTGCTTAAAATTGATACCCTGATGATCTAGGGACTTTAAGTAGTATTTCTCGTTTTGTTCTCTCCAAATTTTATTAAAACCTTTCTGCGCCTCCCGCCACTCCTCCTCTTTACTTTTTAATCGTCGGAGAACCACTGGTACCGCTACTATAGGATTTTTCTTAAGACCGTCTATAATATCAGCAGCTTTATCGCCGTATATCCTCTTCAAAGCCCTCTGATGAATCGTAGGAGAACAACCACCAAGACAATCATCGAGCTTGAATTTCTGAAGTTCCTCTTGACTCATTCTACTCATTTTCTTGTGAACACCTTCGAGAACTCTAATCGTTGACGCATTTGTTTCTATCACACCGTCCAATTCGAATCGTTCATCCTCGCAGCGATAAATCGATTCTTCGTATTGAGTTTTTCTAAATATTACATTGAACAATAAAATGTCCCGCGTCGATTGATCACAAGTACAATGTAAAAAATAATTAGGAAAATAAATACAAACCTCGATGTTACGAATGTACTGTCCTCTGACCAAGTTGGAAACGAAACCCATGTATCATTAAGAACTTCTTTACACAACTGCGTTCTCCCTGTACACTTTGGTTGAACGTATGACTTTGGTAACGCGCAATACGACGCTCCTAGACGTTTACATGCTGTATAATCGATTTCCATCGCCAAATCGCCTTGAGGTCGTTCTTGATGACTTCGTACAACATTATTTGGTAGCGCTTCGACGTTTAAATTGCTCCCTGTGTTTGTTGTGGCGGTGGTAGAGGAGTCAGGTAAATGACCAAGAAAATCCTTAAACCAGCGTAAAAGCTCCGGAAAGCGACCGAGAAATGGCGTTATCAACTGCACCAACTCAGATTTGGACACTATCTCTTGATTAAAAAGGACCAAGCATCGTAGAAAATTTTCATATACTTCCTGAGACCTCAGAGCTTTACGAACCTAAGCAAGTATATTTTCAAATTCAACATTTTCTGATTTCTTTTATAGTTAAAACTTTTTAAAATTTAATACTACAATAATTCTGAATTCCAAGTGCTGACCTTGTCAAAGAACGCATAGTCGTTCAAACTGCCGTATTTCCCAGCTTCAGCTATAGTAACGCATTCGCGTATAGAGGACACCTTATGTTTCTTCAAGGGGGGTGGACCGTGTTGTATATGATGAGAATTTCCGGCTGTTACCGAAGGCGTGAACGATGGACTTCTTTTTAATTGTCCTGTACTGTGGCCAAATTTCTGAACACTATTAATATCTCGTACGCCAGATCTGTCACGTTCTCGTTCACGATCCCTGTGATCGCGACTTTCACGTTCTATTGTACCAGTGCCGCTCGACTCTCGCAATTCTCTCGAAATATTTCCCGAATTGTTGTATGGTGCCTTAGGTCCCAATGGTTTCTTAACGATTGTTGTATGATCGTTAACGGTAGCAGTCTTGTTAGTCTGAAACATAACAGACTAATACCAATCAGAAAACGCTGTTACAACTCTATATTTGAAGGAACATTAATAATCGAATATTTTATTTCTTTCTATAGTTAACATTCGATATATGTGACTCACCAGTGAGCTCTGTTGATTAGTGGCGTCTGGTAAAAATTGCCCAAATTCGGCAAGCAAATCTTCTTGATTTTCAAACAACTTTGCAACTTGACTGTAAACTTCTGCTTCTGTTAAGTGCTTTGCACCTCCAGTTGCACCGGACCCACTCGTACCACCCATATGCCCAGACTCTTTCAAATTCCTTTGTTCTTTCTGATACGTATGCAAAATTTCTAAAAATCTTTTATACTTGTCTGGTTGACCTTGGAATCGGTTCTAAAATTCAAAACAATTGAGATAGTAACACGACTTATCTTATATCTTGTTGCTATAACTTTTTCAATCAGATGCAAACCTTGATTTTATTAACATAATTAATTGCATGGTTAAATTCAACCGGTTGACTCTGTTGAGTTTGTCCACTGGTTGGTATTCCATCTTGTGCTTGGCTTAACGCTTGACTCACAGCCTGAGCTTGAGCTGCACTAACGTGCGAATTATTGTATGTCTGTACCGGTGGTGGTGATGGTGCATGTACTGTTAAACTATTGTTGGAAATATTGTTTGCCAAAGAATGATGTATATTTCCAGATCTGATTTTAAATAAAACGACCAATCGATTACTAACACGTTCGGTAAAAGAACTAAAAAGTCGAATGATAACCGCCGATATCTTACCCTTGCATTATTTGCAAAACTGGGGGTGCTTTTGCTGGTTGTGTTGGTGGACTCGCAACAGGGGGCGAACCAACGTTTACTGTACAATGATGCTGCGATAAAGTAGCAGTATGCGTTGCCGTTGGACTCGGCATACTGACTGATACTTGAAACGCGTATCCTTGCTCGTTTGCCTGTACTTCTATTTTATATCCCGGTGGAAGAAATGTGTTGAAACCAACAATAAGTTCAGGATGCCCTTTGAATAAATGACTCACTCGTGTTATGACTCCTGGAGTATCTATGCTTTGTGACTTGAATTCTTTCATAATATCTAAGAAGTCATTATACACCTACAAATAAGCATGTAATATAATTACTTGTATCAACAATACTATTTAATGAAACAGACATGGAATATCATGCTACATAAATTATCTTCAATATACCTGCGGCTGATCACTAAATTTGTACTTGACTTTATCTAAGTAGGACAATGCATCTTCTACTTTTAATCTCTGAAATTGTTGGGATCCACTACCACCACCTAGGCTGGTGCCTGGTGGGGTTGAAGCTAATGGTGTTACATTACTAGAATGAACCTATGAAAGGAACAAGAAAATTTTTATGCAACATTTATTTAGTCGAAACACACAAAATCTTTTCAATTTTGTATAGATACGTTTACATAAAATTATTGCTCATAAATGTTTAATATGAAGTTTAAAATGTTCTAATATTTATGTAATATGAACCTTATGCCTTATTGTTGGTTGTTGCTGGCTATGAACTTGACTTTGTGTTCCTGATGTAGGTTGTTGAGAACCCATACTATGGTTATTCCCACCACCTATCCCACTATGCAATCCTCCACCAGTATTTACACTGCTACTGCTACATGTAGAAGTAAGTCCTGCAGATCCACTTCCCTAAAAAAAAAATATGCAGCGATTGCAAAATATCCTAACGCAATTACTACGGAACATTCGATCGCGTTTCTGTATTTGTAAACTTGTAGCACGGTACAAAAAAATTAATACATCTTGAACATAAAGATACTTTAAACAAAATTTTATTTATCTTTTTGCTTCTCGCTAAGCAGGCCAATAAATCGTACAAATCACATCATAGGGAAAGAAATTTATTAACGTAGCAATTACAAAAGCGTAACGCGCGGACGTTTAATTCGATAGATCGGTTTTAAGCGGATTAATTTCATTCGCTCTCGTATCGGTTGCACCGTATATTTTGTACTTCGTAAAATGCAATTATGAGCAATAATTCCAAAGAGAAAAAGAAAATTCAAATATATCGTTATATTTAAATAAATATTTTAAAAATAGCAAATATTCAAGAACGTAAAAAACGATGGTTTCGATTGTTTTTCTGTTGGTCGCTATTGTTATTATAACGTAGATAACGCACCTTAATGGGGGACGGAGCCGCGGTCGGCACAACAATTGCTCCAGTGTATTGCTGTTGAGCTTGGGCAGTTCCAAATTGTATGCTTCCCGGCATTTCTTTCGAAGTAACTGATCGAACTGCTTGGCCAGGTACAACAACGCCTATTCCACTGCTTGAATGGTACTCTAAACCACCTCCTCCGCCACCTAAGCCACTTCCTGCACTCACTGACGAGTGCTTTAATGTTGCTGCTGCTGGTGATGCTACCTCGTCCAGCCCGCGAACGCGTTTCATCGCAGATCACATTGGAAATGCTACGAATCGAGAGACGGTATCGCTCAAACACTTATTCCACGTGATAGTATTATATTGTTCAACCCTTTGGTTGCCGTGGTTGTTTACAAGTGCTCGATCGGTGCAGTGCGTGCAGCGAACGCCTATAGGCGTTCAACAAATATGATTAAGAAATACGACTACGGGACTCCTACACACTACACACGTAACGTTTAGCGTTCGAGCTCAGCATCAAAAGGGTTTATGTATTAAAAAATGACCATCGTCTGCTATGCACTCAAACAATAAGGTTTGCAGTATCGTTCTCGGCATATTTGGCGCGCCACGGAATAGACGGAAGAGCACCGTGCAGCTTCGAAAGCGTTCAGTATTGTTTCGTTTACGGTGATAAAATGACGCGATCGCTAATGCATCCACAGTACGCGAGCCAACGCGCACATAAATACGTTCGTATGCGAGCTGAAATGCAATCTTAAACTATATTCTATGCACTCGAAACGAATTGATTTTAATTTACACGGCTGTCCCGGAATTTTGAAAGCACCGCGCGCCGAGAGCTACGTGTGACAGCACCACGCAACGGAACCGAAGCAGTGAGAGCACTTTCCCGTAACTTCATACGTAGAAGAAACTTTCTGTCTAAAAAGATGCGACGGAGATCGTGAAAATCGACGAAAAGGTAAAAACCTCATCATTGTTTCCACGAAAGAAAATCACCAAGTTACGAATCCTAAACGTTTCCCTCGCATTTTCACGGATTCGAACGCGTCACAATGCGACTCTGAAATTAATTCCGAACATCCGTATGCGATATCTTGTTAAAAATATATTATACGATATAGCAATTTATTATCGATCGATTTAAAGTAATTCAGAATGAGATTTTTCGTTCGATTTTAAAGTTAAAAATAGCCGAATTACTCATACCTACGACTACTATATACATTGCATAATATTAAACACCTAAAATGCACGTGGTTATGTTTTTTTAATTCATATGGATATGAAAGGTTATTGTAAAGAATAAACAATAAGCTTAATACTAGAAATTTGTTGAGAAAATGGACTTTTTATAGTGTTTCAGATAATATAACCTCACATAAATGATGCTGTGTATTATATATGTATAATTATATGTACGTATACGTTCTGTAAAAATAAAAATTTCTTTCAAGAAACATTAATGATCATTAATATTGATGAATGCACACTGAAATGCGTGATACATTTTTAATCGTATAATTACCAATTGCTCTTGCATATCTCCAATTTGTACACTGTCATATGTACATTTTTATGTTGTGCTTTTTAATGACTTTCGGATCAAATAAGCAAAACCATAATGTAGAAAAATATATGCTATAAAAAGTATGACATATACATAAATTAAGTCTTTTAAAACCTAGTTCTTAACCGTTGCTCATATTATTTCTTCGATGTTTGACTTTGTTTAGATGTACGATATAGAAATTTTCTCCTAAGATTATTGATGTTTACACAGGAATAAATCCTACTGTTGTTACTTATTAATTGAATCTATGAATATGTTAATTAACATTATCTAAGTGAATAGATAAGATTTTCAAGGAAATATGTTCTACTTATGTTTGTTCCTATACTTGTACTTATGAAAATATATGCCTAAATACTTTATTCGTTACTTCTTTTTAACCAGCAATGTTACAAAGATTCATAGCACTTTTTGAATCTTTTTCTAACAATGTTTACTTTGTTCCCATGAATATGAGATACAAAATATAGCGACAAACAACATGCAAAAAAGGTTCTGATACTATAGAGAAACTACTTGTGTATGCTTGTAAACACTGGTAAGGTATCTGTATGATTTAGAATAATACAAAGTTAAAGAGGATAAAAATCATATTATCAAATGAAAGTTATACTGTATTCCAAAAGTTTGTTATAAAAATAATTGCACCTTAATGCTTCTACGTCTGCATAGTAGATATACATCTATATAATAGTTTATAATGATGTTTCATGTATATAGGAACATTGTTAATATAGACAAAAGAAGAAAATGTTCAGATATTAGGTTGATGCGTACAAAATGTTTCTTTAATTTTGGGTTATACGGTATTCAATCGTTAATTGTTATATATGATTTTAAAGACGAAGGATTTTCTTCTAAAAGAGGTTCCTAGTTTGGTACTTCGTGTTTCTTGTTTTACAATATAAAGAATCAGTCTAATGACTGATGTTAATGCTGTATAAAAGGAAGGTGTAACTTTAATATTTGAAGACGAATTCAACGTTAGTTCTGAAAATTGATAAATAATGATGCTCGAATGGTATTTAGCTTAGAGAATTCCTGACATTCGTAGAAACAAAACAATGCAACCGATGCATAGTCTAAAGATGTGCAGGAAATCATACGAATAGTGTAGACGAAATACATTCAGTTCTGAACGAGGCTAGGTGACTGATGTGTATTCGAAGAAACAAAATTTCATATGCAGCAACCTAATGTAAAAGGTGTACATACCAATGTCCATCTGAAAAGAAGTTGAACGTCCTTGCACCACTGAATTTCGAGGGAAGTTGTCCAGGAGCAAGTGGTCGAGGTGAAATGGTTGATCGCGACGAAAGTTGTACTCTTCCACGAGGAGATACGGCCGTCGGTGGAATTTCTTTCTTCGGAAAATTTCGATCGCGGTATCGGCCTCGCGAGGGGAATTTCGCTGGGACAGAGAGACGAAATAGAGCCGGTAAAGCCAGCTGCACGGACGCGCACAGGCCGTCTCGTGAAGTCGTCGAAGCGAGGTTTGTCAGTGTTGCACGTTTCCAAACACTTCCCGGCCCTCGACGTTACGCAATATTCCACGTAAATACATAACACATTTTCCCGAGAGCTCCAGTGAAAATATTCGTCCTGTGGTGCTCCTTCTACAAAGGAGCCACCTCGAGTACCCGAAGCACTTGTACCACCTCTTCCCGTCGTAATCGGTCTTTTCCAGTCGTATAACTGACTTTCCGCACAAAAGCTTCGGCTCCGTTGTTTTTTCACGACCAAAAAATCGACGAAGCCTTAACGGGCCGGTCGGTCTGGTCGCGACAGGAATTTACTATGCTCTCTCGGATCTCCCTCTCAGAACCATCGAAATCTCGTCGTGTGAGTAAACAAACTTAGTAAAATGCACATTTTCGCGAGTACTTCAATGGATTACCGCACTTTTTTAAAGAAAAAAAGGCAAATGCGAAAGGCATACTCGCACTCTCGAGGTACAAGGCAAACTATTGGATTTTGTATGGCAAACAAGGAACTGACTGGTCGTATAGCGGGATGAGGAAGGTGGAGGGGATCGCGCAGGACCGTATTCATCCGCTAAGCGTCTCTGTTACCAACCACTCGGGTACCTCCTGCAAAGCGTACGTGCCACACATAGGTCTTACGAGACTTCTCTTCGAACTTTCATTAATTGTGCATCGATTATTCGTCGGTATTTTTTCCACGTTTTCTTGGATAAAGGCACTCCACACACTTTTAAATAACTTAAAACATCCGGAATCACTCGGAATGTAATCGCTGCGACAAAATCGTCTTAGAACGCATTAACATGACAATTACGCACGCGTGTATTTGTTAGCATCGTATTTTTCTACGGCTATCGCTTGACCACGCTTTCCAGTCGATCAGTGACAGTTTAAGTTTCATAGAGCAAATAGAGTATTTCGATCGATAGAAATTCAAGTATTTTTTTTATTATTTTACCGAAATTTTTTTGTAAGCAAACATTGTCGTAATAATTCGTGTTCGTTACGTCGAATCGAATTAATATATAAGATAAAGAATGTTCATTACCAAAAAAAAAAACAGCTAATATCTATAGATATAAATACTGTGGAGAAAAAAAGCAGATGAATAGTCTCGAATAACGTACCGCCAAACTTTCGGTCAAGCACTTCTGCACACGAACTTTTTATAAGTCACGTTAATTATTATAGAGTAATTAGTAACTGAATCCCCACTTTACGAGTTCTATTTACTCGAACAGTATTGCAGTTTTCACAGCATATGGAATATTAATTACGCCATACAGCACAACGATTTAACATAGACCGATCGAGACACTCTTAATTTTCTATAAACTAAGGTACGAGTACGAAATATTTTATGCAAATAGTGTAGAACGTAAAAAAAACATAGGAGCCAGAAAGCGTGATACATACAAAAATCACTTAAAAAACTATATTACAAAAAAAATTGTTTTCATCGCAATTGCGTTTCTTTGGATTTCGGTCGATATACCTTTTTCGAGTAAGTCCGAGTACTGCGATAATTTACACAAAGGAGTTACTACTAAACATCTTCGGAAGAACATCGCATCGCGTCGATGAAATTGGAGAATTGCATGGTGCCTAATGTGTCGGTGATGAATACAGCCCTGAAAATTGTGGCGGCGAAGCCGCCAAGAGGCGCGCGCAGTCCACGAAATATCCAAGCGTTTCCCCGCGGCCGACATGTTCGCGCGGCCAACAGCTGTTCCGAAAGGCGAGCGAACTCCCCATCGTAATCTGGGTCATGGAAACTGCGCAAAATGGGTTGCACTTGCACCGAAAACGCGCATTTCTTCAAAAACCGGCGGATCGCCTCGGGAATTTCGCCTAATCCTATGGACGGAACTAGCACGCGATACGTTGCTGTCCACACTATAAATTGCCATTCGAAATATGCAACCTCCTCCGAGCAGCCGTTGCATATCTGTCAACGTGCTTGACTGGTTCCCGACGAGAGAGCCGTACGTGGATTGGCCGAGGATTTTCGGACATCGACCTACGCGCGAGCCTCGAAACGTGCTAATCACAGAATGCGTGTAGACGATATTTCGTCGAATATACCACGTGCCCGCGTGAATAATCCCGTCTTAATGTCTTACGCCCGGTATTTCTTCCTTTGGAATCTTTTATCGAACCGTCCCGTACAATTTTCTCTTCGACGCCGTACGAAGTCGGGCACAGCCCACGTGAAACGTAATCGGTATCCCTTGAATACGTACACGGCACCACGTGATTGATTTGGTATTTTCGTTTAACCTTTATAATACTCGTAATTTGTAAGTTCTTTCAGAAATGCTATTATCACGATTGTACACGTCCAGTAATTGGTTCACACACGATTCAGATTGAAACAATGTTGAGCCAACGATGAATTCTAATTTCGTCTGATACTTGGTATATGATTGTTTTGTGACGTATCGAGCACTTTAAGTCGATTAAACTTGAACCTTTTTTTTTATTAAAAAATTGCTATTCGCAGAACCATGCATCGGTAACTTTAAAATTAATGAAGAAAATATTTCTAGATTAATGCAAAGTACTTATCTGTATATTCCCACACAGCATAAATAAACAATAAAATGAATTTCCTACAAATAATATTGTTATTTTATTTATAATTAAATTTATATTTAATCTCATCTAGTCTCAGTGAAATTTGAATTATTTATAAAATATTACTATCTATGTTGTAAATACATATATTGATTAGATGTGTTAAATAAGTATATTAATTTATTTTATAGATTATATGCTATACGTTTTTAGACTAACAAACTTGTTATTAATCAAGATAATATAAACATTAAAAAGACTCGGAAAGATAAAATATATTTTGTATAATAAGAATTTCACATTGTACATTGCACATTGCAATAAACAAATTTGCCATAAAATGTTTAAGAACGTAGTTGTAGGCATATCTGGTGGAGTTGATAGTGCTGTTGCAGCATTTATGTTAAAAAATAAAGGTAATTTAAGAGCATCGAAGAATCGAGTACTACGTATCAATTAATAATATTCTTAAAATATTAAAACTAGAATTATCACAGGATTCAATGTCACTGGAGTATTTATGAAAAATTGGGATATACTTGATGAAACTGGAAGGTGTGCAACTGAAAAAGATCATGAACATGCACTATGGGTGTGTAATAAATTAAGAATTCCTCTTGTAGAAGTCAATTTTGTAAAAGAATATTGGAATAATGTCTTCAGGTATGTATCTTTATCTATTTTTTTTTAAGATTAATATTTTATTGTTTGTGCTGTTTCTAGCTACTTGATAGACCATTACGAAAAAGGGAGGACACCAAATCCTGATATTCTATGTAACAAATATATTAAATTTGACAAATTTTTTCATTTTGCGCGTACTGAACTTCATGCTGATGCTATTGCAACTGGACACTATGTTAGAACCAGTTTTGGACCATATCTTGAACATTTCAAACCAGACACCGGTAAGTATAATTTTTAATGGTATGCAAATATATGTTTCATAGTTGTAAATATAATTGGTAACATTATTTTTAATACTTTTTAGGCGTTCATTTACTTAAAGCACGAGATAAGAATAAAGATCAGACATTTTTCTTGTGTCAAATACCTCAGCACACATTGCGATATTCTATGTTTCCTCTTGGAAATCATTTGAAAAATAATGTCAAACAAATTGCCAAAGAAGCTGGATTAGATTTAATTGTTCGTAAAAAGGAAAGCATGGGTATATGTTTTGTGGGGAAACGAAATTTTCAAGATTTCATATCCGAGGTATATAATGATTTCAAATAGATTTAAAATATAGTTATTAGTTTGTTTATTAATTTTTTCATAATATTTGTAGTACATATCCGACAAACCTGGGGATTTTGTAGACTTGGATAGTGGTCAAGTAGTTGGAAAACATTTGGGCTTTCATCATTGGACCATAGGTCAGAGAACTAAAATTGCAGGTAGTCTGGAAGCATACTTTGTGCAGAAGAAGGATGTAGTAACGAATAATATAATTGTAGTATGTATGAAAAGTTAAGCACATTAATTCATTACTAGATTACTATTATTTATTAATGTTTATAGGTTCGAGGAACACATCACCCAGCACTGTATTCAAATTTTATGATGGCAGAATCTGCTTATTGGATACACAAAGAACCGGAACAATTTAATAATTATTTCAGAATATTAAATTGTGACTTTCGTTCTCAGCATAGATATCCTGTAATATCTTGCTTACTTCACAAAACTATAAATGATCAATTACTAATTCGAATTAGCCTACCTGCAAGAGCAGTTACAGATGGACAGGTATAGTTCTCTTTGTATATTAATTTTGTTATATTACTATGTTATAGTATTTAATAATAAATAATACTTATTATTAATTCAGTTTGCTGTTTTCTATAACGACGAAGAATGTTTGGGCAGTGCCCCGATTGTATGCACTGGCCCATCATATCATTCTCTTAAACAAGAAGTGAATGTTGAACAATTGCCAGATTATTACAAACCCGAGGAAGAATTTGCACATGCAACTGTGTAATTTACAATACATATTTGACAGTAGCATACTGTAAAATATACTTTTTTGGTAAAAAATAAACTGGAAAATATACTGGAAAATTTCGATATCATTTTTATTGGTTATATTGTCTTTCCTTTGTTTTTTGAATAACCTTAAAAAATCAAAATCAAAGTTTCTTCCGTATTTTATTACAGGTTTACATCGTCATGTTATTTCTCATTTGCAGCATAAAGTGTTATGTTACATTAAATATATTTCTTTACATCGACTCATCGATAGATCGAATGCGATTAAATTAAACTGTACTACTAACAATTGTCCCAAAAACAGTAAATCATCGGTAACTTGAAATTAGAAGTAGAAGATTTCGCTTACACGACAGAGTATTTGGTTAAAATGGTCCGTGATTGTAGAAAAACGAAAGTAAAATCATATTGGTGATACAATTGTACATTTCAATATTGCAATTTTCTTCTGGAGCAATACACATTTATTAAGATCTACGGGCAATGACGATGATGACCGCCGAAGAGGAACTTTATGGATGCAATATAGTGTATTGGAATTTTTTGCCAAATCATGAATGCGTCAGCAGGAGAAAAGTACAATCTAGCGGTAAGTTAATCCCCACGAATCTAATTTGGAAAAGGATCTCTGCGATTCAAATTTGACAAAAAAAGACAAACCGTCGATGTTAATCGTATAAACCATCGTGTACGATGACTCCGTAATTTTAATCAATACTAAAAGCTTAAACATTGAAAGGGAACAGAGGAAAAATAAAATTGAATATTGTACCATCCCAGAGGTACCAGCGGTTACCGGGAGCCTCGAGGGAAAGTGCAATAGAATCTGTCAACAATGTAGTATACTCGTTAATCTTTTATAATTAGGCATTACAATGTAACTTTGCGGACTGTTCTAGAGATGACGCCATAAACCACCGAGAACGATCGCCACAATATTGCAATGTACCTCTGCATTGTGGTAAAGGTTCTTTGGTAACTGCAGGGAAAAGTCATGCATAAACAGTCGAAGAACTTAGCATGTACATTGGTTTCCTGTAACTTCGTTACTCTAAAAGTTCCGGTAGAACATCAGCGGTGAAAAAAATGAAGAAAAAACATCCGACGAACTTTGACCCGTTGTTCAAGGTTCCGCTGAAATCCGAGGATTTTATTATGGGCGAGGAAAAGGGGGCTCGAACTTGTTACACCGGTAACAGTAATTGAGCCCGCGCGCTAACGGACGAGAAATCGGAAGTACCGCGGAGATGATTGCTCGTTCGCCTTTTGAAGTTCCTACGTCTTGTAACGGCAATCGGCGCTGGCGATGAGAAAAGACGTTAATAACGTCGGGGGTTACGTGTAGAATGTAAAACAGCGCGACGCGTTATTGAACGATAACTGCAAGTTATTAGGGTCGATTGACGAGTAACTGGACGTAAGGAGCGCGTAAAATGCCTCTCGCGGTGTGCGTGCACGTACAGAGCTCCGCCTCGATTGTTGGTTACCATCGCCATTGGCGTTGACCGCCGACGTTACATATGTAAATTACTCCCCGTACAAATGTCGCTGGGACTAATTCGCCCGTACGCGCAATGTTACATTAACATTCGCGTCGTGATCGTTGCCGCACAATAGGCTTCAGTCTGTTCCTCTTCACGGGCGCGGTGTCACCGTTCGAATCGGTGCTCCGGTTCCACTTGAAACTTCGCGCTACAGTTCCACGTTCGATCTCGATCCCCGTACCGCGGATCTTCCTGCCCGGCGAGGCTCCCGATCACCGGACGATGTGACATCGCACGAAATTCCAAGAGCACGCGATCGGGCCCAAGGGATCGAGACACGATTCTTTCACCGGTTGTGTAATTTTGTGGGAGTTACGATGAAGTAGAGCGCGCAGGAAGGACTGACAAGCACCGGTCCGATTTGCTTCCAGGAAAGATGAGGGGCGGAAGTAGTTTGAATCAGTACAACGACGACGACTTCTTCAGCGGCGGGCCGTGTCCATCGTGCAGGCTGGCCATCAACAAGGAAACCGGCCGACTCAAGTTCGTAAGAAGTATACTCAGGATGATTTTGTCTCCGATTACCGCGTTGGGTAACCATCGACGTGACACGGGTGATTTTGTTCGAAATGCGCAGGTGGTGCATGGGTGGAAACGACACTTGGCGCTTTCGCGTCAAATTGATGTTACTGATACCGGCGGTGTTATTGCCGATCACTATAATCTTCATCGCATTGTCGCGATCGCAGGTAATCGGCAAAGCACCTTATCACCGCACGTATTTGATCCACGCGACACGGAGGCAGGACGAGAGGGCCGAGGAAACCTTCCCGCGTAAGTCTATCGCTGTTCCGCGCAATGTACGGTGTAACGAGAGATTACTCTTAATAACAACTAAATAAATTTGATGTCCATCGCTCTTAATCATTTTTTTTATAACTTTTCTTAAAGTTCAAATCTATATGCACTATTTATAGATGGAATAAATAATGCTCGTATCGCAGATATTTTGATGTCTTACAATAAGTAATTTGAAAAAGCAGTTACATTTATTATCTCATGTTCATAACGCTGTATCTCATTTGTCTGAATGAACTAATATTTGTAAGTTAAGGCACTGGAGAGACCATTGGCAATGAAATTGTTTCTGAATATTAAAGTTGGGAAATCGAATTTTGACCGCGCGAAGCCGCTTTCCAGATCACTGTGTTCCGTAGCGACGTTCGTAAAATGAACTTGACTTTAACGACGTCCGGTCTGTTGGGTACTCAAGGATCCGTACGGTTAGAGTAAAGCGCGTACGCGTGGCCGTGATTTGTCGGTCGGTCACGAGAGAATGAGGATCGCGGAAAATGATTAATATGCGACTGAGAAACTAATCCGTTGCCTTATGATCACGGTTCACGCCGATCACCCAAACCAGAGAGGAACACGATTCTTATCCGAATAAACATTTTGAATAACGAATTTTTTAAGTCTGCCTATCTCTGATCCATACGTTATTTGATTTTGTAAACCCCAAAATATAATACTATATTTAGTTTTAGATAATAAAGTTTGGAGCGATCAGGGGGTAGATTACCTGCTTGTGATCTCTAGATCAGACAGTTATAAGTAGTGGTGGGACTTTGAATTTTATTGTTGAAAGTGTATAGTCCGGGCCACGATATAGCGAGATCGTGAACTAAACTCTTGAGGGTTGGGATCGAGTATTGTTGCGGCACTTAGGGCCGTACATGACATCTTGCTTGAGGGTGCCTTTCTGAATGTCTTTCTGTATCCGTAACTGCGCTACCTTTTTTTATTTTCTGCATGCATATATTATGAGTAGGTAAATTAAGATATTAAAGACTTGAGTAAGACCTTCACCTGTTACTATACCTCTAAAAATGGCGACACTAAATAAAACATTTCTTCGTACGGCCCTGACTATGGTCTAAGGCCCTTAGCTGCTCGTATTTCTGTCAATTCCTTGTTCCAGGAACTAAAACGTGTAAACTTTGACACCTACTCGAGTTTACGACCTCGCTATATCGTGGCCCGGACTATACATAAAATCCTAAATTTCGACACCTGTTATCCGACTACTTAGTGGAAAGAATATCGCGGGGTACTCGAAGCGTACTTAAATTTGTAAAGCGATATGCTTGAAGATAAATGATGTTACACATGTTTTTTTTGCCACTCATAGGATCACACAAGACTACAGGCATCCTTGTCGCGCCTTCACCCTCAATGTACCAGGGTTCAAAAACTATACTCGGTATAAGGTATACAGTGAGATACTCGAGGCACACTCAAGTGGCACGGAAAGCGATACCATGAAGGGTACAAACCGCCAAATGTAATTTTCATGCTGTTGGCATGCTTAGGTCCTTAACGCGCTAATGATCAAAAAGTATACAGTCCCTGGGTTCTTGACTTCCAACATTCAAGTGCACTATCGTCTTCAACCCCTGCTGTTTTTTTTTACGACCTTACCATATTTCTTCCAGCAAGAGTGTGCGTCCTGTAACTCGTACGCATAAATGAAAAAGTTGAACGGTATGACAATGTGTATCTTCTTATGACCTCACTCTTTTTATAAGTAGAATCATAAATCCTTTTCCAAGATTCTTCCTGTTGTTATCCATATAAAAGTATTACGAGAAGATGTACGAAAAATGAGTACAAAGTATTTCAGATTTCTTAATAAAAATAGTTTCTTATTATTTAGTGGAAAAAAGAATCGTCGAGTTTAAAGAAACTAGGGAATAGAACGTGTTGTACCGTTTAACTTTTCCTCTACAATTGCGTAACGTATCTCATAGTCTTTATAGCCGCTTGTGTTTGTAGTTATCAAAATTACGAGCCCAACGTTCGTTTCTAATAAGTGCACGCAACCCACCAGAGGAGGATCAGGCCTCTATTTGTTAAATGGCCGCTAGTTTCCGATGATTTGACTATTATTGTCAATCGTAAACTACGGTCGCTCTAAATAAGAGATTTATAAATTTTTACATCGGTATTAAGAATCAAAAGAAGGAGTCAAAAAACAAAAGGGCTTACAGGCAGTAAAAGTAAAATTGGTACACGCGGTGATTGAACAAAAATATCATAAGGCAACGGATCGGATCGAGGGTGGTGAATACGTTCGACGATCGAGGGAATAGAGAGACGGTTTACTGATACGAAATATGTTAGCAGCGACCAGCCGTGGCGAGACAGAACGGGCGGGCGAGGAAGAGGAAGAAGACAGAATCTTAATATCTGGAATGAAAACGAGCTACGTGCCGGTGGAGACTCTACTTCCGCCGCAGCAGCTACAACGACGCAAGAGAGAACTAGACGGGGTACATTATCCGCAAGCAAATTCTAAACAATTCCACGGTCAGACGCGGACTAGCTAACCGATATCGTCTCTTCTTTTCTCTCTTTCCCCCTTCACCCTGCCCCCTGTTCACGCCGAAACACGACCCGTCCGACTTCTCCGAGTCCGCACGATCGTTAGCTTCGACGATCACCGACCCACGACCAGTGGGCCCGACACGATCAGCGAAATAGTCTCGAGGAGAGCCACGATCGTTTTCAGGATAGTCGTGCATCCTTGTTTGGCCTCGAGCCCGACAAGCGAACGCCGTATCCTCCAGGATTTTCTATACGAACCGACACGATACCTGGCAAACGATGAACGATCTTCTCAGATCGAGTGTTACAAATAGGGGCTTGTATCAAAATGGAAAATATCAGTATTTTTCGATTGTACATTTCTACTCCTTATATAAACCGAAATTTAGGAATACCGGTATTATTTTCTCATCCTTATTATACTTACAATTAGAGACAATCTCTCATACCGAAACCGATATAACACTGAGATTACTGTGACACCAAAACTAAAATAATTAGTGTAATTATGATTCGTTCGACAAGCACGATTTTCTAAAACTTTCAACCTAGTAATCTTGTAGAATTGAATATCATTTTTTATATTGCTTATATATCTCGAATTAACCGACCACGTAAACGCAACGAGTATCGTGTGCGCAATAACGTTAATTAGCGTTAATCAACATCAAATTAGTGTTACTGGTGCACTGTATAAATATCGATCGTCCCACTGCCAATCCTGTCTCTCATTTCGTACAAGGACAATTAAAATTGAGGATACCGTTTCTTCTGCGACCAGGGAACAGAATTCTGAAGCACGTTTCCGTATGAATAGATTTCTATGTCTCTCGCAGTTCTTTCGTTTCCTTTTCTTTTTCTTACAAATCCCGATAAATTACATTTGTGAAACGTAAGAAGCTCTAAACTGAATTTTCTAAAACGAACACCTTGTGCAGGTGCAGTCGACCAACTACGTTACCGGAAAAACAGATGACCGGAACGCTGACGAAGATTTGGACAACTTCCTGGGTGATTACTACCTTGAAGTGGACACCGACGAGATAAAAAATAATTCTGAAATACAGAGCAACGATTATCAAGAGTTAGTATAATGCCGGTCATTGAAAAGTAGTTATACCATTCAGTTTCTTCAGATGTTTAGGGCTTTTTGCAGTTGTATACTTTAGGGAAATGGAAGTCGAACATTTAAGCTAGATTCTGTTTACAGATACTGACACTAATGCATCCTCAGATTTGTTATAAACTACGATATTATTAATATCTTCTAATGTCAACGAATCCTCAGGTATTTGAACTACTACGGACAACTCAACATACGTTCAGATACGCCTATGATGTCTGTGATATTACTAACCGTTAATGATCGTTAATTAGTGTCGATAGATTCTTAGGTCTCTGAACAATGGGTCACTTTACAGGTACAAGAAACTTACGTTGATTTTATTTTCCAGATATGACGAGCACCCGGACTCGAGCAAAGCGGAAGAAGAGCTCCGCTCGAGGCTGTCGAATGGAACATACGACGATAACGAAGACCGTTCTCAAGAAGAGTCCGACGAGGGTGAACAAGGTGGTAGACGCTCGATTTCGATCGATGACTCGGACACAAGCCTGCCGATCGCCGACGAGCAAACCAAGGACGACGATCCTGATTTCCACGCGTTTTGGAAAGGCAAGGGGAACGAGTGGGCTATCAGAGAGGCTCAAGGTACACTTGACGCTCTGTCCCTCTAGTCGCTCTGCGTAATTTCTGCTCATACGCTTTTTAAGAAACAGATATTCGCCGCAGCAAAAATCATGCTCACGTACATGGACAGGAGCGCTGACCCGTGCGAGGACTTCTATCAGTACGCTTGCGGCAACTGGGCGAGACACAATCCTATACCAAAGGACAAGGCGGCCTACGACACTTTCGAAATGATCAGAGAGTCGTTGGATTCTGTTCTGAAGGAGCTGCTGGACGATCCTATACCCATGGACCTCGAGTCCAACTCCAACGACGCGACCGTGAAAGCCAAGCAACTGTTTCAAAGTTGCATGAATTACGGTAAATGCGGGTCGACGTCATCCCCCTTAGTCGCAACTTCCTTCTCTCGATACGATCGACTTTTTGCGAATTTAAAGTTAACTTTCGAAACGTATTAACGCGTGAAATGTGGCTAGAGATATTGGAGCAACGGATGGAACGGCCGCTCACACAGCTCCTGGACGAACTCGGCGGGTGGCCTATCTTGAGACCGAACTGGGATCCAGAGAAGTTTGACTGGCTTCTATTGGTCGCTCAGTTGCGACTGTACAACAACGATATCCTCATCTCCGAATGGGTTGCGCCGGATATTAAGAATAGCGAGCAATACGTAATACAAGTAAGAACCCGAATTCTCTGAGATTTCTATCGAAGATAGGATCAGAAACGTGGAAACGCAGTTTCGAAAAGTGCCTTTCCACTTCGACCCTCGCCTCGTAAACTCTCTAAGGTCGTCCAGTCCTCTAAGAGACCTCCATCTCTTTCTCCAGATCAAGATCCAAAGAGAATTTTAATTGCAGTTCGATCAGACGTCGTTGGGTCTTCCCACCAGAGACTACTTCCTTCAGCCATCGAACACGATATATTTGAAGGCTTATAAGAGTTATTTAATAAAAATCGCGACCCTGCTCGGCGCATCGTTGCAGAACGCCACCAACGACGCCGACGAGTTAATAGAATTCGAGACGAAGCTTGCCAAGGTACGCCGTTGATACTTGGCAATTTTACCTTCCATTTTTCGATCCTTTATCGGAGGACTCGACGCGACTGACTTCGTGTTTCGCAGATTACGTCCACCCCCGACGAGAGAAGAAACGTTTCAGAACTTTATCAAAGGATGAGCATCGGAGAACTGAGAACTCTAGTGCCACAGATCAATTGGCATCGATACTTGACTATCGTATTAGCGCGACCAACGAATATTTCCGAACCGGTTGTCGTTTATGCGCTGCAGTACATACAGGATTTAGTGAATCTACTTGCAAAGACAAGTCCACGGTACGCCGTTAAGATCAAGCCTTTGCGGTCCGAGACATTTTACTAAAAATATCCTAATCGTTTTCTTTCCTAATTTGTAGAACTATCGCAAACTATCTCCTGTGGCGATTTGTCAGGCACAGAGTGAACAACTTGGACGATCGATTTCAGGAAGCTAAGCAAAGATTTTATTACATTCTCTTTGGGAGGGAGCAAGCACCGTCCAGATGGAAGAACTGTGTGGCACAGGTGAACTCTAATATGGGTATGGCAGTCGGATCGATGTTTGTGAGGAAGTATTTCGATGAAAAAAGTAAAAACGATGTGAGGAGAATCATGTTCTTTGTTGAACATCTAGAAACCGATAACATCTGAATTGATATTCTTCTATGCAGACCCTGTCCATGACTCGAGAGATACAACGATCGTTCAGAGAACTCCTGAACCAAACATCTTGGATCGACAACGAAACGAAAGAGTTGGCCACCGAGAAAGTGAACGCCATGCTATTAAGGATCGGCTATCCGGATTTTATTTTACAGTCCGAGCTACTGAACGAGCGTTACAAGGATGTGAGTTGATATTATGCCCCTTGGCGATTAGAAAATTGCAATAATTGCGTTGTTGTGTAAACGTACTTCCTGGCGTAACTCTAGGTGGTGATTTATCCGGAAAAGTACTTCGAGAACACGCTGAACATCTTGCAGCATCTAACCAGGGTGGAGCAGGATCGTCTTGGCAGCCCTGTGAACAAAACGCTTTGGAACACTGCGCCAGCGGTCGTCAATGCTTATTATAGTCGCAGCAAAAATCGGATAAGTCAGTCGACCCTTCTCTATACAAGCCTAAAGAAAATAAATAATAATCTAGGAGTTGGACGAAGAGTCTTTGAACTATTTACAACTCGACATTTTCGTTATTTGATTCTAAACTTCAAAAAAAAAAAAAATTTCTTTCGGTTTCACGACTCTGATATATTTCAATATTGAACTTTTACTTTTCCACTTTTCTTGTAATTATCAATTTTGTTTAAATTACTCCGAGGGAAACTAATTAATAAATTGCTTTCCATCCTCAGTGTTTCCAGCTGGCATACTACAGCCGCCCTTTTATCATAGATACTTTCCACGGAGCCTCAATTTCGGTGGGATCGGTGTCGTGATCGGACACGAAATCACTCACGGCTTCGACGATAAAGGTCGGCTGTTCGATAAGGATGGTAATTTACATAGATGGTGGAAAGACGAGGCCATTTATGGCTTTCACGAACGTGCCCAGTGTCTTATCGGTAATGGAGCGCTTCGAGTACCATAGTCCGTTACGAACTTTCGTTCGCGAGTTCGAAAACTGTTTAATCTTTCAGACCAATATAGTCATTACATCGTGAGCGAAGTTGGAATGCAAATAGATGGGCACAACACACAGGGGGAGAACATCGCGGACAACGGTGGTATTAAACAAGCTTTTCGAGTAAGCATTTTTCATGCACCGAATAAATAAAAGTATCTTAGCTCTCAACTTCCGCGATTTTTTAAAATAATATTCAAAATTATTAATACATTGTTTATTTTTAAATACTGTATGAAGTAGTTTAACCTATTGCAGTTGTATATCCGCGGTTTGTGGCGTCAAAATGTGGTTCTAATCGCTTGCGGTGTTCCTCGATATCTTTCGAATCGATTGTAAAAGTTCCTGACATATACTAGGTGTTCGGCCATCCCTGGGAAAAATTTTAATGGGGGATTCTAGAGACCAAAATTAGACGAAAATCAAGAATACCAATTTGTTGATGGAGGCTTCGTAAAAAAGTTATTAACGTTTAAGGTTCCGCTCGTACTGAATTTTTTTCTCGAAAATACGTAAGATTTCAGGGGTATGTCCATTCACCAAAAATGATTGTAATTGAACCCCGCAATCGAAAATAATTTTTCCAAAACGATTTGAAATTTCTTTTTTCCGACGAAAAATTTCACACCTCAAATTTTTTTTCTAGAAAGTGGGTAGGATTTCGGGGGTATGTCTATTCATAAAAAATGATTATAATTGACCCCTGCAACCGAAAATAATTTTTCCAAAACGATTAAAAATTTTTAAATTTAATTATTAATAACTTTTTAACGAAGCCTCCATCAACAAATTGGTATTCTTGATTTTCGTTTTATTTTAGCCTCTAGAATCTCCCATTAAAATTTTTCTCAGGATTAGCCGAACGCTCTGTATTTTTAATTTTAAACGCGCAAATAAAAACAGTCACCGCCTATAAAATGTTTCAACTTTTTCGGCAGTGTCGTTTCTTTCAAACTTGATATATTAGAACCTTTAAAATATAGCGTCAACATTTAAACAAGATATGATTAATTTAACTTGAAATAAGAAAAGATTAAAAATCATTCTGGGCAATTAATTCGTACGTGATGCAAGTAACTTCTTTGTCTTTAATATGTGTATCTTACCTTAAAATTCAGTCTCCACGAAATTTTAGCACCATTAATTGTTTGTCCAGTGATTATTGATCGCACGATACAACAGAGACACTCTTCGTAACGTCGCTTCTGTGGATTTCCGACTGCAAACGGTTAATCGGATTTTAAAAATGACCATTACACGCGTGTCGATCGTATTGTACTTTAGTAATAACCATTTTTTAAATTGCTTGCTTTCCCCCAAATTCAATTGTCTTTCACAGGCCTACGAAAGATGGTTGCGTTTAAACGGAGACGCCGATGAAATTCTGCCCGGTTTAAACGCGACGGGAAAGCAGTTGTTTTTCCTGAATTTTGCCCAAGTGTGGTGCGGCTCGATGAGACCGGAAGCGACCAGAAACAAATTGAAAACCGCTGTGCATTCTCCCGGCAAGTTCCGCGTGATCGGTACCTTGTCGAACTCGAAAGACTTCGCGGAAGTATTCAACTGCTCTCTCGGTGCACCCATGAATCCGCTCAAGAAATGCTCCGTTTGGTGACGGACCACGAGCTTGTTACTCCGCCAAAGCCCATCGATCGTGGATCGAGTGAATCTTCGCTTCGTTGAAGCAGGACAACGTGAGGGAGACCGGTAGATGGAAGTGTTAATCGTTGAAATTAATCGTACGCTCCTGAAATATTCAGATACTCGTCTCAAAAGTTAAACTATAACCATTACACGCTTTTTAATGATAGTTAATGCTGTAGAGCAACTGCCTCTGCATTGATTTTCGTCAGAAAAAAAAAAACATTGTTTCCCGCAAATTAGAATGCAACACGAAGAAACCGATGAACCGATGGGAATAATAATTGTCGAGTTCTAAAACTGTTATTCAACGAATAACGAGTATGTAACATAATCTATTAGGGGAACTCTATTCTCGTACTAACAAAATACGTTGTGTAACGATAAACAAAGTAACGTTATCGTACGATACCTCGGCTTGCTAGTCCGAGATTAGATGTCGTCAAACAGCTGCGCTGTTCGATCGTCGTTGAAAATTGTAAAACAGAACCAAAGACAATAATAATTTCAGACAGTCATAAAAATCTTTACAATCTATTTCCCTGTATATCCACACACTACTACATATATTGAAATTCTTTCGTCGTTCTATAACTTATGCATCGTATGTCACCCGATCTCGCGGAATCGTCAGAGCCTTGCGAATCGTTCGTTACCGTCCAATGTACATCATACATACTATGGATAGAAACGTTCGCATTACATTCGTAGAAACTCGAAAGAAAACCGTCAACAACTCGGTCTGCCGTACAGTCTCGCGATTCGTCCGCGAGACGCACACGTGAAGAAGTCTTGTTTATCATTGACTTAATTGGATACCAAGTCATTCTTTCGTTTCTTTTTTTTTTTTTTTTTGTATCTTTCTTTCTTTTTACAAATTCTTTTGTGTCGCATATATAATAAATAGAGTAATAACGTCGTTGAACTTCGCAAACAGGGTATCGACGACACCGTATCGTAGCTTAATAAAAAAAGAAAAAAGGTTCCAAAAAGTCTCTCGCAAGGGTAGAAAATACAGGAAACAAACTATCGGTTCGTAAATGCGATATCCATTGACTATCTTGTCGCCTTGTACTATGGTACTCTATAATGACAATAAAATACTTCAGTCGAGCAGTTTGAACACGTCCGATTCTTATTGACTTGTCGAGGTTCCGATCGGTTTCTGTGAGGAAGAGACTCGCGCTCGCCCCACGGTACACAATTCACAATCGTCCACATAAACTAACTCGCACACAGAACCAGAAATGAAAGTTTCACCGATTATACAATCCTATTTTTACAATTTATTTACGTATTGCCTTTCGTATCAAGTGATTGAGTAGTAAAAATAAAATCGTACACGTATCGCGCGTTCAATTATTTAGTATAAAGCAAAGTAAAACAAATTGAACGATACCTGAATCGACTGAGAAATTATTGTTCGAGTTTTAAAAATATTTCGTACGAAACTCATCGTCCCTTTCGGTGCAAAGGCCCGAATGTTTAGTAAACGTCGTGTGCGAAAATTCCGTAGTCGCGTTTGTTAAATATATGCACAGACTTCACTTATCAACATCCCAAGCAACGAAAGGGTTACTTGTAATCACAAAAAGCTTGACCGCTTTCAAGCGTAAACAATACTTTTCACAATCATACAATATGCTTTATACTAATTAATTTCCATAGTGTGAGCTGACACTTGATTATAAGAGGCGCATTTATTTGCAGTCGTAAGTTGTACTAATAAATCAGGAATTTTGTGGATACCCTTTCGTATTATTGATACTTTTTGCTCGTTTGCCTTATATTATATGCAAAATCGTAGTTTCGATGCCGCATTTCGCAGATCCGACATTCTTATAGCCGTACTTTGTATACGGTATTATTAAAAAAGTTACAATTAAATTCGGTGGAATACTTCTTTTCGAAAATGAAAAGCTCACGACTTATCTAGGAAGTCCGTTCTCGAAAAATTGATAAATGACATGAAAAATACACGCGACGAATGATACAAAGGATCGTCGCGATCTTTTGAAAATGAAAACATATGTATATCGCTGAAGTATATGTATGTAAGACGCTCCGATGAATAAAACAATACACGTATCGAGTAATGAAGAGTTATTTTTTTTTTTTTGCAATCTGCATGCACCCTGCATTAAAGAAGCACGCCATCGTTTTTCAAAATTCTTCAATTTATGCAGATTGTAGATATAGACATTCTCGTAGTGATATTACATACCACATGAAATTCGATGGCCTTAATCCTATTATGTATAGCCATTACAAATTATACGAGAGTTTAGATTCTTTACCTTCTATGACGTTTTATCAAAATTGGCCTATTAAATATATAAATATATGTTTCGCGTGTGCTACTTCCGTCCACCTAATTAAAGTCAAGTGGAAATGTACCTTAACTTCCTGTTCAACTCCTATTACCACTGTTACGTATACGTATTGTGTTAACAAATATTCTTCACTTATGCAGAAACTGGTACTCCAAAATGTCTTCTTCGTCTGGAAAAAAGAAACGGTGTCTTATGTTTCGGTTTGTAAACATATTTCTGCTTAGCTGCACTAAAAGGACATACTATATCTATATATAGGAGTTCTCAGTGCAGTGTAACGAAACTGCCAAGGTAATGGGGGATTTGCATGTACAGGTACAAAACTACATGTTTGCCTTGTATGTAATTTATGCAAGAGCATTACAAACTATTTAAAATACATACGAATCAAATGTTCTACTACTAAATTATGTAGACACATTCGCATTTGTACAGATATGGATGCTCGTATGATGCTGTATTTGTTTAAACAAGCAATTAACAGTGCAAGAATATCAAAACAGGTTCGAAGATGCATTTCAGTGTGTTAGTCAGCTTTGTTTTAGAGCGTGGACAATTCTAAGCCGAACGAACGGTTTCTCTGATTGTACCTAACATAAGGGAAAACTTTTACTTGTAACAATGACATAAGAAAGAAATTAATGGTTATTTTAATAAATAATACTCTCATGATAGTTCATCTATACTGATGTTCGACATTAGATACAAATTACTCTCTAACGTTTTAAGTTAAAAGAAAGATACAGAAAGAAAGGACGAGCGGCGGATTCGCTCGTCGTAACAAAATAAAATACACTCACAGATATTGTCTCTGCTATTGTTGTCCAAATCGCTAGTCTGTGTATGAGTTTCCTCGTGCATACGCCGTTCTGCATCAACCGTCAGCGCAGCACAAGGCACAAAAATGACTCGATTACGTCTTTGACATGGTGTAATCCACATGCGCACAACGTGAGTTGCAAAGGAAATTGAGTCGTTTGTATGTTAGACAGTAAAGCAGCAGGTCCTTTTAGAGCGGCACAATAAATAGAAAATAAAATAAACCAAATTCATAGTATGCCTGTGAATCACAAAATGTGCATTTTCTGTTTCATTTTCCTTTTGCTTTCTCTTTTATTTATCTTAACAACTAAAATACAGTCTTTTCGCAAACACAGATTTTGTGTTTCTCAGACAAACTGTACAACCTGTCTGCAACATAAAATATGTATATATTTTACAGAATAATATATAATGGTTGGTATCATAATGATATTGATAAATCAGTTTGTGTAACTACTTTCTTAAATATCGAATTACATAATAATTTTATCAGAACAAAAACATTCGTTGAAATTAATGATTAAATGCCAGTGCGCAATTTTCCAATGAAACTCTGCATCGATGTTTGCATTTAGTGCCTAGCAAACTGGATAAGAAAAAACGTTTTCCGATACGTATAAACATCGTTATATTACTCTCTACATGGGGGGACAATATAAAAAATTCCTATTCATTGTTACTTACAAGATACCGAAGAGAAGGAAAGGGAAAGGTCAGTTTTTGCTTTGGAAAATTGCACAGAATGAAATTTTCAAACATGGCTGCATGTTATATAAACAGACATTGATAATATCCACTAGATTATATACTTTATAAACATTAAGAAATTAATGGAAATAGTCATTCGTGTCAATATAAAAAGTTGTTAAAACTGTTATAAAAAAAAACAATGTCAAATTTGATTAAAAATCGTAAAATGTTTGAAAACAAACATTACACCATATTTGAAGTAGTCTTATGTTTTTATGACGCCAATGCATTATATGCATCGTATGCAAATATTTTCTAGCGGAATTTCATTAAAAAAGAATATTATTTAGACATAACAAGATATGCTAAATAAAAATTTATACAATAACGCAACGGCAAGACGCAATTAAATGTGACGAAGTTTGTTGGATTTAAATAAGCTTATGTGAGATGCAGAAGATATTCATATATAGATTAGATGACATCAGTGAACATAAACAATAAGAAATGCATACACCTGGAAAGCATGTATATAAATTATATGTCGCAGTTTTTTCAATACTTCTAACATTGATAAGATGGCACATTTAATATGAGCATAATTTGTTCTATTTACATATTGTCGAACCTGTGATGCAGTACCACATAACATAATTGTAAACAATTTCTTTTATCCAAATAATAACTTGAATTAGTAGGAATACAATAAAAAATGTCCTTCACGCACGGACCATGTAACTTAAATGATTCACCAATAATTGTTCAATATACAATAACGCTTTTATTGCATATTTTCTTTGTACATATATATTTTGTTTTTGTTGCGGATTGCCGTTAAAACTGCATTTTCAAAACAATAATTAGTGAATCGTTTAACATTTTGAAACAATATCCTCTCGATTTTAAAGAAATAGCTGCCCCATTGTCGTAGACAATCCTAGAACGCAAGCAATGGAAAAATATTAATAAAAATACGTACCTTTTCTTTATAAAATAAGTATAATTTACATGCATTATTTAGCAAATTATTGCAATATTCATTACTTAAATTCTTTGACGTAATATCTGTGTTATTTACATGACCATGCTTGTGCTCTACTTCTTGTGCGATCGTGCTTTACATCAACAATTACACCACAATAATATTTATAATAAAGCGTGCAGTATAGTGTATATATAATATTGAATTATCGAAATTAAATACTGAGTTCTTCGTTCATAGTAATTGTACTAGTGTCACTATTATTGTATGTATAATAGACTTCAGCACAATTGCATATCTCATGCGAGAAATTGCAGATTTACTTGTTTCACAGCAAGGTGCAATTATATGATTCTGCTTTTAATTCGTTTAAATGTACGGACTTATACAAAGTTTTAATTATAGATATGGATTTCATTATGAAATATTACTCAAAAATTAGGTGTACAATTAAGAATAATCTTTTCGAATTCATACAGGTCAAACAATAATTAAAGACAATAGATAAATCAGGATCAACTGCTACAAGGATAAAAGTTAAAAAAAAAGAAAAAAAAAGAAAAAGAAGTCGAAATTTAAACGACTATCATTATTACGACATAAAAAATACCTGTTTTACTCTTTGTTGAATTTAAATGTTACATTTTAATGCAACTTCTTTGAATCATATAAGTATATACATTTACATTTTACATGCAAATACTGTAACGAATATTAAAATGTTCTCAATAAAGACAAACTTTAAAAATATCATTACTGTAAAGTACATGGTACAAGTTGGAATGCAAAGTTGAAACGACATATATAAACAAACTGTTAAAAACTTCATGTACGAATTACATAAACCTGAAAAATAAATCGCATAGGGCAGCGAATAAATACTTTGAAATATCATGAACAAATGATAGAAAACATGCACTAACCAGAACATATAACTTTCATTTGATAATGATGTTATTAGAAAAGGAATAACTGAAGTAGTATTACAAAATAATATAAAGACCGTGTCTAACGTTCGCACGTACTTGCATAATCTTGTATAAAAATGACAAATAAAATGTTTCAAAGTATTCATTCAAAACGTTCAACTATATATCTTTCTTCAAATTTATAACTCATCTATTTACAATACCGGCATCTACATAACATCAACAAAGAATTCACAAGGATTTCCCATCGCAATGCGAAATGACTGTCTACTACCAGATAAGTCTTGTTGGTTCTGTTGATTTCCTGAACCAGTTCCTGTCTGCACAGACTGTTCAGAACCACTGGAGCGACTGCGACTACCATTAGACCTCTTTCCGTTCGAACCATTTCCATTGCCAGAATTCTTACTCGGCATAGTTGGCACCGACGGAATATGCAATTCGGTTTCAGACGCTGAAGAACAGGACTTTAAATCATGGATAGGTTCTTTGCAAATGTGCTCACTACCTGCGCTACTACCTCCTGTTAAAGTATATTACTTTGAAATATATACTGAACTTTTACAGTATTAACCCTTTGCGGACGGGTACCAAGATATTTTTGAAAATTAACTAATACGGTTTCAACAAATGTCGATTTCTTGAATACATATGTAACAATCTATTGAATTAAAGAAACTTATACATTGAATAAAAATGATGTCCATATAGGTACCATTTTCTTGTCATCTACTCCAAACCAGCTCCGTCGTGTCTAACGCTCGTGCTCCAATACGTCCGCCCGTAAAGGGTCAATTATATCGTAACTATGACCCTCACCTGAACCACTATGAACACTTTCTTCTCGATGATAACCATAAACAGTTGGTTCGTTAGTGAAATTAAATGGCATTGGACTGTATCCAGTTGCAGTATGAGGTGCATATGTTCCTGAATAAGGCATATCCCAGGCATTTGGTGGTGGTAATGGCCCAACTGTATCGCAATCTAGCTTCATGCTACTCATGGCTGAACAAAGATCGCCAAATATATAATAACATTGTTCGGAAAATGTTATTTTATTTACTGTGTGCCTAATAAAACCAGCTTTTAGCATGAGAGATGCATATTTTCTTGCATCGCGACGATCAATAAATCCTTCTACATGATTATTAAGCCAATCCACCACGTCTGCACCAATAAATGCATTCGGTATTGTTATTTTAAGCCACATACGATCACGAATCTCCAAACCCGAGTCCGGCCGAGCCATTGCTCTTACTATTGTTGGCATATCAGTATTCACTGTAAGATGAAGTTCCTCTAACGGTCCTAATAAAAATCCATTAATTTACCAATTATTGTCTTTGAAAATATTTTTTTTTTTTTAATTTTACATCGATTTATTTTTGATACAGAAAAATAATTACTTTCTGTATCTGGCAATGTGCTTGCAAGACTACTCGACGTCGATGTTAAAGTCGTGGCACTTGGTGGGCGTGGAGGAAAACCTTCACCCCTTATAGCAGCTGTATGTGCCACCCAAGCACCAGGATCTATAGGTCTTACAGGTTCTGTACGTGGTATTGTAAAATATCCTTTTGGATTAGGATCCCAGCATTTTGCAACTACTAATTTCACTGGTCTGAAAGACGTATATTCATCCGTGATAAGACGACAATATTTATATCTTTAAATTTTTAAATATCATTCATTTTAATTCCTACCCTGATTTCTGAACCACTTCGCGAAGTACTCTAACTGCTTCGTCATTAGACATATTTTCAAAGTTAATATCATTTACTTGAAGAATCATATCTCCAGGTTCTATTCGACCATCTAAAGCGACAGCTCCCCTGTTAATATTAAGTTTTATATAATAATATCATTACTCTTGATAGTATAATGAAAGCATGTTTGCTCTGTACTCTGTACTAATAATTTATTATTACAGAGCCCTTTGTAAAGTATAATTATTATTGCCTTAAAATATAACACATACCCTTTCATTATTGAACCAACATAGATTCCCCCATCTCCACCCTTGTTACTTTGACCAACAATACTAATCCCAAGGAAGGTAACAGTATCCATATTTAACGAAACTGTTATAATATTTAAGGACATTGTACTGTCTGTGATACTGCTAAAGGATGATGTTCTAGACATAGGTGGTAATCTGTGACGCCGTCTTCTCTGTGGTCTACGCCGATCTAACACGTAAATATAAAGAAATTCATTTCCCTATCTAAGGTCTATGTGTGTAATAAAAAATATTTCTCAGACACGATGAAGCAGCAATTTACCTAAGGTAGCTCTGTCAACTGTACTACTCATATTGGTATGTCTGCCAGTTGTTGACGTTATGCGGCTACTTGCATCGTCATCTGACTCTAAAAACGTTGTTGTTTCTAAATCTGAACTTAAAATAGAAGCAGTCTCATAACCATGGCCTGATCTGTGCTTTGAATGACCATTTATACGAAGTCCTGAGTCAATAAACAAATGAAAATGTTTAGATAGCGAAAATTTTGTATCATTATCACTTCTAATAAAGAAATTAGAAGAAAACTTGTGGAAATAATTATATAACTCCAAATAGTTCAAAATAGATTAATAGAATTAACAACGTACCATTATACTTATTATATTTTTCGTATTTGTCTGAATGATGTCTCGAACTTTTATGTAAATGATGCCCTTGTCGACTACTTATAATACTTTCAGTTTCAGTTAAAGTGTCATCGTGCGAAAGTGGAGGTGGACCACGAGTTGTGTGGCCAGGTGTTACATGGTCAACACGATCATGTTTGGCCTCGCTATGTGCCACTGAATCTGTGCACTGTGATGCACCATCTGACACATTACTGCCTTCAGCCGACACCAACTATTGGTAATAAACTCATTTCTATACTGAATACTTCATTATTTCTTTCTATTCTAATTTACCCTTCCTAAATTCTACATACATATCTAATTAAGCTAAATTTTTTTTATGCATCCATAATGATGTAGTTGTATTATCAACTATAGAATCATACTACAATAATTTAATAAATAACCTTTGGAATTATATTTTAGTTTACCTATTTATACAGTGCTCTAAATTTATTACCATATACATGCTTTGAGACTGAAATTGCTTTCTTCTAAATTTTATGGATACGTACATAATCTCAAAACTCATTAACCATTTTAATTATTTATAATTCCTGAAATTGCTATCAACAAAGTTTATACTATGTTGCATCCCTATTTCTGTCCTGCATTACATTTATGCTTGGCATAACTTCTTCAAAATGTAAAAGCTAAAAGTCTATTAATATTTATTATTTAATAATGTATTTAAGAATCTTACCCAAGAGACAACACGTCCATTGAAACAGGGAAGATGAGCATCATCATCTACAATTTCTTCTTTCACCACACTGTTAAAGAGATCAAAAGGATATTAATGTTGAAATTATTTAAGCAAAATAAAGTAAATATTGTAGCTAATTCGTGAAGAAACTAAAGCACATAAATAATATTAAGACTTTATATATAAATGTAACAAACTTTATGCATGGACAGAATAAACAAAAATAACATATTCTTTAAATATTTACAAATTAAAATCAAAATACTTTATTAACATTTCATGTTAATTTACAGTTTCAATACGAAAAATCGAACATTTTACTCTCAATTTTCAAATATCTGAAATATTTTATGACAGTGAAAATAAAGGTAAAGAGAAGTAAAACAAAAATATTTTTTAAACCATTAACTCGAAAAACTTGTTTGGTCAAAAACCAAATTGTTGAACTTTAAAGAGTGAGCAACAAATTTGCAATACTGTATTTAAATGTTGACCTCTAAACGATTATGCGAACGTAAATATAAATCGTTCGATCAATCGTGTTTGCGAATTTCGATAGTGTTTGAACAAAAGATGCGTTATTTTTATTTGTATTTTTACTATTTTTTATTGCTCCAGTGTAAATAGTTTAAATTCTTAAAGTCTAAATAGTATAAAGACTCGAAAAAAACATACTATTTCTTACTGTGTACTAATTCAATCTGTAATATTATTTTATTTACAGCGAATTTGGCGTCCACTGTGTAAAACAATATTTTAAATACTTCTATTTCTAATAGTATCTATCTATGGACGCACTACATCTCTGCATAAAAATACGATACAACGATCGTATTAGCGTTTATAGCTCCCGATAGATGGATGCAAATCGACTGACAGAAATACACGAGACGAAGGGATAATTGTCAAAATGTGACTCTATCACGAAAGCGCATACTGTTTTAAATCATAGGGCATTGACTTGCATCGGAAGATGAAAGATAAGTCTAACAGCGATGTCGATCGACATCGTATTATCATGAAATACACGCTACATAACATACGGGGTACATGCGTATCGGTGTGACACTCACCCAAAATCATCGTCCATTGATTTGAAGAAATACTTATAATTCGGCCGATTCAAGACATTCTTGAAGTCGGCGAGAGTGACCCTTTCCGGTGATATGGTGAGCTTCACCAAGTAAGGGGTCTCCTCATCGTCGATGTGATAAATGATCTTAGTCTCTTCCATCGTCCGAAACTCTGTTATTCTACGTACATTTGCGATAAAAACTGAATCACCCAAAGCCCACTAACTATGAACAATTCTCTTGAACCAATATGGCGCGTCACAGTTCGAGCCAAAGCCCTCGCGCGTACGGCGATTGTTCGTTCATGAAGCCCGCGGAGCTTTCGTCGATTCTGTCGCGCGTAACATTATCACGACCGCACGCATTAAGTTACGAGGAAGTCGTTGACATTATTCACGACATTCGCGCGTTACGTACCCGTTGCTCCCGACGAGTTGAATTAAACGTCAACATTCTTGTCGACATTACAAACACTCGCGACGGTCGGCCCGACACTCGACAGTACGCTCGAGAATTGGAAACGAACGATGATAGAAAGACAATCTCGAGCCTGATTTCTACACCCTTTCAGCCATTCACAGAGTTCTTCGTCAGATGGCATTACTGCACCATTGTCATCGATGACAAGGGGTTCCGAAATCCATTAAGCACTGCATTCATCGTTTTGAACTTTGTTACTCATAGAATTGAGAAAATTCGATTTTTGAAGAACGAATCGAAACTTTGGATTCGCTAGATTTTCTCCACAAAATTATAATTTACAAATTATTTACCAACGAAACGTAAGTGGAAACTAGTTTACGAACGAATCTAACATTTCTATTTGTTATTGGAAAATAAAATTTGCTTAACTTTGATTGTATGCAGCTAGAGGGCCGCTGGTCGGAGGAGCGCGAAAGTCGTTTTGGACTGTGATTGGAGTACGTTGGATATCGTGGCGGCCATATTGTATGTCGTAAAATGCGACCACAGATCAGGTCTAGGATAGATCAGATATTCAATGGAATTTTCTGTTCTGCAACATTCAAGAGCCTCCTTAGCAGTTTCATATCACAATCCAGATTATCGATTTAGATTTAAATGAGAGCCAACGCTATTAATGGTAAGAATTTAAAAAGATTCTTCAGATAAGAGGTATATTGGAAGTTTACCACTGGTTTGGTCAACTGTTTATCTAGCTGGCTTTTTCTTAGAAAGTAAATTTCGATCGTACAGGAGCCGTTTAACATAGATATAAGAAGTCGAGCATTGAATAGATAACATTACAAAAATATAATCACAATAAATCATTATGAAATGAAATATTGTCTTATATTTCTTTTTCTTTTACAAAACCGTAGTTTCTACTTGAGACACTCTCGACCGTTTATTGCCTGATACACTTTTTCTTTTCCATAACCGTAGTTTCTACTTGAGACACTCTCGACCGTTTACAGTCGATCAAACTTACAGGGTAACTTTCAATAAATTTCGATCGTACAGCCGCTTAACATAGATATAAGAAGACGAGCAAAAATAGATAACATTACAAAAATATAATAACAATAAATCATTATGGAATTAAATATTGTCTGATATTTCTGTTTCTTTTTCATAATCGTAGTTTCTACTTGAGATTTCCCCCACCTACAATCCCATTCGCCATCTAATGGTTTCTAGCAAAGGGTCGTCATTCGTTATGTAGAAATTTGCATAATAAGAGGCATCAAAAATTTTGCGACAAATAAAGTACGTATTCTTTATTTATTGATATTTAATTGTTCGTAATTACAATAACTATTTTCGTTTACCCTCTGTCGGTACTTTTATTGAATATCGATGCACTTTTTAAGGATTTCGTAAATTCGATCGTCATTATGTCTTTTTGTGAATATGTACTGGATATTGTTTAAAGGTTAAATAACAAAATGCAATTCTTGTTGTTTGATTATAATACCAGCACATTTACTTGAATGTATTTGTTTGAAACTTACTATTTTATTTCTATTATAGTCTTTGCAATTCAAGTGCAAGAAACGTATTTTCGGCACGCATTCGACGCCATAACACTCGATGATCAATTCGAACAACTTTAAAATGGAGCAGATAATGATGAATACTGATTTCTCGCAGCAAGTGGCGTACATGTATGTATTTATACATTTTTGTCTTTTTACCGAGTTTTTACTCGTTATAAGCATGGCACATAATTTTTAATATTTAATTATATTTATTGCTTTTTCGATCTGTGACGAATATGCGTTTTCGATCACGTGATAGTTTAAAATGTTTATATTTTTTATGTATTTGTATTCTTCGAGGTATCATTTAATTACTTTTTTATAAATCTATCCTTATTAATTGCATTAGTATACACTTTTTGTACAAGTTTTGAACGACGTGGAAATTCCACAGTTATAATATGCTACTCAAATATGAATACGAACTTTAATTTTTGCAGATTTCAGAATATTATAAAAATTGACACAAATTTTAAAATCCGATTTAATCAATATAATTATGCTTAGAACTCTATTGACGAATGATCGTTACGTTTAGTGAATTTCATTTTTTTTAAATGACTTACATTATTTTTTAATCATTTTAGATTTCGATCGTTTTCAAGTAACTCTTAGTTTTAATTCTTACCATTAATGTCGTTGCGATGCTATTCCATTCTGAATCGGTAACGTTGGATGCGATACTGATATGGTAAGAGATCCCCAGAACCTCCTAGCTGTGAAACAGGAAGTTCCATCGAATATCCAGTTTATCCTATTATTATCTGTGATATAACATGGGTCAGATTTAAGGCTCTCTGAGTTCTAAAACGTATAGATTGAATGGAATCACAGACAAAATATAGGATTTGTATACCTTGACGGTGGTAGAACATTTCTCCAGCTGTTAGTTTTATTCTTTACAATTATACCACCGTAGGCTTATTCCAGTCTAAATCGATAACGATGGACATGATATAGAAATGATAAGGTGGTCAAATTTCTTATCTAGATACAAATTTCGAATAATGAATAAGGGATAAACCAACTTTGATCCGTTATGCGTCAAATAGAAGTTAGAATCTGAGATATAAAATGAAATATTAGCCAATAATTGGTGTAGAATTGATCAAGCCATATGTTTTTTAAAGATTTAAACAAAAAAATAAATATTGTTAATGATTCTAAATACTGTAGATTTACACATATCTATTCTCGTTGTCTAGAATTGATCTGCTCTGTTATCTGTTCTGATATTATTCGCATCAATACTTTCCTAAGTACTTACAAATTAAGTACACTACATATTTCCAGTCACAGCATTACACTGCTGGTCATGAAAATAATGTTTTTATGTACGTACCTTCATCGGCTGCATATCGATCCCATATATAAAATAAAAAATTCATTTCAAACTGGTATTCCACACAATTCTAACTACATTATATAAAGATTAATGACGTGGCAGTCAACATGTTAGGATCTGAGGACAATATAAGCACTAAAAAAACATGTCTTTCGCGATGGATAAACATCCGGTAACAATAATCTTCCAATTTTGTAAAGTAGACAAGTATGAAAAATTAGATTTTGTCCCACTAGATGTGTGATTTGGACCACGGTGCTACGCAAGGAATATGATTAGATAAAGTTATAATGAAAGAGTAGATAAAGTTTTAACACGTGGCAATACGTAAATTAACATTCTTTATTCCCGTTATTTCTTTTCTTCATTTTAGAAAATTAACATAAATAGGCACGGTATGTTTCAGTTGTTTCCAACACATATCTATCAATCGTAAATATCGTCAGTGTTGAAAAAAAAATTCGTTGTCTCCTTTCAAAGGACACAAATTGGGGAACAAATATTCTGTCCTTCGTATCAAAGGGTGCCGTTCGATACGCTCAAGTAATTCTTTTTACAATGTTGCGACAAGCAACGATGCCTTTTTAAGAATGTAGTACAGCACGTATTATACGAGGGCGAGGGTGATCAACAATGGCGGCACGACCTCAGGAGGCTCTTCCGTTCTCCGTTCTCTGTTTCCGACGCCATTTTACGTTGATTACGATGCGGTTAGCTCCTTCCAGTTTCCCACCATCCTACTTGCGTCTCGCCCAGAATTCACCCCCTCGAGTGCTATCCCTTCTTAGCACTTGCTCGTTCTCTACCACAACGTTTTGTCTTTATCTGTTTTACTGCTTGTTTGTCCCCCACCTTCTCTTCCACTCCATCTTGCCCACTCCCTCCCTTTGGTTCGTTTTTTTCTAGCCACCTTCTATCGTTCTACCAACTGAGCCGTTCAAGCACCGTGCATATTGAAACGGTGCGAATCGTCGTCTCTCCTCTCAGCGTCTGACACGTGTTACGTGGAAAGGAGACACGGGCTACGAGCAAATCGACGAACAGGCGAATAAAAATGGTATGCGAGACGATCGGTTGTGGACCAACCGGACAGGATACGTAAGTTACGTGGGCGAGGCGAAGCGTGCGGCGAAGAGAAATGTGGACATAACGTGGCGGACGTCGCCTAAAAGCTCGTCCGATAGGTCGCATCGCGGTGCGCTCACAACGCCGTCCTTGGAGTTGATTGTCGTAGATCTTATTATCCCCTCTTGTTCCAAGGAGGAGCCGAGTTGCAGCCCGGGGAGTGTGTACGCGTACCTACTCTCTGTCCGTGTTCATTCGTGCACGTGTTTGCGCGCGCGTGTATACCTAGAGGTTAGCCCGACGAAGGGTGAAGTCCCCCTTGTAGCCCCGGGCCAACCTTGTTAGCGCTAATGATGGAATTCGCTGTGAGATACGCGGGCGAGACAAGTCAGACCTCGTACTTCCGGATGTTGTTCTCGCGATCGTTGTCTACAGCCACGATTATTCCGCGATCATTTTATCGCCTGTTCGCCGACGATGACGTATCCCCAAAGGGATATATCGAATCAAATTTCTATAAGAAAACTTCGTTTATCATAGAAATCTTAGGGGCATTCAAAAGTTTCTTTGCTAATACGTTATGAGCCGTATAACATTTTTGAATCGAGACATCGCGATCAAAGACACCTTTATTTCTCCAAAGAAAAGTCAAAGTGTTATTACCATCCTCGATCTCTAACAAACGGTTCTTGCCGACTGTCACCGACGATTGCACGAATTATTTTAACGAGGATAAAGCATTCGTGGACGTTGAAAAGTGGGATCGAAGAGTATATCCGCGACAATGTGGGTGGTAAAACGGGAGAGAGGACAGGAGGATTGGATGAAGGATGGAGAGGGAACAAAAGATAAATAAAAATGGGGTGAGCGTTTCGGAGCAACCTCAGCCTCCGTTAGCCTCGGAAAGCCATTAGACCGGAAAACGAGGTAGAATCGCGAAACGCAATGGCGTCTAGAAACAAACGACGGCCGATAGGAGCGAACAAGCAGTGAATCACCTAAGCACTTGTTTACCAAGAGAATCAAGAATTCAGGGATGCCGTTCCGAGTCTCGGAATCCGGCCCCATCGGTTTTCTAACCCCACCACTATCCAGCCAGTTCTCTCTCCCTCTATCTCTCTTTCTCTTTCTCACTGGTCTCTCGTTTGCGAGTTCTTGTAGTAGGAGAGAACACTATCCGTCGTGCTAACGGGCACGCGTGGCACGAAGGAAAAGGACGGAACGGTGAATCGAAGGTTGGGAGTCGGTAGTCGGGAGCGAAAAGCCCGCGAGGGGAGGCGGCGGCGGCGACGACGACGACGACGACGACGACGTCGACGTCGACGGCGGCGGTGGCGACGGCGGCCAGTGGTAGACTCGGGGAAGGAGAGAGCCGGGAAAGCGGCACTAGAATCGCTAAATGTAATTCGGTTAAAAGGGTTTTAGCAATACAATGCATATAAACATGAGTGCCCCGCCCCCGCGCCCCCCGGCACGCTCTACTCTTGCGCCGCACTCAACAGTCAACCCTGCTAAACACCCGCGACCACCGTACTCCCACGACTTGGACCAAGATTTTCTTCGTCTGCCATTCTCTAACGAGATCGGATCCACCAGCACGAAATCGCGTGATCGCGTACGAGGGAATCCGGGGTAACGTAAGCATCGTACGCCTGACCCCTCCTTTTACACGATTTTACAGTCACATAGTCTCCAACAACACGATTTATTCGCAATCGCACGATCTTATAACGATTTCACGAAATTATGACCGGTGCTGTACTCGGAACTTGAAATGGTTCCAAAAATAATTGCTCCAAACTGCTACGAAGGATCTAAGTTTCGGAGTATTTCAAAGATAATAGAAACTAGTGGTCGAAAGATTTGTTATTTCAAATAGCGATGCTTGCGCCGGCAACCCTACGTTTTTAATTCGAATTTTCAACTCGCGAGCGTCGAGTGTAATTTTATTTTTAACGGTTAAAGTATGTAAAAATAGCTGATCAGATGTTCTAGTTTCTTTGTACTTATCAGTTTCTTGATTTCGGGCCCGGCGGTGCTAAAAAAGAGCTCGTTTGAATTGTACACTCCTCTTGTTAGCTTTGATATAAGATAAAAATTGTGTATCGTAAAATTTCTTCAGAAAAACTCGATCAGATTACACACTTTTTTGTCGAAGCCAGATGTATCCAGTTTATTCGTTTTGCTAAATATGACTGTTATTATTATTGTTCATTCTACGTTGTTATTTCTACAAGTGATATCCCGTTATTGGGTAGCAATTTATATCAAGAAATTTTCACTTTAAAGTAACTAACAGAGGGAAATTGTTAAGAATTCTTAGCGATACAATTACAGTTATAATTTTCAATTAATATATGTTCGAAACAGAACAAAAATGTACACCTTCGACCTATATATTTCCATAAACTTTCCATCTGAGAATCTGAAATGGAGTAGGTGGATCTTAGCCGTAACCATAAACCGAAAGGAAAGGGACAAACCGAAGGGCTGTTAGATGGTTTCAGTCCCATTTTTACGATATTCCGGCGTATCGCGAAACATTCTTATTCCTTGTTTTATCCTTTCGTATTTCCTTTTTCTTTTACATCATGCGATTACGCGCGAGAAAAAGTCCCGGGGTGCTCGCCGAAGCAAATGTTCTCGCGAATGTTCTGGCACCAGGCCATATTTCCTGTTATGCTCGTTGGTATAGTTGGACGCGTTGCTTCTCGACAACCACCGAATCTTTGTAACCCCGTGTTACGTATTTTCATTGAAATCTTTTTTACGGTCGTTGCACGATCAGCCCACGTTTCGACAACTTCCAGAAACAAATAACAAATTTTCCATAGATCACGATCGACTTCCACCCAACCGAGTCACAGTTTTAACCAGAATCGGGCCAATTTTTTAATTCACGAATACAAATTTTAACTCTGATTTTAACCCTTGAATGATGTTGCGGGGGTGTTTCCTAGCCGAATGTATACTCGTATGTTTATCGCAGCCACCGAATAGAAAATTTAAAACGTTGGTCGTGCTCGACCATTTAAAATTAAAATAGATCGATGCTAGTATTTTTTATATTTTTTATACCGTCGTGTTTGGTCTCGCGCGCCATTTATGTACACAAAATATCGCGATACCGTTTTAGGATTAAAGCGGAAAGCTATCGTTGCAAACGTTAACGCGTCCTATCGTTAAATCGATAAACGTCCTGTCTGTCGTTAGTTAAGTATAGCACAGCGAACAAACTTTTCGACCGATCCGTATTCAACAAATGCAATTTTTCCTCTTCCTTTCCTTTCTGTTCCTTCGCTGACGACTGGTTTTCCAAACGGGTGGCTTTCACTGGCTGCAGCTACCAGAAGCAGTCATCCGCGAAACATCGCGGAATTTGTAACGGGGAATTAGCATATCATAAATACTGATGATCCTGCTTGCGTACGCGTACGGTAACCGGTGGAAAGCTTATGATCGTGTCTTCTTCGAATACCAAGTAAAGTTTTTCACCAAGAACAAAGACTCGTTTACGTGCGATATAAATCTAGAGACGATTAAACGATAATTCATTTCTTAACGTTTCAATGGCCGCATGTTCCATGCAAAGATTTCCGCGTGAGTTTCAACACGGCTTCCTCTTTTCTGACCCGAAATTTTTCAATTCGACATTCTACAAATACTCGAATATAAGCCCTACACGGTTTTATCGTTAAATAAACATGCAAATAACAATTGCGAACGAAGGGAAGGAAAATGGGAGACAAACGTTTTCTCCGATATCCATAATTTATTTTAGGAACTTGTTGCGACATAGTATGACGGTATCTTCGCATCGCACTCTCTACCTTGTTAGACGTACACGAATAATATTTACAGTTACATCGTTTATCATAAATAGGTACGTGTCTCCGGTTTAAATAGATCTAGAGTAACGTTCGAGTAAAGTTACAATCATGAAGATAGCATCTTTGACGCGCGCGCTTCTCTCATTTCGTTCGCTTTTATACATTTTGTTTGCAACTCGTTTCACACCCACTCACACACGCACACGCACACGCACAAGTGTTCTATTTTACCATCTTACCTTAAGTAAGTGTATGCCGTACCGTTGCAACGCGTCAGCAGTGGTCGTCTACTTGTAAACATTTCAGAACAGTTTCTCGACAATTAATTTTTTCCTGGCGACGATCGTGACAGATCGTCGATTATTTTATTTTTGTTCCCTATATTTACATACATGTTTCGCAACGTTACACCGGTATACGTAGTATGTACATGCACGCAATTCGTATTTTCGATTTCTTTTCAGTCTAATCGATTTTCGTCAACGTTGTATCCCTTTTTACGTATTTTATATTTTCGTATTTTTTAGCCGAGGGTCGCGTGTGTTCGCGTCGAACCTTTCCGTTTTGTAGCGATCTAACAATAAGTGTACCACCGAATATCAAACAGCTTTATGTCATCGTTCGTTCTTATTTAACACGGCCTTAACGTATCATTGGTCAGACTTTTATACCACGTAGGGCCGATAAAGCGGTTCCTGAAGCTCGCTCGTGCTTCTCTGTGTTTCTTGCAACGCTCCTTTAGCATCATCCTGCGGACTCGGTGAGTTTGTACTCTGATCGCCTCCTGTCTCCCTCTCGGTGCTTCTCCCATTTCCAGCCTCCTCGCCTTTGCTATTTGTACGTGCCTCTTGTTGCGCCTTCTTACTCCTTTTCCACTTCATCCGGCGATTTTGAAACCAGATTTTCACCTAAATTCAGACACATCGATCATCCATCAATTCGTTTCACGAGAAAACGATCGGCGCGACAATTAATGAAAGGATTAATACTGTACCGATACTATCGATACCGCGCAAAGTATTGTTTTATATCAAATCATTTTGATACACGAACGCGTTGATACGTATCGATTACAACAGCGCGTACACTATCGCCCATAAGTCACCGGGCATTATTTTCATTTTTGCTCGTCCGTTTTGGCAAATGTAAATCAAGGCACGGATACAATTGTCTGAACCTTATAATCTTGCTTCGTTACATTCGATTGTTTTTAATTACTTTATAACGCTGGTACAGAATCAAAATAAATATGCAATGATTGACATTGTACGAGAAAGCGAACTTCGAAGATAAACGAAATCAAAGGTCTCGTGGAAAATATTTGAGAAAGGTTGGAACGATATTAATGGAAAAAATACTAAAAACCAATCGTGAGATACGCTCATGAAATGAAAATTTTAAATTGTTCCTTAATATCACATACAATATTAGTTACATTTCCTTTATAATGTAATGAATAAATTACTGCCATTTTATAATTTACACTGCTTCACAGTGTTAATTTGTTTCTATTCCATATTCGTTAAGTGTCTGGTGACTTATGGACGGGAGTGTACATAGATGGTATTAATTTTTGGCACAGATACGTATGCAATGAATAACGATCCATATCGAACCATAAACCAGGCGTCAATACTATTATAAATGTGTCAAAAGCAAGAAACAATGTTTAATCGGTATGGAATTTCTCGATTATTTAACCGATAATTACTCACAAATAAAGTCAATTTACTCAAGTTTTATTTTTCAAAAATTTAATGCGAATATCTCTATCGTCCTTTTGTATACTTCCTAATTTTTAGTCTACTTGTATAAAAATATTTTTTCCGTTAATTATGAGTTAATAAAACGTACAATACATAATTGTACGTAATTTTTTACTTTTATTCGTGATCATTTTAATAGGTCGATTCTATTTGAACTCCTATGAATTACATTGATCGCGATCGATTATTTTAAATCGTGCTTAATTTTCACGATTAGATTCTGTAATTACTTGAAGTTGTATCTATTTACTTACACCGCTTGTTTCGTACCGATTAGATTTTTTTGCCTGATTCTTGATACACTTTCAATAGTACGAATCAACGTTTATACACCGTGAAAAGGTATTGGTATCTGTTGGACATTTATTGCAAAAGTGTCGGCGCTGAAAAACTGATACCAAGTTTAGACTTAAGATTTAGATATCTATTAATACCTCCTATTATTTTGTTATTGAATTGTTTGAACATGATCAATATGTAGTCGTATCAATTTCATCATTACTATACTTAGTAAGTACAGTACTATACTACAGTCTTTTTATACTTTGTGTTACGGATGGAAAAAGATCTTATTAACATGGATCTGGAAATAATTCCTGTTCCAGTTACAGATACTTTTTATTCCAGACAAAAGGCAAAAATTATTATCGATTATTTCGCATTATGTTTCGCATGTAATGCAATTAAATTTGTATTGTCCATATTCTCCACATAGATGCCTAAGTGCTGATAAAATGATGTGGAAAGGTACATGCACTTGTATTCCTTCTACTGTTTTATTTACTTTGGAGTATGTCCATATTTATTTATTATACAAGTAGAATCGATATCGTATACAAAAACTAAATAAAGTGAAAAGAGAACACAGATATCTACATAAACAGAAGTGAAAGAAAATGACCGCTGGTTTTCCTTATTTATTTTTGCATTACGATCAAAATGGTTTAATATAAGATGCTTATTGTCCAGTACCAATATTATCGGTACAGTATTAGTTCTATCATATGGAAAGAAATGAAGGGAAAAGAATAAAAGGTTAACGGCGTGGAAAGAATGGAGATTAAAATAGCATACCAGAGGAGAAACGCGACAGCGTCGTGTTCCGTTATAATCAAACAAAATTTACAGCGTTCAATCGCTTCGAGAAATCAAGCATTATGGCCACACATGCGAACAGTAACACGAGATCCTTCGAATCGCTGCGAACGAATATAGAGACTCGATGTTTCCTCCTCCAATCCCATAAGAAAACGATGTAAATCTTTCGGGCAACATATCATACGCTCGAACCGAACCGCCTCAGCCCCGACCCGATTACATCTTCACCCTTCGGGGGAAAACGCGCGTGCCTTCGTCTCGTGGTGAAAGATATGTAAGATGTATATACCAGCGAGGAGCATAATTGAACCAATAAAAGAGTTTCTACGGAAAATGATAATTTACTCACGCAATTGCACAACATTATGGAAAAACCTATTATATCAATCTAGATTTATCATACGTTGGTAACTATGCAAATAAATTATCAATTCCTAGAAAAATATTATTATTGGTTCAATTTTGAACCGAACAAAATTTTGAGGAAACCATCCTTTTCCATCCGAGTTTCGAGTCGAACGACCTCGAGTCTAGGTATCGAAGGTTCGATTAAAAAAATCCTATTCTTTCTGGACGTTCTGGACTGACCATCGTTCGTCATCGACGGCGCAAAGAAAAGAAGAAGAAACGAAGTGATGGCGGCGGCGCGCACCATGACGTTCCGACGTTCGAAAGGTAGAAGCTCGAGGTAGAATCGGTTAAATATCGAAACAAATCAGGGACTCAGCCCGTCATAACTCAGACTTTCGTCGCTATTTGCCAAGCGATCCGTCAGAACACGTAAGCTTCGGAGTTATGTTTAAGTTGTTGAACTACGCGAGAGATTCGCTCGTTCGCGTCCGGCCCCGACGAAAGAGGAAGATCCTGGATTATTCCGCGGATTTCTCTCGAGATTTTTTTTCCTTCCTTACTCGATTACGTTTCCATTTTGTCAGGAAAGCTTACACCCGTCTTCGCAAGAACAAGCCCCCGTCGAACGCGGTTCTGTAACATGATAGTTTTACCTGCGTCTCCGTGAGCATCAGTGAGGTGGCCACCTCGAACCTCTTCGGTCTGCTAAGGTACTTGTTCTGTCTAAATTGTTTCTCCAACTCGAGAAGCTGTTGCGAGGTGAAGGCTGTTCTTGGTCTTCTAGTTTTGCCGAGAAGAGCGTGTTGGGCAGCGCAACCTTCAAACAGACATGGTGTACACGATTAATCAGGCTCCTCGAACGGAACGAGGAAACATCGCGAACGAAAATAGTAGGAGAATCGTTATCGTTACACGCTATCGATAATCTCGTCTCGTATAAATACCAATCGGGGAACCAATAAAAATCATCGAATGCTAATGCAATTATCGCGAGTGTAAATCCCTATGGGTCGCGATGGTATGATTTGGGGTTGGAAACAGGGGTCGAGGACTAGGGTGGCCGCCCTAACGATTAGTCCTATGAACGACTCTTGGTCGCATCCGAATCTCCCCTTATGGTTCCGCTCGCGTAAATCGAGGCGAGGTTTAACCTCTTTCATAACGAAAGACGTCGTACAGTGCGCAAAACCGCCCCAAAAGTCGAACAAATTGAATATCGTTTATATGAATTCTCGTACCATTAGTTCCAAGTAATAATAATAATTCGTCACATAACGGGTTGATTCTCCTTTGTATATATTTAAAAAAAGAAGGAAATTAGCATCGTGTCTGTTGTCATTACGTGTGCAATAATATAACATTGAAAACACATTTTAGAAGAAGATCATTAGCTTCTTGATTCCTTTTCCAAAATGGTAGGGTAACTTAAGGAGATCGCTTTCTTCGACTCAACGTTGATAGTGTAAATAATTTCTGATTCCTCCGATGACAGACAGAATACAGATCAGAATCGCTCGATTTTCGCCAATGAACCGTTAACGAAGAATATCGCACGGTTCGTCACATTTTTTCCTACATTTGGTTTCAGCACGCGACCCCCCTCTCCCCAACTTAACTAGCAAGTGTGTGACCGGCTGTCAATGTTTGTACACATGGCTGTGTTTAGTCCCGCGTACACTCAGATTAATCCGGAACGCGCGATACCCTTATGTCGCTCTTAATCAGCCGCTTAATCAAACGTTCGACACCGGGGACGCGTTTAATTCTTCCAAACAGGGAACTTTGCAAAGAATACAGGTCGAAGATACCCAATATTTAGAAATTTAATTTAAGGACTAATTCGATTCACGAAGGATTAATTTGAATCCTTCGTAAGGTATTACAAATGGCCGTATTAGGTACTTTTGCTCTTTATCGTTCGGGAGAAAATGGCTAAACGTTCTCCGTTCCTTGCCATCGGGACTCGCGTAACGCGTTTGAAGTTCGACTCTTCGTGCGACGTATCGCTCATCGTTGCGAACGGTTGACAGTTTCGCTTTTGCTATTTACGTTATACATACATAGATATTAATCGTCTCCACGAAGGGTGGCTTGCCACCCGCTGCGCACATATGGTCTGTTCGGTGATTTTCTCCCCGCCGTTTCGTGACAATTACTATTTGGACGATTGCCTCTATTTCCCTTTATGATTTACCACCGTATCCTTTCCTCCGATTTTATGCACGGTTGCGGACAAGTATGTTTGAAGATCTGTTGCAAAACTCGACGGGCGATAATGTCTGATAACGAACGGAGTCTGTTCCTTCCTTCGTTCTCTCGGGGCGCAGTTTTGTCGATTTAAGTCGAATCGATCGAATCGGGAAGAACGAATGGGAGACCATCGAAACTCTGCGAAAGCGAAGGTGCCAGGGAGAAATGGTGCAAGTTATGACAGATGTCGGTAAACAAGAAGGGCGGCACCATCGAGTGGACAATCACCATTTCCGTGCTCTTCTATGCGGGGTAAAGCAGTGGGGTGCCGTTAAGGTTAACGTCGTTCTCGTCCCGCCGCACTTTTATCATGATAATTTAATTTATTTGGGGTCCTATTAGCCGCTTCACGCCAGGCCACCCTTAAATCATGCTGATCACCGTGCCGGTAAACACCAACCATTATCTGTACTTAACGCTACTCTCTATTCCCCACTCTCCTCTCTCCCTCTCTCCTTTCATTTCACTTTCCCCTGTACTATTTTCTCTCCTTCTATCTCGCCACTTTATTCATTATCGCCCCGATAAGGCAATCCGCGGTCTTCCCATATAGATACTCGATTCCATTGTATTCTCTGCTGGTAACCAGCTATTTTTATTCAAAACTTGCGTGCAAATTACAACAACGCCAAGTTTCACGAGCCCTTTTCAATATGCATTTCTATTAATATAAGTTCACTGTATTTCTCAACCCTTACCATTTATTTAATTTATTAAAACTCATTGGTAACGATAACCGGTGAAAGAAGCAACAAGTCTACTAAGTTAAGTCTAAAGCATAATATTATTTTATACTATTCTCGAATAAATATATACACACACGCGTACGTTTATATTCGTGCAGCGACGGTTACAAAACGGACAAGACACGACGCCCTAATCGTCCTCGTTAACCTAATCCGATCCGGAGGATCGCTCAATCAAGGTTAATTGCTCGGCATACCTATCCGCGAGAGATCAGCTCTTCCGTGCAAGATACTTTCGGCGACGAAATGAATTCCTCGACGGAATCACGATCGATCGATCGGCGCGGCGATCGGAAAAATGCGTTGCCGCCGGGATTGCGAATTTCGCGATACGCGGGACGACAGCATAGATTCGATCGGCGGCCGTTTCGGCAGTTATCCTCTGATGGACAGCAATTATTCTGCGCGGAATTGCAAATAGAAATTACGAAACCAAATCGACGCGCGTATGCGCGTATACCGGTAGTAGGGCGAATCGTGTCTCGAGCATCGTCCGATTTTCACGGCACAGTCGCCACAGCGAACGTTTGCTACGCTCGGATTCCTTCCTTCCTTCCTTGTTATTTCTGCTCTCGTTCCATTACAATCTCCACCCACTCTTTCCTTCGCACGCTCAGCCGCACTTTCGACTGTCTTTCCGTGTGCCTGGGTGTTCGTGGGTTCGGTATTCTCTCTCCCTCTTGCATCCCCCGTTCTTGTTCTCGTTCTCGACTTCCCGTCGAATGGGTGTGAGCCAATGCGCGCGCGCGCACTCTCACGAGATTCATTCTCCCTCTCCTTGTTTCGTGTAGCAGCGGAAGCTCCGCCTGTAGCCCCAGAGTCCTCGATACGACCCGCCTCCGGATTCTCAACCCCTCGCGTATAGGAGGTGAACGAAGACGGGCGAGAGGGTAACGTTGGCGGTATCCCACCATCTCTCTACACCCTCGATCGTGAGACGTCATCGAGACTCCTCTTTCCCTGCGCCACGGTTACAGGATCCATGGCAGCGAGGGGCAGAGCGCCACGGGGTAGACGGAGGCGGCTCGAGGTGGAAAAAGTTGGCCAACTTTCGTCAGAGATGATTATTTTCTCTGTCCGAAATGGTTGGATTTAATTTCAAACTCGCCTCGCGAACTCACCACAAATCACGCCATAAACATCCGGAACGTTAACGTTTACTTTTACCCATCCGGACTCCTACTCGAGACCGTTTGCCGTTTCGTTTCCTTTCCACCCCATTTGCGCTTCTTCGCGTTGGGTGATCTCGCGGACGATCATCCACGGTGAAGGATGAAAGCTCTGGCATTTATGCCGAATTTACGCCCGTCCACGGCGGAAAGTAGAAACTTTCATTCAAAATTAACATCAAGAGTGAACAGTGAAGGAAGTACGTGCAAATTTACGCCTCTTCAAAGATGACAGCTGCAGTATTTACACCTGTTTAACGATTACACGGATGATTCATCTACAGTGAACGTGAGATGCGTATTGACACGCATGAATAACGGTCTTGCTGAATGTTCTTCCAACTAAGATATTAACCTTTGAATCTCACCGAGCATAGGTTCTGGAACGATCCTTCTTGACTCCAAGTACAATCGTAGTTTAGTCTACGAATTAACAACGATACGATCAAACTCAAGACCCGGGACAGACTTACAATCCAAACAAATCTTGTCTATGGATCGAGGATGAGGCAACGCCGCGAACACACACGCGGAGGAACGTCGCCATGTTGTGGAGTGCACGCGTCCATAGGTACCGTCGCGATCAAACCAGATCATAGAGATATAGGATGGTGCGTTTGGCCGAACGTGGAACGTTACACATCGGGTAACCAAGATCTGTTTGCTTGCGGGCGGCCAAACTAACTGGCAGCTAATTCAGAAACACCATTACCGCCTATATGCCTATAGATAGGTAGACTGATGCGACCGCCACAGCCACCGTCACCGCTGCCGCCACCGCCGCCGGTGCTGCTCCGGTCGTTTTCAATGTTTCCATCCATCCACCTACGTTACTCCTACCACGCGTGTGTGCGTTCCCGATGTCTAGGTTCACGCGTCGCGCGCGTGCTTCCCCAATTAAACGCACCACCATCTTTACGCGTACGTGCAAATGTGCAATTAGCAGAGACTCCTCGATCAGACGATATCGTGTACAAAGATCAACCGTTTGCACGTATTCATGCAATGTTACGCATGATATTACGAGCGATTATATGCCATCCTTCGCATTTCTCCGTGATATCTTTCGATCTTCCTCGAATTTGGTGCGACTTTGGATACGGTTGCAATAACAGCACGATATATATAGCTCAGAGTGTCCCAGTAATCATGGACCAACCGGAAAGGGGGTGAAATTAAGCCGGAAACATAGTATTTTTACAATCATTGTGAAAAATCGAGAGTACGACTTGGACGTCGCCGTAAGTAGAAACAGTCAGTAATGGACAGACGCGCCAGACAAGTCGCGTTTGATCGCACGAGTGTATTAAATATTTGTGATCCCCGAGGAAAGATCATGGCAACTAATTCTATTTTTATTAAATATTTAATATAATAAACTATACTTAGAGACCAAACGTTCTATACATGTTATGAAGGGATCGTACAATAATAATTCTCAAATTTAATAATCTGCACTTTACTCTTCTTGCAACTAAAACATATACTGAAAAAATTATAGATGAAAAAGTGATCGGAAGATCGATTGAAACGCACAATATTTCTAAGATCTTAGTATGGGTTACGATTGATCCTTCAGCATGAAGAGTGAAAAAGAACGTGTTCCTGATGGACTAAAGGGCAAAATATGCTTTTTGCCTCTAAAGCGGAAAATACTCGGTCTGTGAGGACACGCCAAACCGATTTGCGTTCTTGGATCTCTCCAAAGATGAGCGAAATTAGCCGTTGAATCCGTCTGTAAGTCCGTGGAGTTTCCATGGCAACTCTAGAACGTCGGTACCGGCGCTACGCTATCCACCGAGAGAAGGGCGAAGGGGATGAATAGACGGATGAATGACGCACAATTAACTAATTAAATCATCCACCAACCCTTCGCGTGCTTCATCTCTCGGGTATCATCCCCTTTTGTTGGCAGACCTCCTGCCATCTCGTCGACATCTTCGGCCATTGTTTTTCCTCCATACTTTGTGAAACGAGTCTTGGCCAACGAGGGAAGAAAATCGAAAAACGAAACCACGGAACAAATTAAAAAAGAAAAACGAATAAAATACATAAGTATCTTTTACCGAAGATTTAATAAAAAAAAAGATACATTTAACCCTTTGCTTTCTGATTTTTCTGCGAGGTACTCAACCAGCGACTCTAACTTGTTAGAAAATTTCTTAGATAATGTACTATTAGAGAAACTTATAATGGAATTTTAGAATGTGAAAATAATATTTGTTTGTTGCAAAGTAGAGGAGAATTGTCCAATGCGTACTGGTCGCTTAAAATCGTAGCCACTATCAATTCCTTTATAAAATGTGACATTTTCATGTGCATCAACCTAATACGATCGTAAGACCAACTACGAATTGGCTATTTAGTATCTATAATCTAGTACCATAATCTGTCAAGAATCTAGTAAGGACATATGTTAAACTTATATTTTGACCAAAAATTGTTACCAGCCACTGTATGCGTGTTCTCTCTTCGCTTCGTTTGGCTTTTGTGTACGAAACGGTTTCCATATATCTGTATAATGAACAAATAAATATACACTGGAAGACAATCCGACGACTCGGGCATCGACACCGGATATCGCGCGAGTGGAAAAGTTGAAACGTCGTTTCGGTCGATTTCGATTAATCCGAAAGCAAACTACTGGTGTCGCGTGGGTAGACACGCGCGGATACGAGGAACAGTTTTTAGTGTACACGAGGCAGAGATATCGGGTATTCGGGGATATGTATCGAGAGGCAGAAGGTCGCGGAAATACGCGCGCGGCCGCGCTACCTGTGCTAGTTAAATTTCGATACGGCGAAGCATGGCTCCGAAATAGATGAAACATGGTGTTGTCGCAACGTTGCCGCGGGCATAACGCGCGACAAATATTCCGCAAATAAAAGCTCGCATCTCGTGCTTTTCACCCTGTTCCCCCCTGTCAGCTCACGGTGCCGAGCCGGTGAGTCGCGCACTCACCATTATTTACACAGCGTCGAGAGCGCACGAGGATGCGAGGGTATACGGTAGAAATAGAAAGAGGGAGGGAGAGGGAGCAGGAAGGACCGAACGGGACGTTACTCCCATCCAGCAATTTTTTAACAAGTCGAGTCCGTGTTCCCTCCCGACGCGATAACGGCCGCTTCAGGTGGGGCTGGATGCAATCGTTTTATTTTATTCCGCGAGACCGCTTTTTTTGTCCTCGTTGTTCGTTTTACGCTATCGGGTTTTCGCCTTTTTCGTCGACGTTGGATTGCTCGGCAACTACCAATCAGGATCATCTGACAGAAAGTACCCCGCACTCCGCCCCGAGCACCACTCTCCCTCACTCTCTCTCTCTCTCTCCCCCTTTCTCTCTCTTTCATTCTCTCTTCCCTCCATCTCCACCATCCCCTCGCTCTCTGCATCCACCCTCTCCCACATACACAGGCGCATTTACTCTCCCCCCTTTCCACCCCGCTCTTTACCTCTCGCTTTCTCTCTCTCTGTACCTCCGTTCCCCTTTATTCGGATTCGGTCCATCTCGGCAACCTGGTCTGCTACGTTCACCGACCAATTTGTTCGATAAAAGCTCTCGACTGATTGGCTGGACAACGCGGCCACGGCTCTTTTTTCCAAGCGTGAAATTTACCGTGGTAACCGACTCGTCCTTTTCTACCGTGGTTGCGTCTATTCGCTGCCTAAAGTCGTACTTTCGATCCTTCCTTCGACGTTCCTATTCTAGTTTACCGCATGTTTTTCTGCGCCATTTCTGTCCTACAATTTGCCTCCTATCTCCTCGGTCCTCGTTACCTTCGATGTCTCGTCCTCTCGAACGTGGAGGAGGAATCGTTCCGGGAAGAGTCAATATATAAAATACAGCGGTGACCCGCAGTAATCGCTGTACGACCAGTAGACGATTTTTCGTGCAAAAACAAGTCGAACAAGTGGAATAACATTTTTTTTGTACGATTTTTCGTTATCGGGGAAAATAACTGAAAATCTATTGGATGCTTTTCTGGTTAAATACGTTGTGTGATAATTTACGGTTAACCGTGTACACAGTTAGATTGTCAGAGTTATTTCGTGAATCTCGATGCAACAAATCTCAGTATAGATTGATTAGAATAAGGATAAGTGTTCTCCTTGCTTTATTTAGTTTTTGTACGCGAAATGCATTCTACCTCGTACGATTAATAATGATATTTCTACAAATAAGCGATATGGACGCTAACTGGTTAAATATCTAACGTAGATTTCTGCCAGGATGGCGACGACGGGTCACGGTGACACGGGCACGATACGCATTTTTACGACGCAATGCAAAATTTCCCTTCGATGTTATCGTTTGACAACCGACCTAAAAACTTGAGTAGCCGGTCAATATAGCTCGGTAGAGCGTTACATTAGGCATGTAAACACTCGCTATCTGCCCATCATACGAGCAATCTGTCGATCCATTTCACGACGTTGCTTCGGCTCGCGTCAGCGACAAATATTACACTCCGTGACTAGTGATGGGATTTTAAGCACTTTGAATCGAAACGAAAAATTTGAATCGATTCGAATCTTGAAGGTCTTATCGGATTTGGAGTGTTAAGAGTTTCTATAGCATTGAAAATACACAAAAGGGTAGCGAATAAAGGAATAAGAAACATCACAATGTTATCTCATTTCGTTGTCAAACTTTACGTCGAGTTTAGTATCTTTGAATATCTACCCAATTTGTGCAAAATTTTTAACACTCCCAAATCAATCAATATTTTCAAGATTTATCAGGCTTTGAATTATATGTGATACGATTTGAATCACTAGTCCTGTGTTATTATGATCTTAGTGGTACCACACTCTTCTTAAACTACAATGGACTCCTACCACGTCAGTTTTCCATGTCTAAAGATATTCAAATTTGTTCAAATTATAGTGTGATACAGAAATATTTGGTGATTCAATGAGTTTCTAGCATTTCTGATTAAAGTACTACGGATCCACCAGCGTAAACAATATTGCATTGTAAGTGTAAACTACCGATTACCAGTGGCCACCAATCTCGACCAATAACCTTTTCCAATAATCCTGACCACCGAATTTAGATTCCATCTAGGGGAATTCTCTCTGACTCCCCACTGTAGATCTATTTTTATTATCGCGAAGATTCACCCCTCGGCCGATAATACATTGGACAAATGTTTTCCACGAGTTTGTTTTGTTGAAATGTGTTCGAGATCGATCCAGTCAAATTCCTTGCCAAAGAGGCTTGTTATCAGATCGAGCAACGACTGTTATCGTGCGAGCTCGATTATCTCGCAAATTATCCTCGAATTTTTAACTTATTTGAAAACCTGGACGATCGCGAGGTAATAGGCAGGAAACAGAGAAAAGTGGAAGGGGACGAAGGTGGAGAGAAAGATCGTAACATTTGAACGAAGGGAGATCCTCTTATCGTTTTTACGAAGACGATTCACGCGACAATTTCAAATCATACTTGCTGTGATAGATGTTTGAGAATCGATCGAGTCCAGATTTAGCGATCAGAAACTCGGAGAAAGATTATGTCGCTATTGGATCGGGATTTCGTACCACATAAAAGAAGGGTCGGCAACCTACGCGCCCCTGAAACGAAATATTGTACCCTCTGATTCGCGGTGATTTTCAAAAATGATTCGAGGGTTTGTATCAGGTCCTACATACCATAATATTATAGTTATGCAACGCAAATGTATTTTAAGATATCGGGATTTCGTCTTCGGTCTTATACAATTTTACGCGGATATCTTTGGAAGAAATTAGCACCGTGAACGTCGACCAAGACCATTCCTCGTTGCTCTAACGGTACTTGTTCCGAATGTCCTCGAAACTAGCTATTACATGGCTTAAACTTACCAGCTAAATCGGCGGGTAATCTGGGATATAGCATGCCAGTCCTGGCCAACCACTCGAGCTGGAGTGGATGGATGTGGTGCTGCTGAGGATGAGGTCCGGCAGCCTGCGAGTGTCCGACGGGCTGACCTTCCTTGTGTATCGAGTGAAACGCGCTGCCACCCGCGGGATGATAGTACAATCCACCGGGATGAATAAGAGGTCCACTTGGGTGTAAAAGGAGAGCCTGGTTCTGTCGAGTAACCGCGGCACCACCGAGTGCACCGTAATGACCGGTCGACAGATTGAGATTCCCAGGAACACCATTGCCCGTGGGTTCCTCCGATCCAGGAGAGATCGGCGGACTGGAGACGGGGCTACGACTAGCATTGCTTCCGGAGCTGGCGCTTCCCGTTCTCGTGGGATCGACCTCGATCGAAGCGTCGTCCTCGACGTTCTCCAACCGATCGACGCGAAATCCTCCGTTCCCGGTTCCGGTGTTCTCCCCTCTGAAGATCGCTTTCGCCTCCACAGACTCCACACGAACGTCGGACAAGTGGATGTCTCTCATGGATTGGTCGCGAACGTCCTGCCGTTCGCCTCCGTCGCGAATCAGTTCCAAGCTAGGCGAATCCGGACCGTGCTGAACGGACCTGTCGAACGGATGCAAGAGGTTTCCCAGAGACGACGTCCGTTGCTCTTCCGCTCCAACCGTCCCCGTCGCGGCCGATGCCCCTGCCCTGGCTCCCGTCGCGACCCCGAGAGTGCAGGGCGATTCTCGTTCGTGACCGTGGGCAGAGGTATTACCCAAACACAGGCTCCCGTCCACCGCCGCGTTCCTAGCCGCGAACAGAAATCGTTGACTCCGTTCCGATCGATCGTGATCGAGGTTCTCTTGTTTCCCGGTCGCCCGACCGAGCAGCGCGTCGATGCAAAATGACGTTTTGCCGAGGGACGTGTTGCGTCTGTCGGTCGAATGAACCGCGTACCCTTGCGGCGAGGTTCTACCGGGCGAACCGTCCGATCTGTAATGACTCGCCACAGCGGACACCATTTCCTCGGTAAAGCACTTCACACTCGTATTCTCCGTGTCCCGGAAGAAACCCGGGGACTCCTGCTTCGAGAAGGAGGACCGTTTCGCGTCGTGTTCCTCGCGGTACCTCGACATTCGCGATCCGTCTTCGAGCTCCAACGGCGAGCCGTTCGCCACGAAACGTACCTCCTCCGGGGTTCCGAGCGTCTCGCTTCTCGCCTCGACGGCCGGCGATCTCGTTTCCTCCGATCTCGGCGAGCAGCTCCGACCCCGGCCACTTTGCCGCGCACTTTGCGCGTAAACGGTATTATTCTGGCCCGTCTGCTGTTGCCGCTGATGATGGTGGTCTTGCCGTTGCCTTAAATACGAATTCTCCAGGACACCTTGCGCGTCGTAATGCATGCCTGACACGCGAGAACGCGAGAGTACGCGCGAAACCGGTCGTTAGCGCATGCTTCGCCGCGATCTTTAATTACGGGCACTCGGAATTTCTGTCGGGTTTCTCTCGATTACGGGATTATCTACGGATACTCATTTCTCCGGCGCCGATAGATAATAGGTGTCCGGGGTCTGGATCGATCGATCGATCATCCACGATCGACCGACCGACCGATCGTACGAAGCCCACCCTTCCGGAACGTCTCGCGGCCGAACCAGTACACGCGATCGGGTTCTTGTTTTGTTTCTCTTTTTTCTTTTTCGTATCTATTTTTGTTTTCTTGTTTTTACAAACGCGAACCGCGACGATCGAGCGTCGATTTCGATTTCGCGGCAATACGAGCGATTAACCCAACGCCGCGCCGCAAAGTGACGTCGCGAGGAACCGCGTGTCCGTGACGGGAAAACTGCTCCCCTCTGCTGCTGCGTTTCCGCGGTCAGTCGATTCTGCCACGCCTATCGCGGCAAACCTCGCGTTTCTGCCACGCCTACGGCATCCCCTTTGTTCCCCTCTTTCCCCGTGGCCTGTGTCGTCGGTTTCAAGTTCCGATTCCCGATTCCCGAGCCCTTCAACCCCAAACCCTGAACCCCGGAGCATCGAGCACCAGGCTCCCAAGCCCCGGGCGACGGATTTGTGCAGTATGAAATTAGGATCCGGTTGCACGCTGTTCCCGTACACAAGAGAGACGCCTCGACACGCTCAACCTGCTCTTCTTTCGGGGTGAGATGGCGATAAGAGCAAGGGAGAGAGTCACCGGGATAGGGAAGCACGATCGAGGAAAGAAACGAGTGGGAAAAGGAGGATCCGTGAAGGATCGGGGACCAGGCGGGGAGCAGGAGTCGCCTCCGACGGCGACTGCCGCCGAGAAACGCCGGAAAAGGACAGAAAGACTTCCCCCAACGGCGACAGGAATCGTCCAATCCGACGACGAATACGGTACGCGCGCTAAGGAGAACGGATATGCAGTTGGTGCCACGTGACAGTCGGAGAAAAACGAAGGGTGAAGGAATGCGCGCAACTTTCGTTGCGACGTTCGGATAATGAGAGGGTAGTCGGACACCGTCCACGAATAACGAGGATAGCCGATGTCGTCGGTCTCCTCGCGATACCCTTGCGGCTTTGCTTGCCCCTTTTTCGTTTGTCGTCGATTTCGTAAACGCGACAAGAACAACCGTGATTATAAATAACAATGGCGCTGCTATATCATAAATAAAAGCATAATGATCTTAAAGTCCCATTGCTATTCTTAAACTACGATTAATGTAAAGTAAATAATAATGTAAACTTGCTTCCTTGCTTTCAAGGATACCGAACGAACCACAGAGTAGACACGTGCAAACATAGAATGTTGCATCAGAAATACAGAACGATAAGAATTACCTAAACACTTTGTTCCATTCGTTATTGTACGTCTCTGAATTGTACATAATTGAAAATCTTGATGTTTCATATTTCTATCGCTTTTCGCATCGTTACTTCTTTCGCAAAAATTTTATCGGCGAGAATTAATTTCGATTTGTCGTTGCATCATAATTATTTTGTTCCCGCTGGTTAATATTGCAATCCGTTCGTAAACCTTTTCAACGAAATATCAAGCGTTATCTGCTGCTTTATCGAGCAGCTAATAGCCTCGTAATAGGCATCACGCCCAGTTTTCGAGTAATCGGCCTGTTATCGGTTGTCGCGCACGATATTTTATATCGGACCAACGTCGCATTTGCTTATCCCACTGATAAAGCCTCTTCGCTTTTTTTAAGCGTCCAGCCTAAACGTTTCGAGTTTTCTCAAACACCGTTTCGTATCGGGGAACTGATTCCCGTTTCCGTTCCCTATCGGTAAAGGCACGAAACGAAGGGAGAAGAAACCGAAAAAAACGTACACGCCCGCGGAAAGAAGAAGACAAAGGTAACGCATCGCAAAATCGAAACTCCCGATAATGATTAAAAATTATTTTTGTACGGGCACGAAAGATCTTCTGCGCGTTTGTTTGTTCGAAAATTTTTAACAGAGATTCCGCCGGCGAACAAAGTCGATTTTGTCGAGAGAACCAGAAGGGTAGACCAGTCGTCCGCGTAGAAATGATCGATCACCGTAGTCGCTGCATCCTTTGTGTTTGTTATGATATCCATAGTCTTCGCGATCTCCGGTGTGTCCCTATAATGGTTTGAATGTAGCGCGACGGGTACGAGTTGAAGGTAAACGGCACAAGTTCGTCGGTCACCGCTTTTTAACCAAATAACACAGAGGGAAGGATATTTACTTAAGGATCGAAGCACGTCCGACGTATCCACGGAACAAAAATTTTAAACGACTGTCGTAATACATCTTCCCATATTCAACAACACAGGCCAGTATGCGTGGGCCCACACATGCGTAACAGTTTTTGTGTTGAAAATCTGTTAATTATCTGAATCCATCCAAATATTATTTTATTTTTAACGTTGAGAAAGGGTTCGTAATAGCTATAGTATAGAGATTAGCATTTTTAAATGTTCTCTTCTCACACAATACTATTCACAAGAACCTTCTTTTGATCACACAACGATCTAAAAACAGGCAAGTTCTCATCCGCACAATTTCGATTGTTCAACTTTCGCTGAGGGCCAAATATGGCGGCACGAATAAGTACTGTTTAAGACTTATCGTCAGTTATACTCGACAATATTCCGAAGCGTATAACCTAAACTTGATGGCACGGTTAATTATTCCTCATGAGGGTTTACGACAAAGATATCGTTAATGGAATTAGGTTTATGGAGTTGCGTCGAATGTACAGATAAAAACAGGCTTGACCAGAAGAAAAATTATCGAGCTTTGGTGACCAAGTTCACCTTAAAGATTTAACGCTCTGCTACCACCAACAGAATGCCAGAGATATCGTATACTTAGAGACGCCTACCATACGCTGCAACAATGCTATGCATACATATGTATATAGGTAGATACGTACACGTGTGTACTCGCAGGTAGCACCTTTCATCCTTGACAGCCAAGTAAACACAAGAGATTTTCAATCGGTGATTATGCCGCGTCACGATAAGCCAAGCTTATTTTCTCTCCGCCCTTGTGTCGGTTTCGCTTTCAAACGCTTCAAACCCACCAAGGTATTCCGGATGTACATATTCGCTTGGAAGTATAATACTGATTTCCCATAAAATTGTGTCTGCGAGTCTCGTTGATTTACCAGTGATTATTTTCGGTTAACTAGTCAGCTGTAAAAGTCAAACAAGGAGAAGTAAAACGATCGTTTTTTATTGTTTGCCTACTTATGTACAGACCTACTGGCGTAAAATTTTATACTAGTAAATGAAAAAATATTATTCTGATTTAATATGCCTATGATAAATTTTGTCCAACATATTGTAGTACTAGCATAAAATATTTCTTTGCCCCCGTCTCTGATACAAAGTTTGTATTCGCTAAATGTTGTATGATCGTTGATTGCAATTGGCAAGCCGTTCTGTGCTTTCACAATTCCAACGGCACAGGACAAACTGTGTCGAAAGTCTTGTTATCCGTTCTCAAAAGTAATTAACGATTTGATGGTTAATTTATCCGTTCTTATCTCGGGGATAAGATTGTTTGATCAAGATCTTGATTAGGTATCGCTGCCCATAGATAAGTCGTAATTGGTGTCACGGATCGATTTGGCACCGCCTCGTGTATATGTAAATATCGTTAATAACATTTTATCGTTGCCCTCTCCATTCGAAATTGACTCGAAATAATTGGATAGTCCAAAGTATTGAAGAACGTGTGAAAGACGAGAGATGATAATCGTCCGATAATGCGGCGTATCAGTGATATAATAAACGGGTATTCACCAGAAAAGTATTCTAAATTGTAAGAATCTGTTCGGCGAGCGGATAAAAACAATTCTAACGTTTCTGAAGGCCTGGAACCGAAAACGATACACTTGAAAATTTCGATTCTGCGTAACAGTTATCCGGAGCAAAGGTTCTCCATAACTATTTTGAGCACAATGTCTCCCTGTGTTTGTATTTCCACCGATTTTCTGGTAGACGCAAAGCGCTATGATATTCTTGTCTCCCATTGTATCCTCTAGAACCCTCTTTTGCTTCTTCGATGCTTACTCGTTGCTCTCCTTTTCTTCCCTTCCATTTTGTCTTACCCCTAACCTCGACCATTCGACTTTCGGACTCTCTTACCCTTCGGTTCGAGTTCTATGCCGTAATTAGAATCTCCCTGCCCTATGTGGCCGCACTGCCGAGTTCGGCCCTCATCGGCCATTACTTTTAATGGCGTTGTTAATGAAACTAGGTGTCGCCAAATTAACCTCTCGTTTCAGTAACACTCAACCGAAATCGAAGAGCACAAAATTCTGACGAAGTCGTTTCCCGATTTAGGACGTGGACACGCTTGTGGCGCACATAATGCTCGCGTATTAAGTTTGATAAGCGCACGTGATCTTTATCTTCTTTCATTCGGTGATCGAAAAATAGTAGCCGGTTTGCTTTTTGAATCGACCATGTCGATCCAAACTTGTACCTTCGACGAAAGCGACGCGGAACGAAGCAAGGATTTACAACGTTGCTCGATATGTTCGATTCGATGTTTAGGACGAAGCATAGTTAACGATAGTTCGTTGATAATCGAAGAAAGAGCATCGAGACACGATAAAAAAGAGGAGGGCACGAGAGGCGACCTCAAAAGGGAGAAACAGCGTGCAGCGAGTACGCCGGGTTTGAAAACCACTGGCACCGGCTGATTACCGCGGTAACCACCCCCCGAGCGCCAATTAATCTTAACTTTTACGGGGCAAACACTTTTCATTAAGCCCGGTCCTGCCTCCAACCGGAGTCGAGTTATCCCCACTCTGTTGCAACTTTAGCCACCCTTGCCTACTCGCCTTTTTTCCACCCCTTCCCTTCTGGAGCACGGCTGGAGCTCTTCGCACTCATCCTCTTCCGCGGACGGCGAGGAACGGCAAGGAAAATGGTTCCCCAGACAAGCGTTTAATCTGGCTCTAATTAGCAACTTACCCTCCGCCTCCGTTTCAACGTTTCACCTAGTCCCCCCCTCCTCGCTGCAGTTTCTCCCTTCCTCTTCACCTAGCCGCTGCCAAGCCTTTATCGAGATCAAGAGTGGGGCTGTGCCCCTCCACACCCACACCCCGCATTTACTGGATGTCCACTGCCCCGTCCTGTTATCCAACCATTTAACCGTTTATCTAGCCGCAATGCAACCAACTTGTCTTTCTGGTTGTCATCATCGACTACCATCAACGATATTACCCATTCGTATTTTATCACGAGACACGGATTTTTTCAGAACTACCGACACTATAATGTTTCTGTATCGTCAGTAGAAAGTTCATTAGGTACATATTTAGTTTGCATTATAACTAGATATCGATCACTCTCATCAAGGGATAAACTACCCCTAATCCATATTTCGCAATGTACGAACGAGCCTATATCCCCTTCATTGGGTACGAAATTTTAGAGATATCGCGTCTACGTTTCTCTTTTACAGACTGTATAAACATTGAACCCTTCTAGGCGTTTACCGCACACAGTCAATTCGCAGTCAAAGGGTTAAATACGAGAAGGAAAACGATTTTTTGTGACGTGAATCTAAATGACGCATCCATTACGTGATTAGAATACCTATTATCTTCGTCGATCTATAGCGTCAAGTGCTTCCCCTTCCAAGCATTTCTAATAAAATCCTTCTTTGCGTTACCTTTACATTTCTATCTATTGTACAATATTTCATCACTAATTTGCTATTACAAGGCAAGAAATTACTTTCGTGCATACCTCGAGTAGGTCAGGTGCGACATTATGATCTATCGATCTCTTTCTTACCGACTGAAGTTTACTTTAATTTTCATTTTCTGTCTTACTCCGTTTTGTATTGGGCCAAAAAAATGAACCGAAAAAATACATTGGATGTAAGGTCTACTCGTATACCTCGTCTGTGGGTTTATTTTCATAATTTATTGTACGAGATTCAGAATATATCGACTGCTGATAATTTTGTAAATGTTCACTGAGTTATCTTGAGTTCAGTAGAAATCTATTAGGTTTACAACAAGAAAACATGGTCTATTTCGGACGATTTTTCGATATAAAAGTTTAAATCACAGCATACGCCAATTGCTCTATAAACACAGGAGGTATTAAATGAATTTGCAAGCAAGATAATATTATAAACATTGCACTTTCTCGAATTCACCGTTGACACCTTAAAACTATCGTGTTTAGATTCGATAGGCCAAATTAATGATAAACAATGTTTTTACTAAAGACGCGCGTCGGTGGACACGTAAATGGACGGACTCGATGGTTTTCTTCCTCGATATTACGATTTCTCTTAATTACGCACGTCAACTAAATTAATATTATTACTATTACTATAACTATTATGTATCGTTATTACCTTTCTTATCGTTACTATATTACATGTAGTCGGAGATCCGAAAATCGAGCTTGCAAGTATCTTTCGAAACGGAATACTATGTATTGCGTACATACGATTTACAAAGTCGTATAACAAATCAGTCGTGGCAAACTTTGGTAGTTACGCGTACTGTTTTGTATCGGCGTTTCGTCGACGTTGCATTGGCATTCGTGTTCTATTCGTCCTTCTCGTTTCGTCGTTAATTACGCGTTTAACTCATCACCTTGTCGATCCAGGGCACGAATTTCTGTATATTCGTGTACACGCCGGGCAAATGTTCGCGTCCACACCCTATGCCCCAGGAAACGAGACCAATCAGCACGTATCTTCCTTCGACGGACATAGTTAAGGGTCCACCAGAGTCACCCTGTCGCAAAATGAATTTGAAAATGCAAGAATTTTAACTTAAATCAATATATGTAGTTCGACTTTTAGGTTCTTCGTAACAGTTCGAAACAATTATTTTCTGAACCTTTTCAAGCCCTGATCGAAAACAGTCGATTTACCTGACAGGAATCTCGCCCTCCTTCCTTGTAGCCGGCGCACAGGAAGACATCGTGAATAGTCTCTCGTCTTCCGGCTGCTCTGAACCACCTTTGGCATCTTTCGTTGGGGATCACCTGAAAATTTCGTCGTTCAACGATCCCATATCGCTTTCGCTCGTGTACTACTTATCGAAAGCCTTGTGCAATCGGAATATGAAAGTGCAAAGAGATAGAAGAAAACGAAAGGAATACGTGTTGCTCATAACTATACGCACTTCGACGTCCACCTCTTGGAGAACCGTCGGAGCCGAACTTTGGCCATGCCTGGTTCTGCCCCAGCCGGCGACCGTCGCCGTACGACCCGAAAGTTTTAAATTTTTCGCTGGTAAACAAACGGGAACGATGTGCTGCTTGAACGCCACTGTTCTCGACAGTTTCACCAATGCCACATCGTTTCGAAAATCGGTCGCCGAATATTGAGGATGGACCTTTAAACAATACGCCTGATAAACGCTTAAACATTTTGGTGGAATATTTCTGTACTAAATTTGCTACCCCTAATAATTGTTGAACGAATAAACAATGAATTATTTTTTATTATTGTTGTCGACTCGTCTTGTAAGGCCGATGTGGCAGTGAATGCGTCAAGGAATTCTTTCTTTCTTTCCCTGGTATCCGAAATGGTTGCCACTTACCTCCTTTCTCTCAATGTTAAATTCTTCGTGCAACAACCGTTCGGCCGCGTCCCTCACATCCCATTCACCGAGACGTACTTTCAAATTGTTGTTTGGCGTCCTGCACGAAATAAACATTAACCTATTTCTCAAAATCAAACGCGATCGTTCTATTTCTAATCCTGAATACTAACGTAGCAACACAATGCGCCGCGGTTACAACCCATCTATTGTTCAGCAACGCACCTCCACACGACAACTTTTTCGAGAGGAATCCCGATTTGATAATGGCAGCCTGAAATTTGAGAAATTAAATCATCTTTCCCAATAAAACAAAAATTAAATCGATTCATCTAGTAGTTTTCTCGCAATAAATTCTTAAATATGTTCTTTCCTTCGCAGGTCTAATGGTACGTCCCCCCACTTAAACTTTCGCTTGCTCACCTGCCATGGATGACTGCCAAAACTGGAGCTGTGGCCACCCACGATTCTGTTACTTCTCGTGTACAGTTCGCCACAACCTGCAAAACATTGCGAAAAGAGGTAAAAGATCGTTTATAGAACAGACTTTTCTTGCTTCCGTTGCTTTCAATTTTTTTTTTTTTTTTGCAAACTGCGATACACTATAGCAGTGTTTCTCAAAGTATGCTCCACGAAACACATAGCATATAGAATCACCATTTTTTCTCATGGTGAGATTTTTCAAATTAGTAGATATAAAAGTTACGCTTCAGTTTTCTATATCTACTAATTAAAAAGCAGCAAGAATATTTATTTTATTGAAACATCGATTTCTGACCAAAAGAAATTCGAGAATCGCTGCACTATAGTGTACGAGCGAACCATGCGTATAATCAGAGGAAGAAAGACACAAGCAACGATTTAGTTCACGAATACATCGATCACGTGGCAGTGTCAAGAGAGTACAAATTGTGTGTTTTACGTAGAGTGATCGAATAATGCTCGTCGATATCACAGAGGTGCAAACGTTCCGCAAAAATTTTCCGTCAGACGTGTCATAAATGTTTCTCCTCGTCAACGTCGATCTTTCTCGTTTCTTCGTTTTCTTTTTCGTCCTTCCGAGTCCGTTTCTCTTCCCTCGTCTTCGTTTCGACCCTCACCGTTCGATTATCGTGACGGTGTAGCGTGCAAAGTGCCAAAGACAGAAAAAGAGGGAGATTTCATGCGAGACGCGAGCGTTTCTTCCTTTTACCGTCGATTATTGGTCGGTCGTTGATCATCCTTGTCTGTTTCAATGTCGAGACGCAGAGAATATGCAGATGTCGTAATAATAGAGGCTTTTGCAATAAGAACGACAGAATTCTTATTGGAAAAGCCTATGGTTGCGAGTAGCTGGTAGCTATGGAAATTGAAATGGTGCTACTATTGGTGCAAAATGTCTGTCTGTGCGACTTCATGCGGATTACCACGATATTTGGAATAATCCACGGAGTTTGAGGCATCCTCGTTCGGCTTGTGAATTCCCGATGCGTCGGGATAATCGGGCTCGTATTCGTCCTGAGGGTAATCGACCTGTATCGGATGGTAAAACGGAGGACGTGTAGTGTACGAGGGCCGATTGTAATTCCACGTCTGCGACGATTCGTAAAGGGTCGTTGGCTTGTTCGCGACGTCCGCGTACAAGTAGCTCGGTCTGTGCTCGTTCTGACCGCCGTACGTCGGTTTGCTAGGCCTTGCCGCGTTCTCGTAGATTTGAACATCATCGACCAGGTACGGGTGTTGATTTCCCAAGTTTAGCGAAAGTGCTACACGTTCAAACAACCTCGATTTTACCTTTATTCGCCGTTTACCAATTACAATTATCTCCGCGTGCGCAACACGTGTACGTTTAATTGTTCCCGTTACGTCGCAATATCGTGTCCATTCAACTCGAGTCGCCTGGTTCTCGTGTCCAAGAACAAAACTCAATCAGTACTTTCCATTTTATACAGTGTGTGCCATTTTAACCCTTTGACCGCGGCGCACTCTAACCCAGAACCGTCGCTTTTATGCGTTCACGCGATACTGGCCAACCGAATTCAGAGTGAACTAGATTTTAACAACATGGAACATGGAAATTTAGAGATCGTATATTTAACACTGCGTTGTCGTTTGTTACATTTTAATTAATTTAATTGGGGTGGATTGAAGTGGCACACCCTGCAGATCGTGTTACGTATTTTTTCCTTTACTCAATATAAAATTTAAATTTGTCTGAGGTTATTTATTTTATATTGTGCACCAGTGATTTCCAAAGATTATTTTTAAAAAAGCCCCGGGCTAGATCATTTTGGGAACAATGTAGTTCAATGTAGAAAGAATGTGAAAACCCAAGAAAGATACATGTATAATTCTGGTGAACTAAAGTTTAGAAACGAGAGGCATATATGAAATGATATTCCTGTACGGTACTTAGCCTCTCATGATTAATTCATTAATAGCATAAGATGCTTATCAACGTTGCTATACACTAAGCGCTTTCTTTGGAAAACACTGTTGTACACGATCGTGGAACGATACGAAAAGAAAAGAAAAAGCTACGTATCTGCATATATTGTTTCGAACACTGAGTAAAAAACGACTCGATCGAAAAAGAAAATGAGAAAGAAATCTGACGAAAACTCACTGGCGTTCTGCAGTAATCCGACGGTAGGTCGCGGTATTTTTTCGGGGATGTCGTCGTCGTCGACGCAACAGCTCCAAATTAGTCCTCCGGAACAAAGGTCGACTGGTCGACCCCCACCGAGAACACAACTGATACTAAGCCCACAATCAAACGTCGCCCCTTTGTACGAGCATGTCTGCGGTATCACTGAAACATAGTGATCATCGATGTAGGCATACCATTACCGATTTCTCTAAAAGAACCAGTAAGGGAAAGCTAACCCTTTGCACTCGAGAGGCTACAATAACCGTTATTATTTTAAATTTAGCTCTTTTCGTTGAATAAAAGATAGCGAAATTACAAAGTTTGATACTCAATACTAAATTTTGTACAATGTGAAAATACGAAAACCATTGAAGTACAATGGTATTGTCTGTTAATTTATACATATATGATTTATTTTTATTAGCTGTGAAAAGTTTCATCAACTTTTAGCGAAAAAACTTCCTAGAGGCCAAAATAAAACGGAAATCAAGAATATCAATTTCTTGACTGAGGCTTCATTAAAAAGTTATTAAAAAATTAAATTACAAAATTTTAAATCACTTTGAAAAAATTATTTTTGGTTACGAGGGTCAATTACAATCATTTTTGGTGAATACGCATATCCTCGAAATCCTACCCATTTTCTAAAAAAAAATTCGAGTAGGTGTGTAATTTTTCGGTGAAAAAAAAATTTTCAAATCATTCTAAAAAAATTATTTTCGGTTGTGCAGGTCAATTACAATCATTTTTGGTAAATAGACATACTCCCGAAATCTTACGCATTTTCGAGAAAAAAATTCAGTACGGGCGGACCTTTAAACGTTAATAACTTTTTAACAAAGCCTCCATCAACAAATTGGTATTCTTAATTTTCGTACTATTTTGGCCTCTAGAATCTTCCATTACAATTTTACCCAGGGGTGGCGGAACACCCTGTGTACGTGTACACATACGTTTACAAATGACATACATATGTCGCAATAGTGACCTTTTAATAGTTCTACACATTAAAATTATTAATGATCCTTAGTTCTGTGCCTTTCGCGTATTTTACGCATTACACCGTGTCGTGTCGAGCTGGAACGCGTTCTATCGCATCGCGTGGTGTTGTGTCCTGTCATATTTAGTCGCGTCGTATCGTCACGCAGCACCGCGTTTGCTCTCTTTCGGTCTGTTTGCTAAGATAAATGCTCGAGTGCTTTCGTTTCGAACCCTGGTTTCGTAAGTGAAATCGCCAACTCAACACATAACGACGAGATCGAGCAGGAAAGTCAAACGTACGGGACACCGAGCGTCCCCAAATTACTAACGGATGTCTTACAATTAGAGCAACAAATTCATTTCGTGTACTGTCGTGTCGTTCACCGTCCACCGTCCACCGTCCGTCGTTATCTATTGCTCTCTTTACATTCACTATATTTCCGCAGAACGTTGATTTTGCTTCGCTATATCCGGCCCTTTATCTAAAACGTACTTCTACCCAACATATCCATTATGCTGTTATGAAGATTGTTGTTGTGGCCCCGATGATCCCCGGTATAATTTCGTTTCTTTCTGAGAGCCTCGACGAGCAGCGTGCCCTGTTCCTGGCTGTTGAATTTCCGTCTCCTTCCTTGCCTGTAATTAGTCATTACTACTTTGTCGAGTTCACCCTTCGCCATTTGTTTCTTCAGCTGATCCAAAAAGTTTTGCACGTCGTTCTCTTCGCGAACGTCGTCCGGATATCTGTCGTCGCGGTTTCGTTCGCTGACTGGTCGCGTTTGCGGAACGATCGTCAGGTCTGATATCAAATCCTGGTCTCCGTTACCTTGTTCGCCCACGAATTCTCCGCCGATTTGCCTCTTCCGGCTTCTGTTCTCTATAATCGTCACATCTTCCGTGGAGCTTTTTCTGTTTAGGTACCTTAACGCGTCTCGCGTCTGATTTCTATTCTCGACGAACGCTATTCGAGAGACAGCGTTTCGAGGCTTCTCGTCGCCCCAGCGATTTTCATTCCAGGATTCTTTCCTTTTCGGAATCAAACGCGCTTCCGCGTCGATCTCCCGCACGGAGATACCAAATTGTGTCCTCCTCTCGAACGCCTTGCCCATCGACCGACCATTGTCCAATCTTTTCGCTTCTCTGGGCTTCCTCGCGTTCGCCGGTTCATTTTGGACCCGCGACTCCGTGGAAACTTGCCCCTCGAGCTGGCCAAATTGAATGTCACCGGGCAACAATGCCAGTTTCTCGGTTCTTTTGCTACCAGAGGGATCCGGTAACGCGGCGAACCAACCGTGGAACAACGACATCGACGAGGACGAAGATGAGAACGGACGATTCTCATTCACTGAATCGTAGTCGTAATTTAGCGCGTCTACGGTCGTGATTAAAAACACGTATACCACGGCGATGACATTCATGATCTGATCTCTGTAATTTATTGGTCGGGCAAACTAGACTGAAACGAATTAGCCGTTACGCTTCATATCATAGCTATACGCGCTCGTTGCTTCTCGTAGATTTGAAGACTCCCGACCTCATCGGGGATCAAACTCTTTCCTTGTCGTCGAAAACGGTAACAAATTCATGACAATACGCGGGAAATATACGACGATTCGTTCATTCGACATCTTATTATCGATCGATCGATCACCGGTTCCAGTGTCGAGGATGACGTTCCGATCAACACTGTCGCGCGATAATTCTTCGATATCAGCCCTCTCTGGAAACGATACGGTTAAAAACAGCGGATCCTGTACGGCACACTCGTCGGTCTCGCGTCGCGTGCGTCCGCATCTAGCTGTTTTCGGTCGTGATCGTCTTCGAAACGGTCTTCCACGTGGACTAACACGAATTGTCGTGTTTCACCGACTGACGAGGCTCGACCGGCATCTAAAGAGGTGCTGCTCTCGCGGCTTTCACCGACATCAGCAGCTTTCCCATCGCTACGACGCCGTCGCGTCTTCCCTTACATTGGCTCCCCACCTGTTCTTTTCTTCACTCTCTGCTGCTTTCTTCTATTTTCTCTTTTCTCTTCCCATGCAGATCTTGAAAAATCGGGATTCTCTTTCCGTTCGCGTCGCTTTACGCCCATTTCGTTTCCTTCGAGCACGATTCTACGGTAAGGTTGATCGCGATGCATGGACGAACGATGATGATTCGCGAATCGAATAACGATACGGCTCCGAGACAATTGCTAACAACGATAACAAGTATAGCAGCGCCTGAATCTTTCAATGTTTTGAACTCTTGAGTAGGAATCCAAGAAAGTTAGTCAGACTACCGTACAACGCGGCTAAATCAGGCTTTTCTATTCAGGAAAATGGACGGTACAGAATACACGACAATTTTAGAAACCAATTTATTACCGTTCCTTGAAGAACGCAACACAATTGAGGGGACATTCCAACGAGGGCATAGTTTGAAGCGAATAATGTTAATGATACGCGCTCAACCAAAATTCTATGAAGAATATTTGGGATCTTATTGTTGAAATATGTTTATAAGAAATGTTTCAAAAACTACGTTGATTTTTTCGTGTTTCTACTCGAAAGTTTAAAACGTTGAAAAATTTAGGCAGTGGTATATACACGCACGTCGAAACGTTAACAAAGTTTCGTTCGCTGTATCGTTAAACAAGAAAATTGTTGAAGATATTCGACAATGCATCGCTAGAAGCTGAAGACCGTTCGCGTTCGAAGTTGGTATCGGTTGAGCAAATCTGTAGAACAAACCTTGCGAACGTCTTTACCATTTTCTGCAATCTTGAATAGACGAGCGGATGGGCGACGACGAGCGAAAGAATGGACAGACGGTAGACAAATATCTTCCTTCTTCGAGCTACAGTCAGTTGTAGTGTACAGATTGCGGCGATAAAATTATATAAATGTATTACGACTGGTATTATTCGATTTTTCGTCGCGTTATTATCCTAATGAAACTTACGTCCGAGTTCGTCGAAGAATCTCATCTGTCTTTCCGAATCGATAGTGTTATCCATCGTCGTGTCCTTCTCGGCTAAATCTAGAATCGAATCACGTAATTGCATTAGTAGATCGTAAGAGTACGATTGTTGTCCGTCGATGATCTTTCTATCGACGCTTTCTATTTGAAATTCTTCGAGAAACGGCGAGATAAAAGATACCCCGTCGTTCCTGTCGATTAATGGACTCACCGAAATTCCCTAAATACCGATCATTCTTTCTTCCAACGGCCCGACAATACATGCCGATAAAGAGCAAGCTGAAAAGCGAGCGCGCAAACGAGCTCATTTCTTTTCTTTCTTGATGATCTACGGCGATCGACGATGATTCGACTGCTTGTCGACGCCGTTGCTGCTGTCGCCATTCACCGACGTCGAAAGAGCGCGCCAAACTTTCATGAGCGTCGTTTCCAGTTTTGCGCACGCTGTCTTCTTCTCGATCTAATCTTTCGGTGACGTTTACCTACCGACAATCGATCGTGTACGCACCTTTCGCGATTCGCACGAATAGAAAAATTGCGGTAGAAAACCCAGTTGATGACACATCGTCGTCCAAGTGATTCGTATTTTTTCTCTTCAACGAATCGACGAATAAACGTTCCTATGGAATTTCGATTCCATCGCTTATTCCTGCGTTTATTACTCGTCCAAGATAACGCGAGCTCGTTAAGACTTAAATGTAGTCAGATTGCGGGCAGAATCGTATGATCATTCGCAACCACGTTTACCCTTATCGAGTCTGCTGTGCGTTTTAAACAGTACCACGATAAGAAGGTGTAGAGAATTTTGTCTATTATTTTGTTTATAAGACTTCCTCCCCTGCGACTCGTTGTGCTGTAGGAGCTCGCAAAGCGTGGCGATGGCATCCACACGTAGCGTGGTCCGGTAGAAAAGTGGGTCGTGAAACCAGGTCACCGAGACAAGTGGCACGTCGTCTCTCTGTGTGGTTGCCTCGTAACACGTTCCCGGTTCCCTTCGTCTGATCTACGCGGGGAACCGTAGCATTACACCTTTGGTTATTAGTGAAAGTTAGCCGGTAACTTTCGACTTTGACAATGATGACTCGACTCGCAAACGAATCGCCTTGCCGATACCAATCTGCTAATAAATGCTACCGCATTTCGTTTTACGTATTCGCGTGCAGCCGTATTCCTTCCTTGGCGCGTGATTTCAAACTTAGGGAATGCTCCTCGGCGTGAGCGCGACACACGATCGTCGGTTTCATTCCATTTTCACTGCGAACAAAAGGATACGTTTAATTTTTAAAATAATAAACAGATCGTATTTTATATTTATGGTTGTAGCGGTTTAAGTCCGAATTTTCAAAATTTATATCAATACTGTTCTTCAAATCTTAAAGACATCATTCACATTCGTAGTCGATTGAAATGTAACTGCACTCTTTAACAAGGTGGCTTCATTACCGAAAAGATAAACCATACATCGGTACAAGTATACTTTCGACAAACCTTGTTCAAGAAAAACTCGACGATTATATTTAATAAAAGCGAAAAAATAACTTGAAAGAATATACTTTACCATTCATCATTTTAAATTGGTCGTCTTATTTTCAAGCTTTCCTTTGCATGTTTCACGTATATATAATATACTTCTCTGCTCTTTCTTTGCACTTTATGGTTGGAAGTATGCTACACAATCATGCAATCAAATATCGTCTATTGTTTGTAAAATCCACGCACACACGCCGAGCTCCCAAAATTTTCCCGCGAATTTCACAGTCGTAACACCGAGGCGGTTGGAAGCGTAACAAAAGCACAAATCGCTTAAACGAATTATGATTTTCGGGCAATTAGCGTCTAACGATTCGATTTATAATCGCATCGCAATTATGTTCGTCTTTCGTCGGTCACTGCATGACACCGCGAAGAAACGAAGAGAACATCGCGACACGCGGTTGACTACTGATGAGGAACGGAAATACATACAGCATCCAAAGACCACTCTCTCTTCTCCGCTATGTGTACATACAGTTTCCATCGTGCCTTCACTCCCTCCCCCTCCCAGACCTTTCTTCTTTCCTTTCCCCATTCGTTTTCTCTCTTTGACTTGTTCATTTATTAACTTGTTTATTTGCCATTAACATTTCTCTGAAAAGAGGTAGGAATTCGGAATACCAATTTTTTTTTCATTCAGGTAGTCTCGGAATAGATAAAAACAAATAATTTTTAGGGATATCTTTAGAGAAAGTCATAGCAAATGTAATGTATAGGTATAAACACTCGGACCTTGCAAAACATATCAATTTTTCAATTTTTTCTAAATTCAAAAAACAAGCAATAATATGGGACAGTACTGTTTTTGTGAGAAAGAAGTTACTTATTATTACCTTTATTATTTTGATCTAATTTTGTTCGTGACATCTAAAAAAGTGAAAAAGGCTGAAAAGAACATTGACATTGGCCATGAAACTCGAAGTAGCGTAACTATCGGCGATAAACTATTTAACTCTCGCCCGTGCGAAAGAACCCTTTCTCTCGATGCTATGTCCACAAAAAAATTTTGTTCCCAATATTGAGTGTCGAGAGTAAAACTCTCCGAAATAGATACGTAGCATAAAACTCCTGAAAGAATAACAGGAACGAATATTTGGTTCATCGTTATTAAAACAAGTTAGGATATACTATAAAACGAACACTAAATATTATTCAATAAACAGTACTATACAAGTATATCATATAATGAAAGTTATGTTAATATTCTGAATGTGCCATTTGTATTTAAACAATCATTTATAACTAATTAATTTCATGAAAAAGCTGTAGAAAAATCAGAAATATTATCAGGGGCTCATGAAGTAATGAATTAGTCACGAGTAATATTTTTAGGAGTTATATTTATAAGATTATAATAGAATTAATGGAAAGGTAAAGGGTCGAAATAAAAGACACCTAAAATACCATTAGTTTGATTTTTTATTAATGTATGTATACATTTCACAAGTATCAATACTAAATGTATTTGTATCAAAGAGTGATGCAAGAATTAATTTTTTTTTAAGTATAAATCATTTACTGTCACAGTCATTAAAAAATACAAGTTCAAGAATTAAAATTATGATAGCGATTATTATTCTGCCAATATTTAATCTCAATTCCAAACGCTACGAGCGCAGAGGTCGCATTCTAGTCTGTATCGATAATGTTCAGAAACTAAATATTGCTCGTAATTAATTTTCAAGTTATTGTTATTATAGATTTACTAAAATTGAGTGTTTAATATCACATTATTTGTGAATTTTCTATGCAGGAAAAAAAATATCCACACGAGAAGGTAACATAACATCTTATTTGTACAGAGTGTTACTTAGAATTAATAAAATTGTCTAATGATTTTTCGACATACATATTATTAACTATTCGTCATTTCTTCGTCGATTAGCGCTTCGTTTTAAATAACTAGTCCCATCGACTAATTTTTCTGTTTCGCGAGATTTTGTATTGTCTCTGTCGTAATTATGTCGCGTACGCCAATGTTCGCCTTTTTTATCATAATTGCGTTCCTTCGAGTGTGATCTTCTACGTTTTCGATGTTTTTGCGTTTTCCACGATTCCGTTGAATCTCGCGAACGTTTATCTCGATCTTTAGAATTAGAGTGTTCGTACGTATGATTATTTCGGGAATTCGAACTTTTACGATAGTTCTGCGAATTCTGAAGAAAAAGATTACGATATCTGGACGGCGATTCATTGAACGACGGAGATGCACTTTGCGTTGAATCGTCAAAATATCTATTCGAACTTGGAGTTTTAACAATGTCTTCAGTTTTCGTTTCGTGACAAGTTGGTTGAATTTCTGTTAGTTCATTGGCGTAAAATTCCATCTGTTGATTTATAACCTCTCTAAGAATTTCCGTATGTGATTTTTTATTTGTATGAACACCTCTATGTTTCGCCCTGCGTCTTTTTAAATTACGTTCTTGCACAAGTAACTCTAAGAAAGACAACTTCTTGTCCTTGTTTTGACATTTTCTGAAACAAAAGATGAACATTCCATAAAATTTTGTACATCCGGTACGAATGGAATAAACACTATTTATGTAAACTTACAGGCTGCGTTCATCGGTAATATCGTGACCAATGTCTGTTTTAACTGTATTAGAAACAACATATTCATATAATACTTTCCTCTCATCGCACGTGAAATCTGAGAAGATTCTATCAGATGTTCGTGGAACTAATCGCTCACCCAAACCTATCATCAGTGTTAAGAAATTGTGTTTTGAAAGGAGATACATATTGTAAATACAAGTTAAATGAATAAACATAAAGAAGATATTTCATAATATATAAGTATTTGGTAAAGGACATGAAAAAGGATATATAGAGCTTATGCCAAGTACGACACTCATAACTTTCTGGAAAAAATTAAGCAATTTAAAACATGTAAAGATACTCTTTTAAGTTTTCTTTTACTGTACTAACCAACTTTCATTGTTGGATCCTTTTCCCTTGCTTCTTGCAAAATTTTATTTTGTAACGATGCATCTGCAAATTGGAAAAAACTCTATTATAAATATAACATTGAATTTTTTATTTTAACCCAAAATATCCATTCACAAAGGGTTAAACATGCATAATACCTACCTAACTTTATGGAGAAAGGAGAACATGAAGGTAACATTGACTCTGAGAGTGGTACATCGAATTCATTGTAACCTTCTTGCTTCCACTGGCAGAACTCCAAATGTTGGTCCAGAATATCCTTCCCAATTCGATGAGATGAATCATATGGGCATACCAGACGATTATCATTCTATATAAACAAATACATGTTGGTTACATTTGTAGATTTGTAAATTTTCAATTAACTTACATCAGTTTCTATACTTTCTACTGTCCAACCGACCACAGAGGTAATGTCCATAATATCTTGATGGACTTTTTCTGTAAAATCTTTTAAATTTTGATATTGTCCTTCGCGTTGATCCAACGAACAACTTAACATCTCTACTTATTACTTAAAGTGGTTGTGTACGATCAAACGATATTTAAGAAATTTCTGGAAATATTCGATCTACGTGGATATTCAAGTTTCAAAATTTCACTGCTGTGAGCATCAACACAATTGTTTGTGCAAAATTACTAAATTAATACTCTAATTTAAAGCTAAGAATCTTAATATTGATGAGGTTAGACGTATATAATATACTAAAAACCATAGACAAGATATGGAATAGATTGCACATTCGGTAGGAGTTTATGATAACCTGGTTTTCTCATATGAACTGAAATAGCGACCTTGTAATATTTTGTATTAATAACAATTTAGATATAAATGCAATAGTATATATTTTAATATTGCATGTCGTAGATACGTAAAAATACGTATATAAATAGTTCAAGGCAGTGGTTCTTAATCTATGAACTAAAAATTATATTGACCTTAAAAGGATCATAGATTTGTGGGGGTTCAAGAAATTGTATAAGGAACCATTAAATATTTAGTTTTGTTACATTTATTTAGTCTTAATTTTGATACGCTTACAACTACTTACAGCTTGAAATTGAATAAAAAGCATAATAAAGTATAAACGTTTAAGAATCAAATCAAATAATTGCTTATAGTATTTGTAAACATAATATTTAAATCGAATGCACCTTCTGTGATGTTGCGCGTCCGGCGGCGTATTTCCGAAACTTCGTAGGGAATTCGGCGGGGAACGCTGCCCGTGGAGTGCTAAGGCACTCTGCTCCTTGGACGCGGGAGTTTCAAACGGAGATCGCTAGATAAGGAAAATAATAAATGGATACAACGATTTGAACATACGTAAATAGAACTTTAATTAACTCAATAAAGGAATATAAAACAAAACAACCGAGATTTCGCAGGAATTATTATAACCCGTTCGTACACTTCCGCTCTCTTAATTCAAAATGCTTCTCTCTTTAATCAACTCAAATGATACATGTACGATCTCGCTTAAGTTACAATGCTACGTCCGTTCACTTTCGATCTCCGGATTCAAGTGTCGCTCTGCCGGCCGGTCGAGGCCCAGCCCACACGTAGGCCCCTCCCGATCGTCTTTTCTTTTATTCGGGCCAGGCGCAAAACTCTCGCACGCGCGTTCCTCGGCACACCCCCCGATCCCTCGAGAACGGTCCTCTGCGGCACGTGGCCGTCATCGGCTTTTGCACGCAGCCCGTTTCCGGCAATCGATAGCGCACGGCCCAAGTCCTGGAATTACACACCTAGGAGAAGGGATCAAAGGGGAGCTCACGACTATCCAAACATCCGTTTCCAATAAATTATTGGCTAATCTATGACCCGAAGTGAAGTCATTAAAAGAATCTCTAACCACTTTTAAACCGTAGAATTGGCGCGGACTCCACTTTGTCTCCCTTTCCTATTACATTCGTGTAATCTGATTTAAACCTCGCGCCCCCCAGAGCTTCTGCTACACGGCGCCAGGCGGCGACCGCAACAGTGAATATAAATTAATAGTAATGACGCCATTATAGTTATTGTAAACAGTGTGGCCAGATCGGGCATAATTGAGTGCATCGAAATCGACAACAGTGACGACGAACTTCCTTAGCGTCTAACGGAATGGTGGGGATAGCAGGCATACACTACCGCACGAGCCACGTGTACGTGAGCTCGGCGCTTGCGCACAACTTCGGGAAATCGATAAAGAACGCTAGTGTCAGCCTTTCCTTCTTGCTCTTGTAAAAGACAAAACAACTGAAATACGATCTCGCGATAAGTGGCATACGATTCCAAGTCTCGACTGCCCCAGCATTTTTACTTTCCGACCTATATGTAAGGTATAAGGAAATTTATAAAGTATCATAATGAAAAAAATTTTGAAGTTTTTTTTTAGCGGAAATACACGTTTTAGGACCCCCTGATCATATTGTGACTATTGAAAAAAAGACATTTTTTTTGTTCCTCAACGACTAACAATAAGTGAATTTCAATAACGAAAAAAATATTTCGAAATTTTTTTTTAGCGGAAATACACGTTTTAGGACCCCCTCATCATATTGTGACTACTACAAAAAAACATATTTTTTTTTTGTTCCTATGCTATTGACATGATTGCGTCTAAACGGCTGAATGAATTTCAATGAAACTTAACATTTAAGTTTTATGTTCTCGTTTTAAGGTCTCATTATATTTTAAGCGTGATCAGCTCCCATATAATGATGATTATACGTTTTTAGTTTTATAATTATTTCGATACATACACATCATTTGTAACAAATTTTTAAAGCGATTTATATAAATCTTAAGAAGGATTAAGATCAAATATATTTTTCTCCTATCTTTCCTAGACAGGAAAAATTAAACGAAATCTTATGCCTTGCATACCTACCTAAACCACATAAAAAACGTATTCCACAAATATTTTAGAATAATGTTGTTCAAAGCAGTCTTACTCGTAAAGGGTTAATTAAGGGTTAATTAAAATGAAAAACCACTCTTAGCCAGTACCGTGCACGCTACAAAAATAGATTACTACTGACTTTTCCCACTATGTTTTTTAATAACCGTATCAAATTGTTACACACAATCAAATGTTATATATTTGACTTAACTTTACATAACAAAATAATTGTAACGATAGGTAAAAGAATAACGTGCACGCTACCGTTCAATGGAAACCACGGGAAGGTGGTGGTCACTTCCATCAGGAGGGAAATGTAAAAAATTGTTATTTCTTTGTAACATTATCACATGCCGTATATTAAAATGTTTTTATTAATGTAATGAAATTACAATATAATGAAAAACTAACTCGTGAATGCATTAATTTTTATTAATATACACACGAGCCATAAAAATGGAAAAATGATATAATTGTTTACATTTCCAAAGGATGGGATGTCGGGATAGGACGTTTGCGATTAAGCTGGCACGTTATGTCGTGCATTGTTGCTCTTACGGTACCGTGACGTAAGTGTAACAAGGCGCGACATTCTACGTCATAGCCACACTATCTACAGCAAGCAATTTCACTAACTAAAAATATACGGCAAAATATAAGCAAATAAATGAAGAAAAAAATGATAGTTAGAGCAAGCAGAATAGTATTTACAGCAAGCGAAATACGTAAAAAGAGTAACAACACGAGACAAATTGAACGACTATTTACATATTAGCGATGTCCAAAAAAAAATATTTTGGACATCACTAACAAGACTGCGGTTGCAGTGTAAGCGCTTTCGCGTGACGTTATGGCACATACATGCATCACACCTTGTTGCGCCTACGTCACGGTACCGTTGACGTAACAAGACCAGTCTACCGCGACGTCGCATGAAAATGTTTATACTGTCATTGCAGCCTAATAGTACGAATTTACTAAAGAGCTTTTCTCTGGAGAGAAAAATCTCTCTAGAGAAAAGCTCTGTAGTAAATCGGTACCTTAATTTTCGTCATATGACGTAGCGGGAAAATTCTCAAAGTTATTGTCATATGTTGCGTTTAATCTTAAATTACACTTTTGCTTCTTAGCAAATCTATGATATAAATTTTTGGAATACAATAGAGCTAGATGATCGTCATCTACCTCCATGGGTTGAGAGTTTTCCCTCTGCGCCTTTAACGAAGATTTCACAACGCAAATAGAGTTGACGCTGGCCGAAGAAAGTTTATTCCGTTTCTTTGTTTTTATGTCAGGTAACATGGAAAACAATCTTTCTGCATCGGCATTGGAATTTGGAAGTGATCTAATTGTATTTACTAATTCAGGAAATTTAATTTTATAGTCCAAATTTCGCGTTAATAAAATTGTTTTCCAGAAACCATCGAATTTCATCTCGATAAGCGTCTGTCTACCTTTCGTTGTAAATTCCAAAGGCAATACTGACCATTCTGTTTGCAGTCCTTCTTCGTCGAAACCGCCGAATTTCTTAGCGATTAAGAGAACATTTCTGAAGGAAATGTCTCTATTTGTATCATTTAATATAAAAGTTGGTTCAAAAACATACAACATGCTAAGAAATTCGTCATCGATTGCCAATCGATGACGAATTTCGTTTGCAGCTGTAATATAAAACATTAAACAATTTTTCCTTACGGTTTCTACGATGTCGGACTTGCCTTCTGCATTCAGTTGATGCAGAAAATTAAGACACTCTGTTCCTAAATTTATACTATTAAATGGAAGTTGATTTTCGACTACAGAAAAATTCATCATTCTTACTAAATCCATGTGTTTCAAAAGCTGCGGTTTCAGAAAATTGCGTAATATATCGCATAAAAGTTCTGCCGCAGTCTTTTGAAGCAAATGAATTCTTGTCTCTTGAGTTTGAAAGAAAATGCTAAATTTATAAAAAAACTCAAGAGCGTAATTTAGAAAATAAAGATATGCTTTGGCCTCTGGATTTTGCATCGAGATTAACAGACGTTCCCCGGACTCTGATTTCTCGCTTATTGTCAATTCTTGCAAAAAAAGCAATACAGAGTCCCAATTCTCTAAAAGTGTAACTACGGATGTATAATGCGATAACCATCGCGTAGAACACAATTTTAAAATTTTTCTGTCGGTTGTTTGAAAACATTGCTGAAATTCGCGGAATATAGCCGAACGTTTGGGACTACTGTATATGAAAGTTGCTACTTTTCGTAACAACTCCTCGCATATGTCTGGAATGGTATTGCACGCTTCGCGCACTACCATTGCAGACAGATGACATGGACAGCGGACAGTCAAAAATTTGTCCCTGCATTTTGTTGCAAGCTTTGTCATAAAGGACGAGTGTCGCCCTGTCATGACAGCAGCGTTGTCACATGACAACGCGACAATATTTTCGAACGGAATTTCTCTTTCTATCATGGCAATTTCAAATGTTTTATATAAATTATCTGCGTCACAATTTCTGGCATCAAGATGTAATAATTCTACCAATTCCGTTCGAACATCCAAAGTCTCGGGTGCAACATAACGAACAAGAAACGTCATCCATTTCTCGTTGGTCGAGTCGGATGTTTCGTCAATATAAATAGAAAATTTAGTGTTTTGTAAAACACTAGAAATACGTTTTGTTTCTAAAGGATACAAAACGTTTGATATAATATTTGAACACTTTGTTCGACCGAACGACATATGTTTCAAGACATCAGGATCTTGCCCAATGTCTTTGAAAACTTCAAGAATCGTCTCTGCGGTTCGATACGGAATATTTTTTTCGGCTATTAATTTGGCAAATTTGATTTCCGCGGATTTTATCCTTTCATCCAACGACAGAGGCGATTCTTCGGATTGCGTCGTAAAATTATTATTCAAATTGTCTGCGTTATCGTTACTCTTTTTATAATTCTCAATGTGACACTGAGAATCTGCATGATTATAAATCGTCGATAATCGACATGAAAATTGATTGTTGCAAACCGAACAGAACCACGAATAAGGGTCGCCATCGACTTTATGCAACCATGGCTTGAAATAATCATTCTCAAGCCATTGAGGCATAAAAGTCCTTTTAGAAGTACTATTTTTTTTATGACACCCAGATTCTCCGTGTCTATACACGTTTGAGGAACCGCAAGAATAAGACTTATTGCATAAACGTACAATAAAAACGACTTCTATCATGGGGTACTGCACGTATCCATGATTTAAATCTATGATCATTTATCCATGAAGATAAAAAACCGCGCTTACACTTATTCTTCGATTTCACAACCGTTTCCATGATATAAAAGCAGAAAAGCGAAAGAACAGAAAATTACAGAATACCTACGCGAAAGCTTTTTTTCAATTTAAATGTCTCAGAATGACCTACGGCACGTACGAAATAAAGTTCTATTGAATGAATAGCAGTATATAGACGACAATTTAATATATTTCATTTTGCAGAAATGAATTTAGAGGGGAATCAAAAAAAAAGGAAAGAAGAATATAGACGTTCTAATATATGGCATGTGATAATGTTACAAAGAAATAACAATTTTTTACATTTCCCTCCTGATGGAAGTGACCACCACCTTCCCGTGGTTTCCATTGAACGGTAGCGTGCACGTTATTCTTTTACCTATCGTTACAATTATTTTGTTATGTAAAGTTAAGTCAAATATATAACATTTGATTGTGTGTAACAATTTGATACGGTTATTAAAAAACATAGTGGGAAAAGTCAGTAGTAATCTATTTCTGTAGCGTGCACGGTACTGGCTAAGAGTGGTTTTTCATTTTAATTAACCCTTAATTAACCCTTTACGAGTAAGACTGCTTTGAACAACATTATTCTAAAATATTTGTGGAATACGTTTTTTATGTGGTTTAGGTAGGTATGCAAGGCATAAGATTTCGTTTAATTTTTCCTGTCTAGGAAAGATAGGAGAAAAGTATATTTGATCTTAATCCTTCTTAAGATTTATATAAATCGCTTTAAAAATTTGTTACAAATGATGTATATGTATCGAAATAATTATAAAACTACAGACGTATAATCATCATTATATGGGAACTGATCACGCTTAAAATATAATGAGACCTTAAAACGAGAACATAAAACTTAAATGTTAAATTTCATTGAAATTCATTCAGCCGTTTAGACGCAATCATGTCAATAGCAAAGGAACAAAAAAAAATATCGTTTTTTTCAATAGTCACAATATGATCAGGGGGTCCCAAAACGTGTATTTCCGCTAAAAAAAAATTTCGAAATTTTTTTTCATTATGATACTTTATAAATTTCCTTATACCTTACATATAGGTCGGAAAGTAAAAATGCTGGGGCAGTCGAGACTTGGAATCGTATGCCGATTATCGCGAGGTCGTATTTCAGCTGTTTCTCTTTTGCAAGAGCAAGAAGGAAAGGCTCACACTAGCGTTCTTTATCGATTTGCCGAAGTTGTGCGAAGTGCCGAGCTCACGTACACGTGGCTCGTGCGGTAGTGTATGCCTGCTATCCCCACCATTCCGTTAGACGCTAAGGAAGTTCGTCGTTACTGTTGTCGATTTCGATGCACTCAATTATGCCAGATCTGGCCACACTGATTGTAAACGCTCACAGAATCTTTTGTGAACACAAGTTGATAGCAGTGGCGTCACTCTAGTCCTTATGAGCATTCATAGCGCCAAACCGAATTAATGCTCGTGTACTTGATCCAAACTGATCCAAACCGATCTAAACCGAATGTACATGGTTAATTCTACATTATTACGGTAAAAACCGTAGAAAGTGCCTTATTTTACTTAAATACGTCTTTACTCATCGTACGGTGCTGGATTGCACTAGTTCATTCGGTATAAGTATTTAAAATGATGGACCAGTGGCAAATTGAATTAGCAACAGGAATGTATAATGTTACTGATCCATCAGGAAAGTATCAAATGATACAAGAAGTAGGCCATGGATCTTTTGGACGAGTATACAAAGCACTCGTTCGACACACTCGTAGAACAGTAGCTTACAAAGTGATTGAAAAGGTAAACAAAACATTCTTAGTCCAACAAGACTCTCGTTAGTTCTTGTTCCTTCCATTAATTTCGTACCTTTTGCTTGTGTTGGTGCTGGTGTAAACAAAATGTGATCATGCAGCGTGGTAAATCATCCAAGGAGCTGAATAGCTTGCGCCAAGAGCGTGAAATCCTAAGACAAGTTTTTCATCCAAACATTCTACAAATGCTCGATTCCTTTGAAACAAAAACTAAGGTACCAATGCATGTTTCACACATGTATAAAAACTATACATTTTACATTGCATGAGAGTAATTTTTCCTTCAGATAGTAGTTGTGACTCAGTACGTGAATCAGAGTTTGTGCCATTTATTAGATGAGAAAGGTCCCTTGCCTGAAAATGATGTGCAAAAGTTAACTTGCAATCTTGTTTCCGGCCTTTGGTACTTGCACTTCAAAAGAATATTACACAGGTTAGCATTCTGATTCCTCAATGTATTTCCTAATGCTAACAAGTCGTCCATTTAGGGACCTTAAACCGCAAAATGTACTCATTAAAGACAACGGAGAGGCAGTGTTATGTGATTTTGGGTTTGCTCGTTGTATGAGCACAAAAACACAGGTGCTAACTTCTATAAAAGGAACACCATTGTACATGGCTCCAGAACTCATAGAAGAACATCCATATGATCATAATGCAGATTTATGGTGCGTTTTGCAAGCTACAAGGTTTGATGTACATAGTATACAAACCATGTTGTTTTCAGGTCTCTTGGTTGTGTAGTTTATCAAATGATCCAAGGTCTTCCACCTTTCCAAACAGATTCTATTTTGCATTTAATCGAATTGATCAGATTTGAATCCATAAAGTGGTCGCGTTTTCACGTCGTATCGCAAAAATGTAAAAGCTTCCTACAGGTTGTAATTCATTTACATAATTCTTCTTAACCATTTAAGTTTCTCATTGTGTTTTCATTTGTCGATAATCCATTTATAATTAGGGACTACTACAAAAGAATCCGTCGCAACGGTTAACGTGGCCTGCCCTTCTAGAGCATCCTTTTCTCGAAAAATCTCTTTTAAAAGTCAGCAGTATATCTACACCATTCGCTACACCCGTACCCGTGAGCCAGGCTACAGAAAATCAGCCACAGTATCTCGATGTTGATATGAATCTTACAGATTCACAGGCTAAGTACATATATACAATTCTATTCGACATATTTGACTGTGTGTTTCATCCAGTAGGGAATACGCGTGTATGTACGTGTGTGTCATGAACAAGTTTGCACGGCAATATGAATTTCGATTAACGATAGTTTCACGTTAACACAGATTTTTAAGGGATACTGTTCCAACGGCGTATGGGGGGAGAACTTTGGAAACAATGGTAGATCGTAAACGCGTGCCACCGCTTACGTCAATCCCGGAAAGCAAAAGCCTATTCTGCAAACACGATGGACCTTTCAGGGTATCGTTAGCGCACAATATGTTTGTAGACCATTCAGAGTCGTGTCAAAGCGTCGAACAAAGGCAAATGCAAAATCGAGAAGAGGAAGAAATGATGAACAGTAACAGGTGCGTTGAACCCGAGGACGATACGTCAAGTTACGAGCAACTAGTTGTTTCGCCAGAAACTGAAGCAGTTTATTATCAGAGAAACGAATCGTATACCGGAAGAGACTATTCAGCGGGCGATGGCGATGTCGTATCGCATAATAACAAATTACCCGATTGGAATCCGAAAGCTGTCGAAAGTCCGATAGAAACCGAGGAATGGATCGCGTTTTTACAAAAGTCCATGGAGGAAATCATGAACGGCGAATTGGACTCGCTGCTTCAAGAAAATTGTGTTTCGGTATTGATATCCCCGTTGAGAAACTTGACGGTTAATTATCGAGTTGTCAAATACATTGCTTGTCTGTTGTCCTTACCACTTGCCCTTCCATTGAAGCGACCTATCGTGTTTAAGATACAGCGAGTCTATTTGGGTGTTAAGGTTGTACCGAATTTAGTCTACGCTCTGAAACTTTTAATGTCCGAACGATCCGAGCCCCACGAACCGTACGAAAAACTCGAACCCACGAACGCAAAAACCAAATTGGCGTCAAAATTGACCTCGGACGAACTTCAGACCCTGGAATACACCATACTCGTGCTTTGTAGTTTAGCTCATGCCCAACAAAAATTTCTTACTCAGTTCTGTAACGCTATTTATACCGTGAACGGGTTTGAGTTTCTGCGGCAATTGTTGCTCTTGAAGAAGAAAAAGACACGAATAGTCGCGGATCTAATAGCGATTTTCAACCATATATTACGTACTCTCCCGAAAAAGGCTCGTCTGATCGAAGACGTCATTTTATTCCCATCGATGTCGTGTAAGTTTCACGATGGGAAATGATCGTTTTCCCGATAGTCTGATTAACGTTTACATTAATACGAATGAAATATACTTTTCATAAAAGGGCATGCGGATAAACTGTTCGTTCAACTGGTTACACATTCGGAAGAAGTACTTATAAGGAGAACTTGTCACTTGATTAGACTATTGGCCATTCATTTGCGAACGTCTGTAACGTGTTTCTGGAGTGGAACATTGAGGAACGCGCTAGAGAGATTAATAGTCTCGGATCCCGACCAAACCGTGCGGCTCGTAAGTAATAGAATGACTGGATAAAAATTATTAGAAAAGAGACCTGGGAATATGTACGAGGGATATTTTTAGGCCGCAAAAGATGCAATCACCGAAGTGAAGAAATGGAAGGTTTTTCGAAACGTCGAGTGACGTATCTACTAACGCGCTTTTGCGTTCAACGACACAGTATTACGTTGCCTTTTTTATTCTTTTAACTAAGAGTCGTAACTTCATCGTTATCTTTATTTCTACGAAAGCATTATACACAGATTTGCTTTAAACAAAGCCTAAGCAATACTTAGTCGTCTGAAATGATTATACGAATTGATTTTATACTGAATTAAAGATCCAGTCGATAGATATATTGTCCGACGAGTCGTTGCCCGAGCTTCCTTCAGGTTGTCGACCGTCGCATTCATCTTTGTACATCTTTTGTAGTTTCAATATATCCTTTCCGCTGAGTCCTTTTCGTTGTCCGAGCTTCACCTTTTCCTTCTGCGCGACGTAAAGAAAAACACACGAATCGTGATTGCGATTAACGTAGAGTCGGTCTAGTTTACGCGTAGCTCGATATTTCGTACTTACCCTTGGTGTAATGGTTGGTTCGCCATTTTTCGAAAATGCATGCGAGCTGTAGTGCATCACGCTCATATAATCGTAACCGATTCCGTAATCGGTGACAGTATTGTTGTCGTACTTGTTAAAATTGTGTTCCTTACCTAATACGGTAAAGAAAACATTACAATTTGGTCTAGTATGTTCGCCAGTAGCGGATCGGTAGCTCACCTCGCTTGACGTTTTTCCAGTGTATCATGACCCATTCGTCTCGATTCGCGGCACTTTGTTGATGATAAAAGCCTAACGCGTGCATGAACTCGTGAACGACCACGCCATGTTGCACACATCCCGGATTTTGTAAGTTAACCACTTGTCCCTGATTGTGTCGACCAACCAAGGACCAACATCCCGACATTTTGCCCTCTATAGTAATGTAGTTGGCGTCCGTTTTGTTGTAAGGCCGGAAACGTAAGCACGTGCTGTCGTGATATTCCTTTATAGCGCCCTCGATTACTTCGATATCTTCCTCGTCTACGCAAAGGATCGCAAACGCGATAGTACGTGTAAGCAGACCCGTGAAATATAATATCAGCGGATAGTGATTCCTCGCGAATAAGTAAATCGAAAATAATATATTTTTTTTCCGTATGGTTTCGTTTTACTAGGAAATCGATTTTGAAAATTTCTCAGACACGCCTGCATTTAACCGAGTTCTTGACTTCACGGATCTTGGTACATACCGCGGTATATCCTTGCGATCTTGTTTCCATATGTAAACCGTAAGGTCATGATTTACATTTTATCGTTCCTATTACACGATATCATCGACGCAAGCTAAACTAGGATCTGCAATAAGCAGGGATTGAGAAGGTTCTGAAAATAACTGTTACAAACAGATAAATAATTAATCTTTGAACGCGTAACACCATGTCGAAACTCGGTTAAATGCATGTAAATCTAAAGACGTGTCAAAATATAATTTTCTAGAAAGCGAAGCCTCGTAGAAAGAATTTTATTCTATATTTTATTACGAATAATCATCCTTTGCTGATAATGTATTTATCAGGACACCATGTATACGCGTACGAACAGCTTCAACCCGTTGGCTCTATCGCTTTCGTAACGAATCCAACTATAATTACCGAAATCCTCTTCTTTTATGTAATAAGGCACGATTCCTCCGGGCCAACGGGACGCAGTTTTCACCAAACCGTTCTTCGATTCGTCCGGTTCCCCGGTAAGCATTATGTCTCCTTCGTACAGACCGCTCAATTCCCAGAGGTTCTGTTCGTCTGCTTTCGTCCACGATCTGATGCGGCTTGCTGTCGACAACAAATAAAGAAGACAGATTGTATATTGTATTTTTTTTTTTCTCCTTTTTCATTTTCCTTTTATCGATCGTGATCATATACCAATCGTTTCGTGAGCGTGTCTCTCGCCGAATGTGCCTCGGAACTTGGGTGTCGGCGGGACGTCTGTTTGTTTCAGATCGCGACCGATCGAGTTCGAATTCGTACCGATTCCCATCGTTAATACCAAGAACAATACCGTTATCCGTGCAAACGCGATATTTTTACCATCGACCGTGCGTCTCATTTTGTACGCGGTGGACGAGAAATTCGTTCGATGCTGGTCTTCTTCGACGAACGACGTAAACGCTGTAGAAGTTCAATTCCCATCGTATCTTTATATACGCGAGGAAGTACGTAAACTAGAAGCATTCGACACTCGTCTCACGTATCCTGTTATCGAGCGTCGCTTGATAAAACTTGGTCGTACCCGATACGGATGACCGTTTCCGTCGATCCTGCAACTTATTTTTCCACCGTGTAAGAAATTTTACGCAACGAAGCGATCGACGCTCGTCCACGACGGACTTCTCGCCATACGGGACACAGCAGCGTCGACGAAAATCTGTTGAAAGCGCAAGGTTTCCGTTAATCTCTTCCAGCGATACGATGCATCGATGCAAATTTATGGAAAACAACGATAACGAGATCGCGAAGCGCATACCAATTCGGATTTTTATCTGTTTATTCCTAGTTGCGATATCCGTTAAACGTCAAAGCGTAGACACTTGCTTTACCTTACCTATGCTTGAAATGTCATACATCGTTACCATTTTTCGAAAGTATCTTACGGTCCCTTCGTTCGATGTGAATTTTTAATGCTTTTTCAGGAACATCTTGCTAAAAATACGTAAGACTTTCTCGTATGATTTTTAAAACACATTTTAAGTACGTTATTTTTTTTTTTTTAACCGAAATAATGTGGTTGTTTTTCCTTGAAGATAGCAAGTTTTATAATAGGAGATGAAACTCCAAATCATCACTGATCCCCTAAATATACCATAATATATCGCGAATAGGAATTTAATAAGTTTTAGGAATATTACCTGGGCGAGGTCAGTTGACGCGAAGAAAACGAGGAAAGATAGGAATCAAAGGAAAGGTAGTTTCTTTTTGTCCACTCGATATCATTGATTTTGAAGGAAGGAGCGAAACGAAATGATAGAACTCGGAGCAATTCGTGCGTTCAAATCCTCGGTACGCATACCGATTCCAGATGCTCGAGGCAACAGCGATCTCGGTATCGGTTGGTATCGGATGTAGGTCAAAATGATTCGGTAGTCGGCCGTGTAATTCAGTACATGGACATATATCATCTTGGAATCGTTTAGTGCCTTTCCCTCCCAGTCACGTACTCTCTTATATGTCTTGTCCGATTGTTGTCCGGTGGTGTTTCATTCGTCACCACCACCGCAACCGTTACAGCATCCTTTCGTAAAAAAAAAAGAAATGGCCCTGCTATCGCAACCCTTGCCAAGTCGAATCGTTTCAGGACGAACGGTCACCTAGAAAATGTCGATTCGAGCACAGTGGTTAGCGTCGGTGACATCTTGCATTCACACCACCTTACCAAAGTATCGTATATTCACATTGGTTATCTATACTGATCGCTCTTTTTTCGTTTTGTTTGTGTACGTACAGCGAGAAATATTATCACCAGCAAATTAAATAGGACATAATAAAATTATTAAAAAAGATTTAACGATAGTTGCCTGCCCGAAGCGCTAATCGTTCGAACACGCACGCTCCTATTATGTAATTACGTAGGTCAAATTAATGCGGAAAGGATACGTTGCGACTACGCGACAACGATCAACCGTTAGAGGTCGCAAATAGTTAGCCGCATACCTTTATCGCTAAGAATGATAAAAACAAATCTCGCCGCGCGTCGATCAAGAGTTTGCGCGGTCCTCGATCGCGAATTGCAGGCCTAAAAGCGATTTTTCTCGATGGTATTACGATTCGATGGGTCAGGGCATCGTGTCGGGCGTTTCCGAATTCTCGAAATTGCATTGGAACAACAGGGTCGTTTCACCAAGTTCGTAATCATGCCTGAAAATCTTCTCAAAGAGTATTGAAAGCAAGGTCAACGACCAGCCTGTTCCAGATTCGAGTAGGAGCTCCACGTAGCCTAAATTCTAACCGGACTTCTTGGAACCGCAAGCGAGCAGAATGGTTATTTCACGTTTGTTACGGCGGCGAGTACACGGGTTTTACGAGTACGTCTAACGACCAACACGCTGGAACTTTGGTCTTTTTCTTTCGTTTCGTTTTTGTTTTTTTTTTTAACCGATCCAACTTCTTTATCAGCATGTTTGTTTTCTTAACGCAGAGATGGAAGTTTCGTTGCCCGTGTCCCTTCGATTCCCTCCCGTGTACACGTTAATGTACGACTCGGGCGATCCTTTGTCGACGGAAACAATCGCCACGGTTAACGGTTGTTGATAAAGGCTGGGTTATCAACTGTGAACCGTATCCGTGCAACGAAGCTGCCCAACGACCTACGTCGCTTGTTCGTGCTACTTCGACCTTACGAATCTGCTCGACGATCTTTTCTTTGGCTTCGTAACGAGTCGATAAACACGTCGAGTCTATCGAAGCTGGCCGGTCGTGGGTTCGACGATAGCGTTTCTCGCTCGGACCGACGATCGTCGACAGCACGCATGGATCGGCAATATCCGAAGGAAGGTAACGAGCAAAATTTGTTATATCCCAAAGAAAGCTTTCTTGTTTACGTCGAGTATATTTTCGAGGCACACAAGTTTGTTGGTTCCTCGTGAACCACTGACCCACTGGGATCACTTGGAAGCATCGGGATCGTCTCGAGCCTCGAGACGGGAATGTATTTCGGTAGTGCGTACACTGATCAAAAAACGATGCTCTTTCGCGGTTCAGTGACCTTCGGCCAGCCTCCTCTCGGTCCATCTCGTCTCTTTCTCGCTCCATCCCTATCCCTATTTCTCTCTCCATCCCTGTACGAGTCGCCCACCTCTTCTTTCTTGCCATCCTCCTCCCTACCCCCATTACACTCCGTCGTTGTTTGCTACTTATCGACACACGTAAGCGTGTTTATACACACCTCCTTTCGGATCGATTCGAATGGCTTTCGATGCTTTTCAAAATCACGATTATAATTCAATATTGAGCCGAGTGTAATTTAAAAACTCTCGAGAAACGTAAATCAGTACTTCCATTCTTATTTAGAATAATAAATGACTTGGCCGAGTACGCGTCCCATTCGGAATTAAGGGGGGAAACTACTTTGCGATGGCTAAAGATAATTTTAAGGGGTTATTCTAGTCTGGAACATTCAAACCATTTTATTCTTATTTTTCGAAATAGTTACCATGATATCTCAAGTTATAATTAACCGATTAGCATCAAATATGGAGATAATTTTCAACACTTGTGTCTTTATATCATCTCGTTTTTCTTACTATTCTCTTTCTTACACGCGAAACGTGAAACAAAAGATCGACGAGGGTAGGTGAGAGGTCGACGTATGTATTAGTACCGAGGAATTTGTGTCTATTAAATTTCCTTTCGTGTCGCCGCCAAATTTTCAGGCGTCTCGCGATAGATGTATTCGGGTCGAATAACGAAATGCCTACAGGAGCAAACGTGTCAGCTAGTCAGCGAACTATGCGACGACGAATAAAATCGACGCAAGAAGAAAAAGCGATGCAGGTTGGCTGGTACGTGCAAGCATGTGACCGCTGGGCCATTTTCTAACGGACCACGCGCGACGGTGCCGTCTGCTTTATGAATCGTTGATCCCTTTTTACTAAACTTCCCTTCCGTTTACCTCGTACCTTCTCCTATCTCTTACGATCGATAATTCATGGTCGATCGTTTGCCTTTCTCTTCTACACTCCGTGATAAAAAATAGCACCCCTGGCATACTTAAAAAAAAATTCATTCTTTCGATCACACGATACTCCATTTGCTCTACCATCGTATTCTTCAACGACGAATCCCGTAGAAGAAGCTTAAAAAATATGCTAGCTGAACTTACAGAATTACAAACATTTAATAGGTGTAATTAAAGACATCGAAGATTTGCGTCGATCGAAGTAACCATAGAGACATCCTTGAAAGCAAATACAGTAGTGCTCGGGACCGGCCTCGGTCACTTATGTGGGCATGATTAATCCTCAGAATTCAACGGAGATAAGGAAAGAGGATAAGTGCGAATGAGATATAATAGCTGACACCCGAAACCATATATACAATGTATCGATAACGACCGGCGTCAAGTTACACTCGACACGCTCGATGTTTGAAGCCGCTTCGCTTCTAAGAATTGGTGGGGATAACTGGTCATCTATGTGGGCAAAAATTCGGTCACTTATGTGGGCACTACTGTATATAACCGAAGAAAGATATAATAGCAATATTTAAGACTGGACCATATCTTTATATCGCGGGGTGTGCATTTGGCCAATTTGAAAAGTATATTCGGAGTCATCTTGGGCAAAAAATCGGCAGGATAGAGGATTCGAGGGGCTCCGATCTATCCTATTTCTTTGTTACGTTCCCTTGTAGCTTCTCCCTCTCCTCCGTCTCAATCTCCCTCTCTTTTTCTGTCTCTCTGCGACTCTTTCGTTCAGGTAACGAGTAGTTCCGAGCTCTCGACTCGGTCATACACCTGCGAGAGTGAAAGTGTCCTCCATCCCCACCAGGTTTTGTGCCGCATAGCCACGGTTACGGACGCCGCGCCGGTAGCCGATCCGACACCGGCACTGGTACCGGCACCGCTACTGCCGTTGTCATCGCCATCGCCATCGCTACCAACAACTACCACCTTTCGCGACTCGGTCGCCATCGCGTTTATTCATTGTCTCGCCAATTTCGTTTTGATTCCTCTCCGTTTCTCGACGCGCAACCGTCAAACTTACACGCGAACGCGACCGGGACACTTTCTCGGACCCGAACGCTGCCAGTTCTTCGGTTCCGATCGTAAATTCGGGTTAGAAACTTTGATGATAGACAATATCGGGTGGAAGCAGAATGCAAATGAGACGGGAAAGCTTCGACTTTCGAGTACGTCGACCCCCGATGACCCATGCCAACCTACAGAACGTCTCTTATCCTTTCTATCGTTTCGATCGCAAACTATGTTAAGGGAATTTCCTCGTGTCTCTATAAAGTGGATGGTTTTTGGAATTTTGTTTTTTCGTTGGTACGTTCGTGAAGATAGTGCATGAATTTTTCTATGCAATTCACTCTAACGAC